AATTTCTTGTTTAATCAATAACTTCTTCTTAGTCCGATTTCTAAACGAAAAAAAAATCAATGTTCCGAATAGTTGATCAGTGCGCTCTTGACGTGGTATGAAGCCGGCGATGAGTGGTCGATTTCCCGTGGAATCTGGAGCATCAACCGATGCTGCATTGGTAGCCGATGTGTCTCTTTGGCATCTAAAACGAGTTTACATTAAACACAAAATGTATATGGAAGTGGCGTGTATACATTCATCATATTGTTTATTTGATCTTAGATCAACAGTTCAAATATCAACAATCATGAAGCTGGCTGGAACACCATTGCGGGGGAGAAGATACCCGCAACGCAGCCGGTTGTTACTCGATACACTGCCGGCCAAATAAAACCGTGGCATCTGTAGTGGCGGAATGGTTTCTATCAATATGCCATATGGTGTTAATTAAACACCACGATTTGTCACAGTGTGTTGGTATTTAGTGACGCTGAACATTTCCCACAAAAATGTTCCACTCTATAGTCAGTCTTCAATGGCAGGCCAGCTGGATTCGAACCTTGGCCACAGAGCTGGTAGGCATGCATGAAAAACACTATTGGGATATTATAAAGTGTTAATTTTACACCGCAATACTTGATGATACTGTGGATATTATTTCACGGGTGGTTAGATATGCCGACACCACACAAGTGTTAATTTTGTTTTATTCGCTACACCGCATGGTATCTGTATTATTAGACGAGCAGTTCGATAGAAATCCACACGGTGTTAATTTTACACCATTGCAGTGTATGTCATTCGGGAGGCCCGACTCCACCGAACGCTCTCCCTAAATGACACCCCCCCCCCCCCCACTTTCCATCCCGGTTGTTTCTCGCAGACCAAAGCCGCTTCGACTTGTAAACTGACGACCTCGTCGACAGCGATCCATCCTTCATTTAATGCTGTCATGTTGCAGCAGCGTTGCTCCGATCCCGCCGTATAGAAATACCCCGGGGTTTTGAAATTTCTGGCCGTATTTCTTTCTCTTCTTGTCGGCGTTTCACCCACCGTGTAACGACGTGACAGGTTCGCCGGCCGAGGCTGCCTGCACTAAACGTCGGTATGCGCCGTTTTTGTGTTAAAAACCCTCGTAAATTAGCACCCAGCCCCTCACGTCGCGCGCCAGCAGAAAAACACTTTGTGCTTATCGCTGTCGCGCAACAAACATACCTAGTGTTCATGATATTGAACAGATTGAGGTTTGGTGTTAATAAAAAGAAAAAAACATGTTTTTTTATGTCTTTGCAAACATAAACATGTTACTTTTCCATCACCTGCTTTGTTCAAGACTTTGCTGTCTTGCCCTTTCCTTGAACAGTCTGCTCTATGAGTTTCAAAATTATACCGTTAAACATTAATATGAAAAAAACCCCGCATCAAGAATGATTACTTCATGGACTACATTGCACTGAGCCTGATCTGGTCTAGCACAATGTGTATAAGCGAGGTGCGTGGGTACCAACGAGAGTCTATTGGAACCAGCGCCTCCAGCTGGTTTGTTACCAGTGTAAACCTGTGAAAACACCGCCCCAAGGCTAGCAAAATAGACCAGCCGTTTAAGACAAACTCGGCCTGAGGTGATAAACTTACGAACAAAGATACAGCATCTGTCAGTTACACCCGCGACTATCGCTGAGAATACTGCCCTGTATCCAGTCCTTTCAGTTTCTTATTTTTCACAAAGGGGAAAAATCCTCGCAGTCGAAATTGTTACACAAGAAGAAAGAGCGGGCGGCGTGGTGAGCGGGACTTAAGTCACCACCAAGAAGTTATATTTTCCCCCCTTTGTGCGATCTTAAGAAAAGAGGAACTGTTTCCGCCCTCTGGATGATTTGGGAGGGACAAAAAAATCGGGGGCGAAGTCCCCTGTAGGGTCTGGGTTTGGCCCGGGGCAGCGGAACTGGGATTACGACAAAGCCGTTCTGTCAACTCGGGACACGGATCGAGTTTCGCCGGCCATTGTGGCGTGGCCGTGTCAGCTGGCTCGCTGCTTGGTCTTGGGAAAGTCGAGACAGCTTAACTCACAATGTTGCGGGAAAAAAACATTATTGTGACAAGAGGCCTTTTTTATTGTCTGAAGCCGTTTGTGTATATTTTTCTCGACGCATGGGCGAAATTGCCGAAACGCCAGACAAAAAAAAAGTGCATTTGGAATTTTTATATTTAGGTCAAGGAACTTTGTAATGGTTTTTGGATTTGTTAGTGACCGAATTCCGTGGGAAATATGCCATATTCCGCGTACGGCTCACCGGAATTTGATTGGTTTGGTAGTCGATGACGTACATGCGCCAATTACAGTCATGTTATAATTATGATCATATACGAAAAATTACGGGTTTTTTTCTGAACCTTTCAAACGCTTTCCTTGGTTTTCAAAAGTGTGCGTCGTCGGTTTGCTCACTCCAACTGGTATCCATACGCCATCCATAAAGTAGAGCTATTATTAAAAAATTTTTTTAAAAAGAACACTACGCGAAACCCGAAACAAGAAAGCAACAAGAATTAATGACTATGACATGATAAGAAAAAAAAGACTTTAAAACTACGATTTGCATCTAAAATGTATACATTCCATTTAGAACTTTTAGTCAGTGAAACACTGGCCGTATTAGTCAAGTAAACTCTTCTACGAAGTGGCCGCAGTGTGCAGGTCCGACCATCGTTCGCAGTATACTCTATACACATACTTACATATCAAACATACACCTGCACAACCCCCAAGCCCCCCCCCCCCTCTAAATGTCAATGTCAGCATGCCCTGTATGGTCTCTCGACCATGGAATGTTGATGTCTCCTTCAATCTGTCCGCGCCTCCATAAAACAAAGAAAAATATCCATCCGCATTCCGCGCGTAAAAGACACGCAGGGTTTTATCAGCGGAAAGCCGCGTGATTTCATTTTACTGGAACGCCGTACGTGGAAGAGATACCGTAACACAAGACGGCGATTAAGGGTCATCAAAATACGACGGCCCCATCATCTTGTTTATAGTTATTTCAGGGGATGTTTTCTGAAGTGCGTAATGTCCTTTCGGATATTTTAGGCGAGTTGTAAAATATATGTCTCCTTGCCTCCATACTGCATTGTTCGCATCTTTACTATTTTTACTGCTTCGGATGGTCATGTCTTGAAATTGTTATCGATATCGTGTATAAAAAGATAAACATTACTTTGTGTCTGCTGAGCTAGTACTTGGTCGATAGAGCAAGGACCTTGGTTTGATCATCTTCTATCGGAATGATATATTGTGCATGTTCATGTTTTATTGGCTATCAAAAACAAAAAAGCGCCTTTACAGCCAATCACGTTCTGTCTTATACAAAGTTCAACAACAAAAATAGTCCTATTGTGTATACCAGATTAACCTAAGCTCTGCAGACGGATAAATCTAACTGGCAGATGCACAGCGCGGCACTAAACGCAGGCTGAATCACAGTAACCAATCACAGACGGAGTACTATAATCACAGCAAGTTGTACGTGAGTGAACCAATCGCGTGTGGCGGTACTCGTCTCCAGCTGACATTAACAAATCACCAGGCAACAGGCGAGTTGCCCAACATGCCACCCGGACTAGACGGGCCCATTCTTTCCGTTCGACTCGAACCTCAATTTGTCAGAACGTGCCTCCTCCATCTACTCGTAATAAAGTAAAAGAAGGAACAAAATTCCCCCTCGATCCATTAACCCGTGTCCCTGTTGCCCTAGCGCCGAGTTGGTCCCCCGTGACCTGGGAACAAGGTTGACGTCCTCTGATGACATTGAGGATGGAAGAATGCAATATCGTAAACGTGAATCAAGACGTTTGTTGAGCTGTTTGTGTTTGCGCTTCCCGTATGCATTGAAAGTCATAGTTGCAATCACATAACTATTCACATAAAACGAGTTCACGTAAGACTAACCACTCTAAATTCAAGTAGATTTTTTTTGTCAACGACCTTGATCAAAACTGATCATAATAAGGTTAAATGCTGCGTAGCTGTTTGGTGAAGTTTAATTAGTAAATTACCCACGATTTTTCAGGATTTTTTTTCTTCCATTTTCTTAGACCATTTAACGAGTCTCTGCGATGCCATTTTGAACTAAATTTTACACAATAATTAACATTTTAAAAGCTATATGAGTTCGGATGTTTGCCAGGCACCCTACCACAGCCTAGTTCAAGAATTGAAGTTGACAACCAATGAAAACCTTACTTTCACCCAAATTCACCTTCTTAAATCAAACATAAAACATCCGTCGGTTTTTACACGAGCAAATCTCTCTTCCCCCCCCCCTAAAAAAAATGATATGAAATAAAGAAACCCACACGTCACAAAGACAATATCGATTGATTTATGAGATTTCATTTTTACACGGTTTGAAGTTTACACAGGTGGCTTGCTAAAAGCCCTTAGGATATTGGTGTCACATCGCCTGGAATATTTGTGTGTGGGTTTAACCCTATCCGGTTCTCCGTTGCCCCCCGCCCCCGACCCCCAGTATACGAGTTGAAGGGCTTTCTACGACGGTAAGTTACCGTCGATTTTACCCGTCTGCCGGCGCAGTTCCTAGCCTGGACACCGGAGCGACAGGCCTTTGCCCCGCCTCTCCCTCTGCCATGGTAACCGGATCCAGGGTCTTGAGGTCGCGGGGTGGAGATCGGGAGGACTTAACCCCACTTCGCCCGCCTCGCGGTCTGTTTTGCCTCGTGAGCTTCCAATAACAAATTTCCTGCGACCGATAAAAGATTCAACGAACACCTTCAGTTTTAAAGGTGATGCCCCGTTGCTGCATTCCATATCTTGCTTGCTGCCAGCCTGCCATTTACGTAACGGACTTTCTACCATTATCGTATTCTACCATTATACCATTCTACCATTGCTTCTTCTTCCTTCATCGGCTGCTGATAATCAAAAGCAAAGTCTCTTGTTAAAATTTAATATCACGTCAATTATTGTACAACCTCTGAATTTTTTCAGTAACCGTGTTCAGTTGTTCAAAATGGCGTCTGCCAGCCCCTCTTGGAACCCTCAGAGCCCTGCCCCCGCCCCGCGGAGTGTGGCAGCAACGTAGATCACCGAAGTAGTAACTTTAAAAACGACGACCTACAGCAATATACAGCGACCCCCGAGGGACCAGCCTGTCACGGCCCACGAAACGGCAACCATCGCTACAGCCCGCGAGATGTCAAGTAAACTCGCGACATACGAGAAACCCTTGGGAATAACTTGACAAAGTGGGACCCAAGCCGTTAAATCCCCTGCCTCCCTTGAAAAGTCACGACTCTTGCCATCTGCACCGTGTCTTAAATCAAGAACTACCAAACCACCCTTCAAACAGAGCGTAATAAGACAATCGTACACCCTTTGCCTTTTCAGTGCACTTGTCACGGTGGTTTGAAAGCCAATCTGGGATTCTCAAAACCGAACTGTAAATTTCAAGTTGCAAACCTTATTTTTTGCGACCGTGTGTAGATTCTTGGTCTGAGAAGTGCTGAGCCCGGCGCTCAGCCTGAGCGCTTCTGTGTGTTTGATAACCGTCATGACGCCGATACCTCTAACGACGAATCCCATAGCGAACTGTATTATCCTCCCCTCCGATGTTGCTCTGCCATTCGTCATGCACCCGTTTTGCCTTTTTGTGAGGTCCAAATGCACCAACCCGAATCATATTTATCATTTTGGATCTCTGAACTAACGGACTATAAGTCCTAGATCAAGTAATATACTTAAAAATGGGAAATATCAAAACGGACCCCTGTGGAGCTACCCTAGGCAGTAGCATAATTATATGCACACGTATTCTATACCATGCTTCTCAATTTTCAAACAAAAACTCAACATGACATCGCATGCCACTAACTTCCAAACCTTTCCTGGCCTGCACAGCACCTTGAAGGTTTTATTAGCCACCTTAGTTTAAATGAAGGATGAAAATGTATCGTGCTTCTATAAAGCTCGTCGCTGGCAAAGGTTAAGAAAACTTCACAGATTCGAGGAAACTCGCGGTGTCACAATAAAAACACGCGACGGAACCTCTTGCAGCGAAGTCCTTGGAATGATCTCCAGTTGGGTCATCAAACTTACGTTTAACCAAAACGCGAAGCTTGGAATTCTAACGAGACCTAATTCCTCTCCCCAAGAAACAAATCTTGATGATCAAAGACACGCATTGTGCTCCACGTTTGTCGAATTTCAGCCCACATAATTTAAAACTTTGACCGCTTGCTTATCCTCCGTATCGAACACATCCCCAGACGACATTGTCCAAACTCTTAAAACTCACCTCAATATATATTTTGTGTTTTGTTGGGAGGAATCCCCGGTCCCTTGTCCCCGTCACAAACACCCCTAGGAGGCCCGGGAGTGGGTACACGTTTTTGTTGACGCTGCCCCCTTTTGCGGCCCCAGGGGTCGTGTCAAAGGTGACAGGTTACCCGTCGGTCCCCCCCCCCTTAGTTTGATGGAATAGATGGCCCCGGGATATGGATAGCGATACGCTAACTATGATGGCCCCTGCACGTGCGTTTATTATTGTTCACACCCCACGAGGAAATAAAAGATTTTTATGACTTCGATTGAATACGTGGACGAGTTCATTTGAGCCGACATCGGTCGGCAATCTCACCGAGCTTGTTTTGTTTTAATTTCTTTGTTGTGCCCAACACCAAGGGCCTGGAGGTACAGCGACATCACTGCATGGATACTGTGTTTCTCACCTTGTGTAATTTGTCGATTTGCAGTGGTTAACATTGGTTGGTGTTTCCAATCCCAGTCAAAAGTGTCGTTGAGTTAGGTGCATGACTGAACTTAGTCCTTCGATTTAGTTTGCAGATAAACATGGTTTACCTGCTCATCTTGTTATTTTGCACCGTTGACGTTGAGTTGGAAAAGAGACTGCATTTGGCGAGCGTCGCCCACTCCAATTGGTATTTCCGTAACGACCCGCACAGAACGACGCCAAAGAGCTCCAGTCTTGCAAGTACAACTTCGGTTTGGTATACCACATAGAAAGTCCGTGGATCGAATAGTGGGGTGTGGGAGCTGTAAACTCTAAAAAGACCCGGCTCAAATTTGACCCAAAATCGGGTCATAATTTGACCTGACACATTTCCGGGTGAAAATGACTGTTTTACGGGCTAAAATCACACTTCTCCTGGTAATTTTGACCTGGAAATTTTGGCCAAAAATGTTATTTTGACCCACAAAAGTGTGATTTTGATCCAGTAAAGTATGAGTTCAAGTATGATCCGGGTTCCGGGTCAAATTTGACCCGGGACTTTTTAGAGTGATGTCCGAAAGTTTTGGTTTTGCTGATGTTTTTTTTTCTAGCTGTTGTATCGGGTTGCTAGGCAGCTGAGTACATTGTGGTTTTCACCTTCTGTCGATCTTATTGTCGACCTTTCAACTTGTCGAAGAGGCTTTTGCCTTAAATGATATCCAACCTGTCGGTTGATGGGTTGTCTGTAGTCTGCGTTGTCGATCTGTCTTTCTGTGAGCAGGTATCTTTCTCTGTAAATGTCTTAGTCTACACAAACAGTTTCCCCCTTTTATGTTCTCCCTCAGCAAGACCCTCTATCATTCTCTCAAGATGGCCCTTTTTTCCTCCACCCCTGAACCACTGCTCGTCCAGGGGTGAACGCTCGCTGACAACCCTGGAATTTCCCCCTGCTTGCCCTGAACGTCCCTGTCGTCGCTGCCTTTCCCCAAATTTTCTGTCCAATTTACAAGCGGGCATTTCCCATATCGGCGGGCAATCCGCCAAATTCGACAGGCCGTAGAAGATTTATCCAACAACCAGTCCCTCCTGGCTTCCCCACAGAGCGAAATCTCGCGGAATCTCGAGGGAATAGCGAGAGTTGTTCGTATTAACCAGGAGAACGACACACCCGAGCAGTTTGATATATGGTCCATTGAAATTATGACGGATTTTCTAAGGGTCGCGGCCAGCAGTTGACATATCTCGTTCGGTGTTTCTTTACACAAATCAAGGCGCGTAAAAAACGGTTTCTTTTTCGCTTTCTCCATTTGTGCCGTCAGGTCTGGGACTCCGATGGGGGTTTTGGCTTTGACCTCGAGGTCAGGGGTCGAACGAGGTCAACACGAAGAAAAGGGGGCGCGGGCTAGCCTATAGCGTGCATAGCAGGACACGTCAACAATGAAATATTATTTATGAAGCCCGAACAACAGTTTGGTTGCGTGCGATTTTATTTTCAAACTTTCAAAGTGATATGCGAGCCGGTGACATTACATCAGGGGGTCATAAAAATAGCTGCGAATTTGGAGGAGTGTTCTGTGTCTTGTTTCTCGCCTCGACATCTGTGGTGTCCAATTTGTAGGTGATGCATCTCTCTGTTGTCAAATAAATCTCCTACACGCGGTCATTGTCTCTTTATAGATAAGGCAAGGTTTGTGCTATTACGGACATCACCGGCAGGAGCCAGGGCCCAATTTCACGGCACTGCTAAGCACAAAAAAATTGCTTAGCACAAAAAGAGTCTAGCTTATAAAAGCAGCTTACCGGCCAAAACTCCATGTGATTTTCATGCTAAGCAAACAGCTGGATACTAATCACGAGCAATTTACATCACATGGAGTTTTGGCTCTAACCTGCTTTTATAAGCCGGACTTTTTTGTGCTAAGCAAATGTTTGTGCTCAGCAGCGCCGTGAAATTGGGCCCTGGTCATTTACTTGTGAGTTTTGTAACTTAAAGGTCTCGGTTATAAGGAATCGTCTTTTGTGTACTTTAAAATAAACCATTAAGGAAAAGTGACGGTTTTTTCAGAGAAAGAGAAGATTGAGGAAAATGACTGAGGTGGGATTTGGACCTGCGGTCTCCAGAACGCCTTACTAGTACTGGCGCTCTATACCTATATTGGCGGTGTCCCTTTTTAGCCACTGGAGATGACTTAGTTTAGAATTAGAGTGATTAGTTAAGGCAATCAAAGGGGTTTGTATATAAAATTGCGTGTTCTCATACCTCAGGGCTAATTTATGGTATAAGTGCTAAATGACCGATGATCAAAGCTTGTTCTAAATTTGTTTCCACGCATTTCCATTTTTTACACCTTGCCAAACTGTGGACTTCAATCTATCCAAGACCATACTAAAAAATGTTTATTTAGCGGCATGGACGATCTTTCTACGAGTATAGAAATTCCACAGTGTAACCATCTGTATTGCAGGCACTCAGACTACTTGTATACCACACATGCAGTGCGACCATTTTGCCAGCTTGTCCGGTTTATTTATTCGAACTCCTTGTAAACAAATCATTTCTCCGATCGGACCACACGTCCCAAATTCCTGAGCAGATCTGGTCCCCACATCTTTTCTATAGTGTCTCCTCTCCTCCAAAGTTTTCGTCGACTTTGGAAATAAACCCGCCATAAGTACCAATCTGTCTTCGCCAACATCATCATCATCATTATCATTCTAAAAAAAAATACGTGAGCTCCTTTGCTTTGTCAAACAATCGTGATATATCACAATTCACGACGGCATGATCGTCTGAAGGCATTTTCTCTTCCCTGTGGCTGGTGTGACAGTAGCTTGTTCGGTTCATAGCTCCCGGACCATGAACCCTTCGATACGGGGTGAGTCGTCGTCTCCACGCAGTCGCTTCTTATAGGCCAAACAACGGCCACACAGTAGTTAAGAACAGCACTTTGCTCAGCGCAGAAAACGGTTGCTTAACAAAAATAAGTACACTCAAATTGTTGGCCAATGTGTTTTGTTTGTGTCAGGTAATCTCCTAATTTTTATAACATAATTTGTATTTCCTAAGCATTTTTAGTTGCTTTTGAACAAAATGATTCCATTTTTGAAGAAGCGACGAAGAAATTCCTTGAGAAAATGTCCAGGGGGGCTAGATGGATTTTTGAGTATCGTAAGGGGCAGACTCGAAGCCCAGATAATATTGCAAAGTCCCCCCGTGACTATCTTTAAAATTGCAATATCTTAGTTTTTTTCTAAATTCCAGAGCCAGAGCTCAGGACAGTGGCATGCCATATTGCCGTGAATAAAAAAGCATACCCGTCAGTCACAGAGAAACCTTCAGGCTAAATCATTTTACGGATTCTCTTGCCAAAATATATCATATCACCGCCAAGTATGCTGGGTTTGGAAAGTAAACCCTCCCTCAAACCAAACACGACGAATTGTTTCCGTGGATATCATTCCTCAGGGGTCTCTTTTTCCACCCGGCGGGCGGTCGGCGGGGCCCGGGCAGTCGGTGGCCCGGTGCTCTGGCACGGCTTTCCCGGACAACAACCGGTTTACCGAACCATAATTAAAGACCTGTCCCTCGGTTGTACTTCTTTTTGGTAAGACTTGTCTCTTCCTATCCTGATCAGTTGAGGTATCAGATCGAAATTTTAAAGCGATCTTTGATGAAGATTGAGATGGCGGCAATGCCGGCGCGCCGCGGCGTGGTGTGGCGTGCCGTGCCGGCGCTGGCTCCGGTAGAACCGTCTACAGAAAGCCCTAGCCCCGTACTTCGCACTCGGTTCTAGAAACCTCCGATCTCGGTGGTTTTGTGTTACGTTTCCATCTCTCTGCATACCAGACCCTCTGACTGTTGAGCTCGTCTTTCAAGGCTCGGTCTCGGTTCTCGCTGTTACTCAATTTGTCCACGCAGCGGGTTGCCGCCCGCTCTTTTTTCTTCTCTGTCGTCTGCGGTCGCTGCTCGTCGATATTGTATTATTTTTTCAAGCCCGAGCTCCCATTGGATGTATTCTTGACCGAGAAGTTATCAAACCGACGACTATTCAATTATTCGCTTTACATGTTCGACATTCTTCCTTTTCATAGTTCTTTTAATATTTCTTGTATTCATTCAAATAAAAAAGAACTAAATCGGTTCCTTTCTTTTTAGGGTGTGCTATTCAAAATTCTAAATCATGAAGAACGAGCGTTCTTTTGTTGAAGAGATTATTCAAACTTTAGTTCATGAAAGAGTCACCTGGAGTCATTCTTTCCGTCGCATCTACTCCTCTCACGGACCCATCAAACCAAGTTTCGTTCGCGAAGGGCCCAGATCTCCGTCCCCGGCTGGTCAGATATGATTAACCCATTTATGTTGAGAGGTTAATTTAGTTACAGAGTTTGTCTCCGTGTGGATTGGACGATGGAACATCAAACTTCAGCTGGTAGTGTCCAATCTCGTCTCCTGTTGACCGAACTTTATTCACTTTTACATTCGCGCATGGGACTCTATTCTTAATCGGGCGCTACGCCGAGGCCCTAAAATAAAAGACGTGGGTTAAATGCAGTTTTCCTTCGTTGAAAACGCATAAAGAGAAGATTCCTAATGAAAACTTGGGCCTTGAGGCATTTTTGTCGCCATTTAAACTTCCCAATTTAAGATTGGTAAAGGCGTGTTGATAGAAAGAAGCAAACGGAATACAATGACGTATTCCATGGAGGTAAAAAAAAAAATCGTTTCATTTTTTAAACCCCCCCCCCAAAAAAAAATACATATATACATGCACATAACAAAACAGGGATTTGTCTATATGAGAGTAATCGGTAAATTTATCTTCAGGCTTATCTAGACACTAACGGGAAACTCCGGGTAGAAACTTTGTGCTAACTTTTGGATGTGGCTTCCTGTCCAAAAAAAATACATGAAATTGAAACAGTACAGTCTGCTTTACATCGATAATCTAATGTAGCTCTTGGTCCAACATCATCATGCGACATAACACCGACATCGTGCCTTCGATCAGTGCAACCTTACACCCGTCGAGTATTTCCAAATTTCTGGTAATTGGATCCACTGCTCGTTCCTATTGGACCCCCGGCCGGAACGCTTAAGACCAGTAATTCCTACACGCTGTCCCTCTCTCCCGGAAACTTGGCCAAAGTCACGTCCGTCCGCTTGGGCAAAACACGTGCGATGTTGCAGCGATGTTGGGATTTTTGGTAGTTTAATCTTCTTCCTTTTTTTCTTGCCCTTGGACACGCCCAAATTAGTCATCGTTTTGTATACAGTAAGTGTTTGCTTCGGTGTCAGCATGTCACTATGCATTGTTACCATGCGAATAGCTCGCATTGGTATGGAGGATGACAAAGTTTAGTATCTTGAAACAGAACACTACTCGGCAATACTTTTACACACAGTGTCAATTAAACACTGCAGGTTTTCCACTGTGTGAGCCCCTATGGTGTTTTAGTGTTCTGTGTAACTGGTGTTACTGCATGCGAGTCCATTGTGCAACTTACAGTATCGTTTTAATTTGAACCATTTTTGTCATGTCAGTAGGGTGGCCCTGAATGGACATGCAATAGTAAGAATTAATCTCATACGTTGCATTTTGCATATGCTGTTAAAGCAAAATTCGTCATTAAAGAGAAAAATATGATGTTGTAATATTACGTTGTAATGCAAATGTCACAACGCAAATCGCGTCGTCGTATAAAAAAAGTTATGTCTTGAAACTATTTTGCGACCGTGCATGACATTTCAGGACCACCATAACTGCGAGTTGGTGCTAACTATGCGGCGTATTATTGGCGTGTATGATTCTAGTACAGACAATAAAACTGTCGGATTGGAGACGTCAATTGATTATACGACCACTTAATTTAGACAATGTGTATTTTTTAACGATTTGAATCATGAACATAGGCCTATGTTTCTTGCAGTATTTAGCTTGATTCTTGAAACTTTCATATTATCAGTGTTTTCTTCAAAACAGTGAGTATGCAGCGCATATAATAAAACTACGTCGGTTAAGGACAGAACTCAACAATACTTAAAAAACAGATCTCGCTGTCAAACAAAAATTGCTTGGTATTTAGTTTGTCCCAGTCATGTCATATTTCATCCACATTTTACGACAGACCGTTCACTCACCCCAGAAATTTCCAAAAAAATTATTGTCCTCTAAATAATATCTGTTTTCATTATTTTTTTTTACCCTGCATGCATGCGCGAACACAATGCAAATGCATATAGGCCCCTAAGCCCACAGCGTATCTCATACGAACAAACTTGAACAATCATTACCCGTTAATAATAAGATTAGTCCGCTCAATATGATTCAAGTTAAATTTCAGTCGAGTGATCTCCCCCCCCCCCTAAAAAAAAAAAAGAGACGAAAAGGTACGAAACTCGCACGCACTCCCCTAGCCCGATTTCGCAAAACTTCTCTTTTTACTATTAAGAGTAGACACCCACAGACCGTGAACAAAACCCAAATAACAACGGAGAACTTACCCTGGGAAAATAAGATGGAAAAATGGTATTACAATATTACTTTCGCGTGCTGGTTCCAAAGAAAGATTTGAAAGGGAGGAGAGCATTTGGAAAGAGAAACTCCGCCCAGCGTGGGGTGAGAGAACTCCCGTGTCATTGACCTCAGGAGCGAGTCAGCGACACTCGACCGCACCGGCACAAAACCGTGCAGTCCCGGGCTCCTACCCTCAATGACACGCTAGGCTTGCCTGCAGTTGGTATAAATAGAGAGAATTTTTTTTTATTGATACGACGAGAGAGATTTAACAAACCACCCTTAAGAATTGGCCAAATCCATTTCTGTCGATTGTCAGTGAATAATGACCTTCATTCTTTTTTTTTTTCAAATCGTATATGTCTTCAATCCATACTTCCTTCAAATTTCGCTTCAAATTTCGTATTTTTGTTTTACATGAAACTAACGCTATATCCATTTCCAGCTTTTGTTTCACTGAACGTCAAATCTCAAAAAACAAAAATGAAAAAGAAACTTGAATTAAAACTTTGAACTTGAAAAAAGAAAAACTGTCCAATCAAGGGCGGTGCTGACACAATGACGTCATATTCAGTGGCTCTGATTGGACAAAGTTGTGTATATTTTGCCGACGTCATAGTAATAAATATGACACCTAGAAATCGTGACCGTGAGTTATCCAGCCTGTCAACTCCCATTCAGTAACTTTGTTTACACATTTTTTGTTTCAGAGTATACAGGACCCAATTTTGCTCTTGATATTTTGGCATTTGACACTTTGACAAATCGAATGAGGATGAAAACCGCAGTGACCCAAATCGTTTGTCCATAAAAAGAAAAGCAAAGTAAAAGTGGTCACGTACATTAAACATCAAGCAACTCCCGCTCTTTAAGAAATCCAAAACACATTTTACCAGTCAGGCAACATCACAAAGGGCAAGAAAATGAGGTATCGGGGCGCTGCTGTATGACGACAAATTATTCGTCTCCCGCTTGAGAGAATGACTCCACAACTTGTCGTAGTCTTTTTCTACCGATGAGAGTTGACCAGTCAAGGACCACCGGGTCCCGGGCCCCCGCCGCGGCGCGCCTGCCGTCGGCACCGGCAACACGGCTCCGACAAGTGGGACCTTTCCCCTCTACACTCTACCCTCCAAAAGTTCTCCAGAATACTTGTAATTTGCCCTTTTTTTGAGACAACAGGTTTGAATTTGTTGTACAAGACGAACGGCTGTTGCATGAATTGGAAGTGTATGTACGTTTTCATATCAAAATATGTGAATGCAAACAGCTGAACATACATTAACACCGCTACTAGAACGAGTTTCAAATGGCCCAAAATATTCTTTAAAGTTAAGTTTGAATTAAAACACCGTCGTGATTATATTTGTCATACATGAAACATCCGTCAAGTTTTGAAAAAAAAGTCAGAAACTTTCAAAATAAACGCCAGGCCGAATAAACTGTACTAAACCAGCATTAACACTAATTATAAATGAAGGAATGCACAAATTGTTAGCAGACACGTAACACAACATCAACATGTCGGTGACTTTTCCTGATTTCCCCTGCAAAGATGTTTTTTATTAGCTGAGAGCACCATGGAAGCATTTTGATGTTTCTTTCCTTGAAGACGCTGAAAAGAAACCGGAACAGACGAGACGTCCTTCGGTCCAAATCAGAAACGTCGGCCCGGATCGTATCGTTGCCAAAAACACTGCTTCTGTGACAGTGGGTCGTAGTTAGTGTTTATTTCCTCCAAACAAAAAATACATAACAAAAGTCTTTCCATTTCCCTGATAAATGAATTCCAGAAGCTTGGCTCCAACTAGTTCAAGATGACAATTCCATCAACCCAGCCAGCTTGGAGCTCGTTATGCCGAAACAGCGGGTATGAATTCTGAGCGCAGCAAATTATCAGTGTTTGTTGTCGGAATCAATTTAAAATTGCCATGCCGTAAACATTAATAGGCCAATCTGTTATGCTTCTCCTTCCCCGTAAATCATTCCTACAGGCATATGTTCTTTATTACACATTGTCATGTCGGTACACAAACTTTAGATCATAAACTTTGGTGGCCCAAAACTGGCATTGTTTGGGATTGAAACATTCGTCACAGAGCTTTTGTGATTATCTTTGCAACAGCGCCACCAATGTTATGTTACCGCTGGGAATAGCGCCCCCAAGGACATGTTTGTTTCATCAGAACAGCGCCGCTAACGGTTGCATCACCAAAACGGCGCCCCCTTGAGTTCTGTGCCCCATTGAAAGAGAGGGAGGGGACTGGCTGGATGGGGGGGGGGGTATTTCAGAGAAGGTGGAGTGTCAGTTGATGCATTGAGCCATTGTTGATGGAATGTTGGTTCTGAAGTGTGGCCTTGTCGTTTCTTTAAAAAAAGAAGTAACTCTTCCCTTCCCCCCCAAAAAAAGTCAAGCACAGACTTAATCGTCCATCAGTTACCACCTCGATCTGTCGTCGGCGCTGGAGTGGCACCGTGGGCTATTTTGACCTGCCGCTTGAAATAAGACGTCAAAACTCGTCCAAGCGGTTGGTAAATCTCGAGTGGATGAGGTGCCAGTGCGGTTAGGATTGTCTATTCTATCATCGAAGGTTACAAGAAGAGAAGAAACATGCTGGCCCGGGGGGGGGGGGGGGGGTATCAAAGCATTACTTTATAGAAACAGAAAAGTTCGCAAAGATTATACCACAAATTCACAACTTTGTGTATTATGATGAAACTTTGCAAATATACCAATATTAAAGACCGGAAGCTATATACTCCTGTGGTGATGCTTAAAATGTACAAAGTACTGTTCAAACTCAAAGACTCATTCCAAACTTTCTTGAGCTTAAATCCGTTTATTAGTCTCCATATAGCCGTTTTGAAAACACTCAGAATTGAACGATCTTGAGTGAAACAGGCTAGTATCTTTGACCCTGTAAAAGGTCCATGGTCTGATGTTCAGTAACCCTCCAAATTACTCTCGCCTGATTGGCTCCATTCGCTTACCGTTTAACTTAACATTGTGCATAATACGCGTTCTAAGTCTGATAGTCTGTTTCAACAATGCATTTGATCAATGAACGGAGCGAGAATCAGAGAGGTGCCTTCGTGTCCCAAGTCCGCGCCAAGAAAAGACGGAAAACTCGAAACACCCCGGCAGAAAATTCAGACCAAATTCAGCGGTCGTATAAAACGACAATACTTCAAAGAATACGCCAATATTGTCCGCTTGTTTTACTCCGGACAAAGCAGGGTCGAGTTCAACGACATTAGGACTCGGACTGTTTACTGTTGCGGGTAAACGCCAAACCGAAATCCTCCTCGCCTGGTGTTTACAACTCCATCGTCCCGTCCGTTTGTCATTGTTAGCTCAACGCCGGATATTTTTGACCGTGCGCCGGCGCGGTGGTTCGACGGGGCGATCCGGACGTCTCTCCCCGTGGCCTTTTCTTCTTGTCACGCCATGGGTTGGCGACACGCGGAATTATACGCCCGATTTGGGGAAGTGAAAGGGGCCGAGTACACATTGCGTACGCTTGTTTGGGTCCCGTTTGACTTTGCCTTTTCAATGAATGGCCGGCCTTTGTAGGCAGGTGACGCAGGCTCTGGACTCGGCGCCCCAGCATGGAGGATTTGTTTCTGTCCGCCGCAGTCCACAAAGTTTCTTCAATTTTGGAGGGAATTACCCGCTAAGGATGGCCCAGTAAAACATATTAATCAATACAATGTACAATGTAGTTTTCTTCTGCACGATATAAATCAGTTCTGTGCAAAATCCGCTTTTATGATCTTCTGTGCGCTCATAAAAACCACCGTTTTTGCCTTGAACGTGACTAAAAGGAAACATGCTGCGAAACGACGGGAAACCAAGTGAAAACGGAAATTGGACTGTTTTCCCCAGCTGCAAATAAATAAAGTAACAAAATAATAAATACAAATAAATATATAAGAGCTCGTGCGTGAGCCTGTCGGTGCACAGAAATTGGTTCCAAGTTTTGCTAGGAGAACCCTGCTGCTTGTAGCTTGTTACAATTACAACATTTTGGGCTTCTGCGCATGTAGAACTGTGGAGAATTACATGGTCAGGCTGCATGGTCTGTGATGATGAATCTGGCTGTTTCAAGAGCACCATGGGCCACCAGTGTATTTTAAACTTCTTCATCTCCCTTGTCACAACAATGTGCCCCTGACCCTATTTAGTTCGACTTTTGAGATCAAAACTATTGTATCCTGACGCCACTCTTGTGGTAGGAAACATGTAAAAGAGTATGTGCTTGTGAAAACAATTAATCATTATTTGTATTTTTACAGAAGAAGCATGTTTGCAATGACTGACCATCATGTCAGTTATGGCGAAAAGAGATACTGTATTCAGGGTCCGATATTGTAAGCTGGCAACCAAATGCTTCAATTTCAATTGATGTCTTTCTTATTTCTGCGCTTTTGTGTGTCTTAGGTCTGGGAAGCGTGGACGGCCATCTTGGATTGGACGGGGACGGCTACGTGAGCCAGCAATCGCAGAGGACGAAGCGCATGCGCACTAGCTTCAAGCACCACCAGCTGCGCACGATGAAGACGTACTTCAGTCTGAACCACAACCCGGATGCCAAGGACCTCAAGCAGCTGGCTCAGAAAACGGGGCTCACCAAACGGGTGCTGCAGGTGAGTGGCAAACTCTCGACGCTAGAGGGCCTCCTTGTCCATTTCTGGATGGTACAGAAAGCTTCTTGATTTCGAAGCTTCAGCTTCGTCTACGGCGGCGGCTTGATGCGATTATTGTGTACACAATAGGAGGGCACTATATAGTTTGGGTAAACTCTTTTGATAAGATGGGATTTTTCATGCCTGTAGGTAAACTCTTTTGATTATGCAGATTTAGCCGAACCAAATTCATGTATTGTTTCCGCCATCTCAAAAGACAAAAGAAACTGCCCAGCATATAGCTTAGCAAGTTTTAGCCTATAAATATCAGGTGAAAATGCCACCGATGTATCTGCTTCAGAGCAATTTTCGCTAAGCAAGACAAGTTCTAAGCAGATTGTTCTGGAACATAATTCATTCCTAATGGTGCAGTACAGACTCTAAATCAAGAAACTTTCAAAGTTGCTACTTGTTTCTTCATGCCTGTAGGTCTGGTTTCAAAACGCCCGCGCCAAGTACCGACGGAGCCTGCTGAAGAAGGAGCAAGGCGACAAGTCAGTGGGATCGCCGCCGGGCCAGGCCGACCTGATCCACGGCAACTCCGTCTCCTCACCCTCCACCAACGGCCGGAGCAGTCCCACGTCCACCACGGGCGGCGTGCCCAGCCTCCATGGCGGCTGCGACACCAGCAGCGGGTCCGAGCTAGGGTCGATCATGATGGGTTCCCCGGTGGAGGACGACGGCAGCTGCGCTGGCTCCTACACCTCCGAGGGACTCTCTTACAGCGAACTCAAGAATGCCTCGGAACTGTCCCCGGCCGTGGCCGATGACGTCTTGACCATATCGGCCATGCCAGCCTGCTCACCTAACCACACTTTAGCGGGGGACTGTCTGCCTTCTCCCAACGCCCTCAACGGCAGCGTACTGAAAACAAATCTGGTTGACATTTTCAATTGACCCTGAAGCTATGATAACTTGTTCTGATAACTTATTTTGTTTGTGTCTATCTACGTTCAATTAAGCAGCTAATGTCTTGGTTTTATTAAATTTTATATTTAAATCAGGGCTTTCTACCGCCAGCAGTCATGATTTTGTAGGCTCCTAAACAGACTGAAAATGGATCACAATGTAATAGTTTACTGTTGTAACACATTTGAGAAACATACATGGCCATCTTCATGCGAACGTTCACTTTTTGTTCTCCTTTATGTCGTAATTGTGCCCTTTAATTCAGAGCTTTGAAAAGTGTAAAATTATACTCTAGCTTTGGATGATCGGTTGGAATTCCACTGTAAAGTTGGAATTGTTTGTGATTGTTTGAAAAGCTCTCGGCCTATTCCTGCAAATTCTCAAGGGGTGGACACAACTCCTATTTGTCCCATGAGCCACACCCAGACCATTTGAATAATCCCCTCGTAGTGAATTTCCGTCTAATCCCATAGATACGATTTAATTCGCGTCAAAATCGGTACTATGATTTTATATCATGTTCGTCTTTTTATAAGACACCTCAGGAACAACGAATCGCATTTCTTGTAAGTTATATTTTCTGTGGTTTATATCACAGTTTTTTTTGTACAGGATATCGTGTAAATAACTTTCAAAAGATATTGTTTAATTAAACTGTTGTCTTGTAAATAAAAAATAAAATTTATCTGTCTCGTAATAGATGACCGTATTCACCGTATTGTTCCCGGATTTATAATTGTGTACGCCTATTGAACTGGCATGTTTTTGACACGAGAGGGCGTTCATCGAACCATTGTTTGCTCGTCCTGCTTGATAAGGTAATGGGTATTTCGAAAATGTTTCAAAAACGAGACAGCTTCTCTTGACATTGAAGGAAATCTCTACAAGGTGCCTTGATCATGAATCACAAAAATGGATTGGAGTGCAGGACTTGGTCTTGCCATTGGTAACATTTCAGTAAATTTTGATCTTTGTATGTATAAATGTATTCGGCATTTTTGTCGGACGTTTGATGATTGCGCGTATGGTAAGGACGATTTAATGCAACGATGTTTATGCAAAACAGAATATAATAATGTAGGTCGGTATTTTCTACAGATTAAACCATTTTTATTTTGGCAGTCGAACTTCTTCTAATGTTATCACATTTTCTGGATGCTAATAATTACGTAAATTCACTTGTCAATTATAGCAATTTACAATTTGAGCGTCCCTTTTAATATTTGTGTTTGTGCACCAATGGCAGTTTTTCACACATAGGCCTAATTTAAATAAACTTTGTTGACGTGCGAGTGTGACAGTTTACTGGAGTGATTTTCTGACTATGGTTATATTTGGGCATAATTCCAACATGGCGCATGAGTTGGGAATGGTCCATATATGCATTTTTGTATCCATGCACTTCTTGGTTTTGTATGATTTTTGACAACATGTGCCTTAGTTTGTGCACAGTTGTGACTTAAATCTTGTTGCTTTATAAGTAATGTCAAAATGTACGGTTGGAATGAATATTTATGTAATTGTCTTTACCAAAAGAATAAAGAGAATAACTGTTATAACGAATAGTTCCAAATTAGTCGCTGTGTGTACATTCTTTTATAGTAAGTCTCAATCTGTGGGTTTTCGTACATTTTTTGAAGCAAGATATTCATATAATTATGCACGGTGTTGGCCATTGTACGTAAAGGGAATCTGAGGATATCTTTTGCGATCATCTAAGGAGATGTGTCGGGTATCAATATTACAGGGTGAGTAAAAAACGCATCCCAAATGGCAGGACCTATTTTGAATGAAGTTTTGTCTGAATCACTTTCAAAATCTAGGATAAGAAAGCCCTATTAAATGAGCTTTTTTATATCTTTTATACAAAAATCATATGTACTTTTCAAGTTGCGGCATTTTGAACACAAACACCGTTGTGTAGTATACGGAATGTACCACAAAAGTGTCCGGCTGACTGTTTTAAAAAACGGGGTCTGCTCATAGGTCCGACGCCTTGTAAGTCTGAAATTATGAGACGTCGGACTTATGAGGCATAATAATATTCCGCCTCATAATTTATGTCCGATGTTATATTAAGTCCGACACCTCATAGCTCCAACGCATCATAAGTCCGAAACAGAGTTTGTCCATTGTTGGACTTATTAGGCGTCGGAATTATGAGACGTTGGACCTATAAGGCTTCGGAATTATGATACGGCCCCTTAAAAAACTGCAAAACACGAGGTCAATTTTGAAACCTTTTGGTTGTGCAGATATCCACCTATAAGCCTTGCTTTCAACCCCAATGAGTTTCATGTGATTTCAGTCTCGCATCACTGCACAATGGTCAAATGATCACAACATTGTTTTTGGACACTGTGACCAAGTTACTTGCATTTATCAATTTCAGTGCTGTTTTATGTGTGAAATCCAACATGTTGTGAAAAAAGGCTGACGTGGTTTGGGAATCATTTGCCCTTGATATTAGCATTAAACTGAGGTCTTGACAATGATTGACTGATCATCAATAATGATTCCAATCCCAAATGCAGCCCTTTTCACAACGTGAAGGATTTTACTATACAAATTACTTAACACAGTTATGAAGTTGAATAAGAAAAGCCTCGGGAACTTCCTTACAGTGTCCAAAAATGTTTTTGCGATCAATTGATAACTGTGAAGCGATGTGTGGTGAAAATAAAGTAAATCTCATTATAGACGTCAAAATAAACAGTCACTCGCGAAAAAAAACCCAGTTTTGGTGAAAAATACGGACATAGTCGCGGGAAAAAGGGACTTTATGTTCTTCCGGCTAATCATGATTATGGCTGTTCTATTCTCCAGATGCCCAATTTCTGGGGGGGGGGGGGACTGGGGGGGGGGACTTTTTTGGGGGGGGGGGGGGGCGTGCGCCCCGCACGCCCCCGTAGCTACGCCGCTGGGTGGAAGGGGCGTGGAAAGGACTTTGGAACGCAAAAATGGGAACTTCTCCCCGTCCCCCTCCCCATCCCGCAAAGTCTCCCCCCCCCCCCCCCGCCCCCGGGTCTCAGTGCTCTGCGCGCGATGCGCAAAGTAATTAATCAACAGGATGTATGGGCTACATCATGCATCATTTATGCACAATTGCACGACTAAAACTTAAAGTAATTTTACGGAGTAATAAGGAGCAGCTGCACTGCATTGGCTCATTTTTCTTCTGCAGAAATAGTAGGGCACTTATCGTCGTGGACAGTTGGGCAAAAAAGTATACGCGTTTGTCCTATTGAGGGCGCACTATCCTGTACCAGCAAAGGTACAGGTTGAGCTGAAGTCTCGTCGTATGAAAATTCGGTAAGATTTGCTTCAAAACATTTTCCTTTTTGGTTAATATTCAGTTTCATTTGGTTGGTATTCAAACTTGCTAAACCTGTGGGGAAAGAATGTTGCAACCTGACGTAGCTTGAGTAACTTCAGCTGACATGCTCATATTCATTCACATGTATGAAAAAACTATGATGTAGCGCTGAAGGAAGAACCTGTTGGTTTTATGTGGTAGCTAGCCCTGTTGTGCCCATTCTTGAAAATCACGCATTCTTAAGAATGTGCATGCACATTCTTAAGAATGTGCAACTGGATCCTTGCGCAATCTTCGCAAAAAATAACTCTTCCAGATTGAGCGCACATTCTTAAGAATGCGCGACAAGATAACGGTCTTGTCGATGCCGAGCACCGGCTGCGCTTGGCAAGTCTAGCTGCATCCTCGTTCACTGATTCTCAATAATTATACTGTTGCAACGCAAGGCGCTGAAAAGTACATGTAGAGTGGATATGATAAGTATAGGCGTATTGATAGGGGGGGGGGGGGACCGGGAAAAATAAGAGACATAATAATACTAGTGGAAAGAATTCTGATTTTTGGGATAATAAAAGCGGGGGGGGGGGGGGGGGGGGACGTAAGAATGAGAATGAATACTGCGACATCCCATAGTGCTAATGCTATTTCCCATTTAAATTGCCACCAATTTATTGTTCACACCCCACCATTACGTCGCAGAGCTCGATTCTATCTAGTCAAAAGAGCAATTTTGGCAGCTTCTGGACATCGTTTTTTTTTCGTGGCATGCATATGATACATACAGGGACTTGTAACTTGTCTAGCCTATAAAAAAACAAAGCACTTCCCAGACTAGTTCCCAGTACTCCGTTATTACAAAACTTCCCATAGTGGGCAGAAAAAAGCAATAATAACAGGTTTAATTTGATTCAAATTATCGTAGTTATATGAGTACAGAAGCATAGAACATTTTCTTTCCTCTTTATATAAATTGTTTCCCTTTTAACCGCTATACATTTCATTTAACATAATTATGTCGTGCAATGTTTATTAAGATTGGGCAAAATTCATAAATTGTGCACGTGATATTCCCACCCAATCTTAAGAATGAGCACTCATTCTTAAGAACGCGTGCTCGTTCTTAAGAATGGGCGCTCATTCTTAAGAATGCGCGCACATTCTTAAGATTGCGTGATTTTCAAGAATGGGCACAACAGCCCCATAATGTGGCCAGTTTACTGGACTGCCTCCGTAAACATAGGCCACACATCCGCCATCTTGGAATCTGACTCGGCGAAATTTTGAAAGTGATTTCCACATTGCGACTTCAGACCCAGTTCATTTATGCTTTAAAAATACACTCACCCTCTTAATAACAAAATTGGAACCTGCTGCCAGTGTCAGTTGCCCAGCTGCTGCGTAATTTACGATTATTTCTGGAGCCTTCTTGGCAACTTGGATTCTACCTCCATGGTCCAACTGAACAATGCCCTCGCGCAATATGCGATATGCAGGGATATCGTTCACCTGTCGATGTCAATCACGCGTGCCTCAGCCCCGGTGGTAGTCTGGTTCCCAGACCTGACAATTATTCCCGATGCTCACGTCTAAATAAGGCGGCATCCGAATCAACTGTCTAGAGCTAGGTCTAGGTCCGCGCCCATTGAAAATACGCGGGGACGCGCTGACAATAGACCTAGCCGTAGCTCTGAAGCCCATTTCAGACCGGCCTCATCAGGAATAGTCAGAATCTTTTGGTCTGGGAACCGGACTACCACGGGGCCTGCGGCGTGCCTCCTGCACGCGTGATTGACAGGTGAACGACACTGCATGTGCCCACGAGCGAGTGGAGCGCAGGGCGATCAGGATGATCTAGCCGATTTAGCAGATTTTTTTCGATTGTTTAGGTCACGTGTGAGTGTGCCGTGCGCAAAATTAACCGATCATCATGGACGACAGCATTGGTACTGCACGAATTTAACGGACAAGTCAACGAAATCATCAATAATGTTCATATTTTAGTTTTTTGGTCGGTGTCAAGTCGATTAGTAGCTTCGTGAATGACTGCCGAATGGTATGAGGTAGGTAGTAGGAATCTGGGGTGGGATAAAAGAGGTGAAATTTGGACAATTTTGGAGAGGCCGTTTTTTTTGGGTCTCTTGCTACCACGTAAAACCAACAGGTTCTTCCTCCAGCGCTACATGTGAATGAATATGAGCATGTCAGCTGGAGTTACTCAAGCTAAACCTGACGCTGCTTTTTTCTTCATACTGTAGGCCTATATCTTAATGAAGGTCAGTCTTTGCAAAAATGCTGATAGGCCTAGGCCCTGGCCTAGTATTGTGAATTAAAGACATGAATCTGCACCTGGGCAGGGACTGAGAAAAATTTTAAATTTTGTTAGGAAATAGGGCCTACTTAAAAACTTTCTTGACTCTCCATAGACATGATATACTTTGTACACAACCATTGAAGTGGCGTCAGGTTGCAATATTCTTTCCAACCTGTGTTATTTCGCGATGTTCATGGAGGAAGAAGTAAGAGAGTTGTTAATATTTATATCCCTAGACAGTCTGTATTAAACTGGCTCGCACTGGTAACAAAGTCCGACTCTACGTGGCATCCCTATTTAATGCGCCTATCAAATGTTTTTGATAGGCGCATATAGTCTTTAATCAACGTGAACGTTACAGGGAAAATATAAGACTTTATTCAGGGGATGTTTTGGTCAAACATTAACTATGAAAAAATGAGTTGAGATCATTATAAAAACCACTTCCCGCATACCGCCATAATTATAATACTTAGGGAGTCCATCTCCGTCTGCACACTCCAAGCATGTCTATTTTCACAGGCATCGTACACGGAATAAACCTCACCGCCATTGGATTTGTTTATATCAATTTGAAAAGGAAGAGTTCTACAACACAAAAGACAGGACAATTCGGGAAGGTTAGTGGGCAATCTCTATTCCGAATGAGAAACGTGATAAGTACCGCGATAATACGGAGTCCCATCCTACGTACGTACATAAGACACTATTGTACATGGGCCATAGCATAGGCATACATGTACAATGTTTGACATTGATTCCCAAAGTTGAGGATTTGAAAATAAAAAACCAACAGATTTATGGGTTTAATTCTTGACTTAGTATATTATCTGCCACTTAACACATCAATGTTCACCTCACCTGGTGATTTCACCTGAGATGAATCCAGAAAGCTCTGGAAATGTGAAGACATTTTTCTGAAAAATGTATTTTTTAGAGCACACTTTGGATGCACACATCAGCTTGGCAGCAGACGGTCTTGGTGGCCATTTGTGGCATTAGGTATTAATGTATGCGGTGCGCGTGACGTGACATCGACAACGCACTACCCCTACCCAATGATACTGTCGTGCAATATGTCTCATGAATACTTAATTTTTCATGATTGTTTATTAAATATTCATTAGCCTTATACTTAAAATGCATCAAATAGTCCCTTACTGGCAATGATCGTTCGACTAGTGTAGCGGATAAGGCTGGTGTGATTAAATAACAAGATTGCGGGTTCGAATCCCGCTGGAGTAAGTAACTGGTAAATAAAGAGGATTAAAGGAGGGTAGAGAGTGAGAGTCTAGGAGGGAAAATAGATGAAAGAACCATCAAAAGTAACTTTTTGATGCTTGAAAATTGATTGAAAAAAAAGTGAAGTACGTTATGAAAAACTTTCCAAATTAGGTATTTTTGGGCGTTAGCTTGAGTAACTCCAGCTCCAAAATGTTCATGAGGCAAAGAGATGTTCAGCTTTTCATTATACATTTAGGTCTAAAATGTGTTTTTCTACATCCAGAATCCACAGGCTCTTGGAGCTGCATTCCTGTCTTCAAAAGGTTGTATCGCTCCTAAAAAAAATCCACAATGAGTGCCATCAAAGAAACCACTACCAAGACAGACGATGAACCGGAGGTCGAACCATACTGTCATGACACTCGTGGCAAAGCCATCTGTGAAAAAAAGCTAGAGTATCGCCGAAGGAGCAGCGCGGAGGAAGATGGATTTGTTTGTGACATTTGTGGCGAAGGTTTCTCGGAGAGAGGTCACCTGCAAGTCCATCAGATACCGGTTATATGTGATATTTGTGGCAAAAGCTTCTCAAGGAGATGTCTGCTACAAGAACATGAGACGGTCCACAAGAGCGAGAAATTGTTTCTTTGCGGCATTTGTGGCGAAGCATTCTCAGAGAGAAGTCTACTACATGAACATGAGAGGGTGTACAGTCATCAGGAATTGTTCCTTTGCGACAATTGTGGTGAAGGTTTCTCAAAGAGAAGTCTACTAGGAGAACATCAGATGCCAGTAATTTGTGATATTTGTGGCACCGGCTTCTCAAAGAGATGTCTGCTGCAAGAACATGAGATGGTCCACAAGAGCGAGCAATTGTTTCTTTGCGGTATTTGTGGCGAAGGTTTCTCGGAGAGAGGTCACCTGCAAGTCCATCAGATACCGGTTACATGTGGTATTTGTGGCAAAAGCTTCTCAAGGAGATGTCTGCTACAAGAACATCAGACGGTCCATGAGAACAGGGAATTGTTTCTTTGCGGCATTTGTGGCGAAGCATTCTCAGAGAGAAGTCTACTACATGAACATGAGAGGGTGTACAGTCATCAGGAATTGTTCCTTTGCGACAATTGTGGTGAAGGTTTCTCAAAGAGAAGTCTACTAGGAGAACATCAGATGCCAGTAATTTGTGATATTTGTGGCACCGGCTTCTCAAAGAGATGTCTGCTGCAAGAACATGAGACGGTCCACAAGAGCGAGAAATTGTTTCTTTGCGGCATTTGTGGCGAAGCATCCTCAGAGAGAAGTCTACTACATGAACATGAGAGGGGCCACAATAATGAGGAAATGTTTCTTTGCGACATTTGTGGCAGAGGCTTCTCAAAGAGAAGTCTACTACAAGAACATCAGAAGGTCCACAATGATGAGGAATCGTTTCTTTGCGAGACTTGTGGCAGAGGCTTCGCAAGAAGATGTCACTTACAACAACATCAGAAGGCCCACACCAATGAGAAATCTTTTGTTTGTGACATTTGTGGCAGAAGTTTCGCTGAAGGTTTTAATTTACGACAACATTATCAGAGAGTCCACCCGAAGGAGAAACCGTTTGTTTGTGACATTTGCAGCAGAGGTTTCTCCGATGGTTACGACTACCTGCGACACCAGAGAATCCACACCAACGAGAAACCTTTCCTTTGTGATATTTGTGGCACAGGCTTCCAAAGAAAAAGTCACTTAGAACTCCATCGGGTGCTGCACACAAAGGAGAAACCCTTCCTTTGTGACATTTGTGGCAGAGCCTTCTCTAGACAATGTAGCTTACAGCGACATCGGGGGCTCCACACTAATGCAAAACCCTTCGCTTGTGACATTTGTGGCAAAGGCTTCTCACGGAGCTGTTACCTCCAGCGACACCAGAGTGTCCACAATAAATGAGAAACCATTTTCAAAAATTGGTGACATTTGCAGTGTTGTAGTACTCGTACTCGGTACTCGTACTCAAGTACTTTTTTTTTTTAGAGTTCTCATACTCGTACTCAAATGTCAAAGTACTCGTACTCGAAATGATGGTATTTGTACTCGGGCAGCAAAGTACTTGAACTCAACATGTAAAAATTGTCTTCATCATCAAAGTACTCAGACTCGAATAGCAGTTCTCGGGGGAAAAAAAACCTGTATAGCTTGACTAACCACATCAGTTTGAAATGGTTGATTGGCTTGCGGGGATCGGGGAAATCAAAGTTTCCTGATTTTCCTCTGTACATGTCCGGACAAACACATACAGCTAGCCGTGATTGGGTCTGCATATCGGTCTGACTGGGCCTGGGCCAATTACGCATAATGAACCTTTTGCAGTATGGCCGTATTTAGAAATAGAAGTACTCGTACTCGTACTTGGAAGTACAAGTACTCGTACTCAGAAGTACTCGTACTCGGAGACCTGTACTTGTACTCGGAAGTACAAGTACTCGTACTCAGCAACCTAAGTACTCGGCAGTACTGGGTACTCGGGAAAAAGTACTCGACTACAACACTGGACATTTGTGGCCAATGATTGTCCCAGAAAGGTAGTCTTCAACGACACCAGAGAAGCCATTTGTTTGTGGCACATAGTAGTTCACAGCGACATCAGAGACTCCATACCAATATAAAGACACCCCTCCTTTGTGACTCTGTGGCAAATGCTCATGTAGTAGCAGCTTATGGCAACATACATGTATGATGGTCCACGCTTGTAACATTTGTAGCAAAGGCTTGTCATGTAGTAGTCTATGTAATAGGCCATGGCGAAAGCCATCGAGACTTGGTTCCGTGGATAACGGGTGATACTCGTACTAGTAATGTAGTGCTTATGATAACATACAATGTACGATAGTCCCCACTAATGAGAAATCACTTAGTTGTGACGTTTGTGGCAAATGCTTTTCACCTAAAGCTAGCCTCCAACGACATCAGTGTCCACAGTGCACGCAACGTTCATTCATGAATGCATTTCCTAGCAAAACAGAGGCATTGCCCTCTAAGATGGCTGCTGCGCAAAAGGTCTGTTGAAAAGGATCGGCCGAGCTGGGCAGTTGTTGGAAAAGTTTTGATTGTATTTTTTAAAACCATGGCTAAGCTTGGGAACAAAATCATACTTATGTTTTGAAAACATGATTTTGGGGTTTGGAACACAAGCAAAACACCGGTGAGAGAAGTTAATTTTCATCTGACACCTACAGTATACAATTATAGGAATATGGTATTCATTGCATGTGGGACCCAGAACTGCTTAGGTGATGTACATGTAGCTACTCGAATAAAAAACTCAATATTTAATCAAGGGATCATGTTCTAGATTTTTTTCAAATTTGTGCTGTTTTGAATTGCACCTTTATACATACATGTATTTCAATCATTTAAATTCAATTCAATCTTCATATGGCCATTTCAAGAGTGTTTTGGTGCCTTTTTGGTTTTTATGCAACTTATTTCCTTAAAGGGAATGTACATCATTGGCTTTTGCTGTTATTTTCAGAAATGAACTATTTGAGGGGTTAGTATAATAGATCAAATATTGTTACACTAACATGTTTGAAGTTTTGTGTTCGAAAATGCTGGATAAACCAAGAAAAACAAAAATGTTCAAGCAGTCTGGTTCCCTGACTCCACTTAAGATGAAATAGATCAATATTTATAGATGCCGGAAAATTGTAAGGTGAGGGAACCAGTCTAGCCTGCCCGCACCCGTTCACGAACATGTAACCAATAGCAAACAAAATTTGGACAGAAAAAAATGGTAAATTTGGATCAGTAGTTGAAAAATAGTTAGGTTTTTCCAACGGTGGTCGGCCGACCACCGTTGAAAATGTATACAAAATTACCAATTTTTTGAAAATGACTTCACACCAGGTGCCATAATTTTACAGTATGCTTTATACTGTCATTTATCAACATCCTAGTAAAGTATTTCGTAAAAACTTGGTAGTTTTATTTGTCGATGTTTGCAAATGTTGTATATTCCCTTTAAGCAAAATTTTGATTTCATTCAAGGCTAAGACAAAAATGGAAATGTTTCTCAGTCCCAGATTCATGTCTTTTCAACCTTTTTTGCACAAATTCATCATTCACAGTGGGCGTGTTGTGTCACACTTTCATCATGTAAATCACAGAGAAATGTAGATTGTGCTATTGCTTGTACGTAGTCGAAAAATTCTTTATAATGTGTAGCAATACAGAAAAGAACCGCAGACAGAACATCAGAACCCAGTACATGTAAGTTTATCACCTCATTAGTATTTGATTTATAAAATACTATTTTTCACCATTCAGGAACCCACTAGTGCGTTAACCAGAAATCCATTCTTGAAGGCCCATACCTGCCACATTGCTACAATGAGTGCCGTCAATGAAACCACCGTCCAACAAGAGGGTCAACCGGACCGTCACAATACTTGTGGCAGAGTCCGTGACAGGAAGCAGAAGCATCCACAGAGAAGCCAAATGGAGGAAAGGAAACGTGCTTGTGGCATTTGTGGCCTAGGCTTCCTGCAGGACAGCGACTTACTAAAACACCTGGCAGTTCACACTGATCAGAAAACATATGCCTGCGAGATTTGTGGCAAGAGATTTTCGGGGAGTGGTTACCTACTGAATCATCAGAGGGTCCACACTCACAAGAAACCACTTCTTTGCAACATTTGTGGCAAAAGTTTCTTGCGGAGAAGTACACTACTGCTACATCAGAGGGTCCACGCTCAAGGTAAATCACTCACTTGCGATACCTGCGGAAGGCGCTACTCGCATATGAACAACTTGCGGACACATCAGCGAATGCACACTAGTGGGAAATCGTTTCTATGTGACGTTTGTGGTAGAGGTTTTTCTCTGAGGACCATCCTTTTAAAACATCAGGGGGTCCACACTAAGGAGAAAACATTTATTTGTGGCTTGTGTGGCGAAAGCGTTTCTACGAGAAGTGGACTATTAGAACATCAGATGGTTCACACTAAAGAGAAGCCATATTCGTGTGAAATTTGTGGCAAAGGCTTTTCAGACGGTAGTAACTTGGAACAACATAGGAGGGTCCATCGCGCTAAAGAGAAAACATTTCTTTGTGAGCTATGTGGCAAATGCTTCTTTGAAAAGAGGAGCCTGCTTCAACATCATAAGGTCCACACAAAAGAGAAACCTGCATTTACCTGCGATATTTGCGGTAAAGGGTTCACACAAAGTACCACCCTACGAAGGCATCAGAGGATCCACACTGATGATACGTCATTTGTTTGTGACACTTGTGGCAAATGCTTCTCGCAAAAGTGGAACCTACTAGAACATCAGAGGGTCCACACAAAAGAGAAAGTTGCCTGTGATATCTGTGGTAAAGAGTTCTCACATACGAGCAGCCTACGAAAGCATCATCGGAAGATACACAATTGTAAGATGCCATCTGTTCGGGACAGTTTGGGCAAAGGCTTCTCGCAAAACAGGAATGTCCCAAAACGTCAGGTGCCTACAAAAGAGCAACGGGTAGTTTCGTGTGATACTTGTGGTAAAGACTTCCATAGTAGTAGCCTACGAAGGCATCAGAGGATCCACACTGGTGAGATGCCGTTTGTTTGTGACATTTGTGGCAGAGAATTCTCTGATGGTAGTAACCTACAACGACATAAGAAAGTCCACACGAAACATAAAGAGGGTCCACACTAATCACGGACCATTTATGCGTAACGTTTTGTGGAAAAGATTTCGCAGAGAGCGGTGGCCTACAGAGCCATAAGATCCACACTGATGAGAAAACCACTTACTCAAGAAGCTTTTCGGGAAGAGGGGACGTACTCTTGGGAGTACAAGAGAATTTACAGCATAGTAGTGGCTAAAATTCCCATTAGTCTTTGTGATAAGCAGGAGCAGACTTCACACTAGTTATGTTGTAGAGCACATGTACATGTTAGTGTGAGCTACAGCCTCATCATATTTATCAAACCAATTAATTATAAAAGTAAGATGACCCTGAATATCTCATTTTTCTTAAAGCAAACTTCGAATAGGGAATATAAACTGCTTCAAGCAAGTGTTATGAAAATGTTATTCACTATCAAGAGCAGATCCAGAGAGGTAACCGGGGGGGGGGGGATCTCTTGCTCTCAGTCACAAGTAAAAAAAAGGGGGGGGGGGTCTCTGGCTCTCAGTCACAAGTAAAAAAAAAAAAGGGGGTGTCTCTGGCTCTCAGTCGCAAGTACAAAAAAAAAGGGGGGGGGTGGGCGCCCCCTCTGCACCCCCTGGATCCACCACTGACTGCACATGTAGTTTATTTAATATGTGGTCGACAAATTTTCATGTGCGGTTTTTTTTTTAAAGTTTTATTTGTATGTCCTCTATTTTTCTGCATAAAGTAGCAGTAGGAAAGCTTTCCTTCCAAATCCACTCCAGTTTTCACTGTTTAACCCTTACCGCCCTGAATCCTTCAAAATTCTCTTTGCCAGAGTGGAGGAATTTGGAGGATTGAGGTTACATGGCACAAGAGCATTATTGATTTCGTAGGATGCACTGATTTTGAAGGATGCTTTGTAGGATGCACTTTGTCAAGGTCTTGGGCCAGACTTTGTGTTGTTTTTGCTCAGCCATGCATAAATATAGGCTTAAAATCCTCCAAACTGCTCCAGGATTTCAATTTCAAACTGTCACCTGGAATATTCCAAGATCATTTTTTGTAACTTCTTATTCCTCACCTGGGATCCCACAAGTCTACATGTTAACTGAAGTACATGTATGATGAACACGTCAAGAATACGCAACTGGAAGGGTTACATGTACACGTGTACACGACTGGTACAATAAGGAGCAAGATTGGGCGAGGACTATTAGTCGAGTTGATTCGTGACGTGATTTATCCTGCGCACTAATAGCAGCGAACAAATTTATTGCCTCGTGTCAATATCAAATGCCTGCCTAAGCTTCATCATGAAACGTTAAGATCCCAGCTCCCAGCTGTGCATTATGATGTGCGCGGCCATTGGTGATGGAACCATGCCCAGTGGTCCAACTATCCTGTGTTCAGAAGCGGTCGAACTATTGTCAACCTTTGTCCTCACTCAAACTTGTTCTAGACTGCTGCACTAGAAATAATTGACAACACACCAGGAAATGCACGTTAGCAGTTTAAGCTCTGTTCTTTTAATTAGACCTCCGATGCCTTAGCAAAAAAATGGGTGAATTTAAATCACAAAGTCTCTGTGTGGCAAACTTATCTGCCAAGTGAGTGATTCATGTACATGTAGTTATTTTTTCAAACCTACAATACAAGGGTGGATCCAGAACACAAATTTTTGGGGGGTCAAGAAAAATTCTGGCCCCCCAAAAAGTGGGTCAAAATTTTTTTTTTTTTGGATCCTAGATGCTCTGTGGTGCTATCTGAGGCAATTTCTGACCACTTTAACCAAATCTTTTGGAGGAAAATATAGTGGTGAACGCAGTGCCTGCCTTTATTGCGACGTCACTGGTATGGCCCCCTTTGCCCCCTCCCCTTGCTACAATGTAGCTTTATCTCCAGTTTTATTGTTCCCAGACCAAAAGGTTCTGACTAAGCCATGTGAACCATAACTTTTAAGAAATACATCTGCAGTTGTCCCTTCTTTTTCAAATTTCTCCATCAACCTTCCGTAAGTGAAAAACAAATTAGTGGATAATAATAAGTGCTCATATTGTTCAGTTGATGTCCAGAACGTTCTACATTTCACTTTGTCCATATCTTCCCCAATCAAGACAAAATCTGGTTCTCAAATATTATCCAAGACCCCAGGAAAGTTTGGCTCAAGGTTAAAGCCCAGTAAAAATGAAAAACAAAAACTGTGTGTCATCGGACATCACGACGTGCTGGTCACTCCAGCTTGCTTCTTCCCGTAGTATTCCATGTAGTCATATTTCACAAAGGGCACGGTGAGTGGAATCAGTCCTACAAAAGAAAATAAAAGAGAGATATCTCAAAACTAAGAAAAAATGAGTAAACCAACTAGACCGCGGACAAAATTCATGCAAATCTCAGATTGAAAACCAAGTGAGATTTGTTTCGAGTCAACTCGGGAACCAGACCAACTCGGGGCCTGAACAGCTCAGACCCAGACCAAATTGCACCCAGGCCATGGTGATGATTAGCATCACAATAGTTGACTTGTCATGAAATTTGCATAATTTTTAGGTGTTCAAAGTTTGCGAACAATTTAACATCTGCTGATTCTCATCGCATTTCACAGTACATGTAGAAAGTCACTTTTTGGGAGTTTAGATACAAATTCTGAAAGAAATACACTCTGTGAGTGCCGACTGGTATACATAACATCGAAAGACAACGGATGAGGATTTGCACCAAAGTCAATTTTACTCTTGTATTTTTTACTGAGCGGTACAAAACCTGCAAAATTTTAAGCAAGTTTACTGAAATTCTTTCAACCAACAGAGGGCGCTGCGTCAATTTACTTGATAAAAATTATGTGATGGACACAGCAACTAGTGTTCAGGTTGTACATGGAGGTGGTGTAGGTTTGTGAACTGTTTCATTTTACAGAGACATGACTTGGTGAGTGCTGGAACTCTCGTGTATTTGAAATGATACAACCATAACATGATTTGAAGGTGGACAGTTGATTTAAACTCCTTGTAGTACTATTGGAAGTTGACAAACTAGTTCCCAGGCCAAGCTGAGGGAACCACATTATAGTTTGTTAATTTCATATACTGTTGGAAGCTCATAATCGAATGTCCAGCCTGATGAAACCATGTTACATTCGTTTATTAAACCTCAAATATCGTCGCAGAGCTGACATACCGGCGGATCGACCATTTTGGCGATTTTGAGATTTTGTTATTTTTGTGGTTTTTAAAGGTTGCTCTTTCAAGTATTTATGCCAAAATTCTTAATTGTCTGAATTTTGAGATTTGGAGCCTAATCAGTCATAATAACAAATCCGTAATGTGACGAGTACGGAATTTCGCTGGTAACCATCTAATGTATGGTGTGCGTTCAAAGTACCAACAAATGCTATTCGTCAGTTTGTCGGATCGCAGTGCGCGCGCGATTCAACAAACTGACGAATAGAATACGAACAGTGTGAAGAACAGCCGTCTATTAGAGATTTTGTAATTTGACAACCTGACGAATACGTTTACGATCTAATAAAAACATATTGCACAACTTCTCTGATTAAATAAGTAACCTGATGGATACTACGTTTCCTATTTTATTTCAATTATACACCAAAAGGGTTATTATCGAAACATTAAGGATGATATACGACACCCAGAAAAATGTCCAACTTCCAACGCGAATTACTCGAAACAGGGTTTTTGCTTATTCGTCGGTATGTCAGCTCTGCGACGATATATTCAGTTACATGTACCATTATTTTGTATAAGATTTTAGTCTTTGCATGGTGGAGTATTGGTATTGTTTCGGTTTGCGGTAACACCACGTGAATCCCCGATTGGCACATAACGATGAATTGACTAATGAGAAAGTGTCTATTGCTCATGAATATAAATGAGGTGTAGCAATGTGTAACAAATTATGAAGATCAAATGAAGTGAGGGCTGGCGGGGACATATTGATTCAAGTACACACAAACATTGGAAATCCTACCATAGTCCCTCGCCTCGGCAATAACTTTGTTGAGCTTCCTGTACTGCCTCTGACACACACCTGTTTTGAACAAACAGAAAATGTATGCACAATTTTTGGGGGCACATTTATTAAAACCACCTTCAATGATTGTTTTCTTTGGAGTGATACCATTTCAGGCGGGATCATTTCGCAGGGTGTTTTTGAATCTCAGGGTATCGGAAAAACATTGTTCCACTTTTTATTTGGACCACCCTGTACAATTGGTATTGAATTGGTGAAGCTTTTGTGATTATTGTTATTGTTTTGTGAAGTTTTGAGACTTTCTTATTATCTCATATTGGTGGATCCACGGCTACATGTGAATATACAGCTTTTGTTTTTGCTCTTCACATTTTACATTTTTTCGTTTCAAGTATTTTGGCAAATGTATTTTAGAAACAATCTAGACTGTATGTGTCGATGATTCTCCATGTACGTACCTGTGCGGACATCAGAGTACACCAACCCTGAGTGGGGGCAAATAAACTGCTTCAGAAGTCTCACATTCTGTGAAAAACAAAAAACAGCTTGTTTCAATATAGAATGCTTGTGCTTGTAGCAATATATCATCATACAGCGTGTGCCAAAAAAAGTGCAACATTCAGAAAACAAATAATTAAAACTGTTTAATGTTTTTTCCCTTCAATGAACTTACATATTACATTAAAGCCTGACTATTTCTCAATCCACTCCTTTTTATCCCATTCCATTTGGGTCCCTAGATCCAGAAATACAATCAAATACAAAAAAAATGAAAGGGTGTAAATTTTACTTGGGCCACTCTCACCTGTGATGTCACAAACTTTGATGCCTATTCAATCCTTAAATTAACCCAGATTCAGCATGTCCAGGTGAGAGTGGCCCAAGTAAAATGTACCCCCTTTCACTATAAAATTGATTGTACTTTTGGATGTTGGGACCGAAATGGTATTGGGTAAAAATTGCATTTCATTGAAGGAAAAACAAAAATTGAACAATTATTTGTTTTTTTGAATTTTGCACTTTTTTGGGGCACACACTGTAGACTTTCCTATTTTTAGAATCTGTTAATATTTTAAAATCTCTTTACATTTGAAGAGTTTTTTCCAAAACGCGATATAAGCCATTTTGTTTCCTTTTAGAATCCTGCTCTCTCCTGGCTGCCCAAAAGCAATTTGGACGGCTGTTTTATACCGAGACACAACTTAATAATAAAGCAAAAAATTACACCCTTATTTTAGCATGGATATATTTACCTTGTAGTGAACAAGAAGGTTTTGATCTCGACAGATTGGACAAGGGTTGCCAGCAACTGTCCTTTTCTCACCATTCCCCCTCTGTGAGGAAGTAAACCAAAAAAAAAGAGTCAAATTGGTCACTTTTGATCACATGTATACTGCTAGGTGATCACTGTGGACAGACAAAGCAATATGAGATTTAAATAGCTCAAATAATAGTGAAGTTTTTGTTTTAAGTGGGGAGGGGTATGAACAATTCTATTACAAGTTACCAAGGAAGTAATAGGCACTTTGTTTACAGGATATCCATGTTTGAAGACCTTTAAAACTCATGCAACTTACATTACAATTATACTTTTCTTGGTATTTACTACTTTGGAAATGGGGGCGAATAGAATATAATCATTTTGGACTTGTCCTCAAATCGTGGATATTCAGAGCTCCAAAATAACAAGCAGTAAATCCCGATAAGTCCTCATGAGACAATTTAGCACTAATTTGAAAAATGCAATTTATTTCCAAATGTGATGATCTTAACAGCCATGTCTAATGGGAGTGCAATGCCTACATGTTGGCGGTTTTTGTTCAAAATTAAAACTGAAGTACAATGTATACAGGAAAGTTAAAAAAGAAAAGAAAAAAAGTTGGTTACTTACCACACAAGTCAATCGTGTCCTCTGGAGTAAGGAAAAATATAAAAAATATATGTGTTTACCGGTTACATTTCGATTGAATAAGTGGTCAGTATACATGGATGTGCCTCAAGCAGTGTGAATGTTCACCTCTCTTTTAGTCAATCCACAGGAAAAAAACATCAACGTTCATCATTTAATACTGACAAATCCAATCTATAACATTTCAAGTCGCGAAAATACAAATTTCCCCTAATTCTGACAATGAGACAATTATGTGATGAAAAGTCATGGACTACATTTTTAGCTGTGGAGAGCGGCTCAACAAATCATCATGTCTCTCCATTAGTTGGTTCGTTGGTTAGTTAGTAACAAACGTCAGCAACAGCCTTGCATGGCTATCAATCACCTCGTCCCTCAGGCCCTTAATGGGTCTCCACTGACCATCTAACAGTTCAGCTTTTTTACATCTTTTTCAGCTATTCTTATCAGTGGTCACTCACAACCCTGTTAATATACAGTCCAACAGGTCTCTTTCTTTTTATTTTGTGTTGCAATTTTCTTTTGATTACCTTGGGAGGGACACGGCCCTTATGGTTCCTTCTATAATCAGCAAATACTGGCCGGTCACCATATCTTTCAACGTACTCTAAAAGGTGGGAAGAAATGGGGAAACAAACAGTATTTAGCGCAGTGAAACTGATGTTGATCACAAAATCACTCCACATCCGCTTGTTCTAGATACTTAACTTCACAATTAAACCTGACCCTAGAGCGATTTTACTAGTGACCATCCTCACTCCTCCAAATTCCAACACCATATGGTAAACTGTACACAAAAACTGTTGGACTCTGATTATTGGTTGTGTGCCTAAGCCCATGTAAAGCATAATCAGTTTACTAGTGGAGTACTCATTCTTACAGATTCCAACAAATCCTGGTGTTGGAGTTTGACTGGATGGGGATTGTTAGGGTTAATGGGCAGACATGACATGGCTTAAATATTATTTAAAAAAAGGCTTACAGTTACTTAAAAGCAACAAGACTTGATATATTGATAAAATATACACATATTTCATTTTGATGGCAGTGTTAAAACAACAAATCCCATCATTTTTCAGCGCAAAAAGGGCTTTTCATCAATTTCATGATATTTTGTTCTCATTCAGACCTTCACTCTGAATGTAAGCAATTCCTGCAGCCACATCTGCTTCAGTCAGCTCTTGTTTCCCAACAGTATCTGGACTGTTACTGTCATCCAAGTCAGCCTCCTGTGAAGACAACTGTCTGATGGGTGCTACTGCCAATAGTTTTGTTGCCTTTCCACATTGTGTCTGAAATGAAAAAAATGTCAATTACTCACTTTGTCATGTTATTGCAACAACAAAAACCCTTGCAGCAGACATTCCTGTAAATCTCAAAATGCAAATATCACAATTCGATTGATAAGGCCAAAAAAAAAAAAATAGTTCTGCTTCTGGTTTCCCTACCTACCCTAATTTTTTTTATGGGAAAAATGAGAAAAAAATACTCAAAACCATCAATTACTAAAAATTTTCTTTTTCTTAGTTGTTCTTTTTATAGTTTTATTTACATTTTACTTCTTTTTTTTTATCAAATCCTGCTTTTTATTGAAATAGATTTTTTTACGATAGTAGTAACGCCAAAAAAAAAAATAGTTTTGAAAGACGTAATTGGAAGCAGAACTATTTTTTTTTTTCGGCCTAATCCTTGGCTCCCATCTACCCTCTGTACTAGTACAGAGGGTACCAAAGTTCCAGCGCCCCAAAGTAGAGCTATGGCATGTATGATGTAATGTATGGCGCCAGTATAAAATGACAATTGGTCCGCGCAATGTGTGGCCAAAGGTACAGCGTGGCACCAACTCCCCACAAGTGTAGTGGGGCTACACGTTGAACAACAACACAACCATGTGTTTATAGCTCCATGAGGCATGAAACAACATATTTGAATGACAATGACGTCATCACATTCACATATCAACAAGTTAGGCTAGCTAGCTAGATAGAGTATGGGAGAACGCTAGCTACTACTATTGTCAATGGAAAAATCCACATATAGTAACCTAAAACGTTCTTACATACTTACATTGTTTTGATTTAGAACAGTACAAAGATTGACTGATTTTCTCGCAACGGATCGTGTCAAATTACCCCGAATAAAATAAGAAAAATTATAAGCACAAAGTCTTCTCATGGAGGCCGCCATTTTGTCCAACATTAGACTTGTTCAACAATAATTCATTTCCAAGACATTTAAAAAAACAAAAACAAGGTTTAATACATTTCTAATATCAAGCAATAAAATTTAAAATATAAAATAAAAGTATCCATAATTTGTACAACTCTAAAATATAATTTTATTTGCAATTTTAATGTTGATAAAGGTTTTAAAATATGAATTTATTTCATTAAATAAATTCTAACAAGCTGGAGGGTCTTTATGCTAATTAGTTAGGGCGTCTCTTCTACGTCACTCGCATGCGCATGCGTACTTTGAAGTCCTTATTTCTCTCGAGCGTCGTAGTACTCTGCTGGCCGTTACGACAAATTTGAAGGCCCAAAAATCACCTTTTATCGATAAATTTACGTTTTTAGTTGTCCACTATGTGACGACAAGTATCTTATAGACATTGTCTGATGTCATTAGGCACACATTTGATAACAATTTATGGCAAATAGCAAAGGGGAAAGGAACATGATTTTTGGAGACTAGAAAGAAAAAGATGGCGGGTCTCATTTTACTCCTGAAAACAAACAAAAATGAGACCGTACGTTGATGCGTGAATCTAGTCGTATTATCTCCGTTTGCTATGCCCCCAAAAGTCCACGACCTAGATTTTTAAAAACCACATAGTATCAGGAAAAGGCATAATGTAAAGCTGGGAATACATTCCCTGGCATTTGTAAAGAAAAGAGGTTTGTTCGCCGAGCTTTTGTACCCGCGTCCGGCCGGGACGTCATCCAGAACCTGCGTGGGACTGTTGGAAAAAATGTAAGTTAATCCGCGGTATTCGTGTCGATTTTTGTCTCTTCACTCGGTCTTTTTATCTTAGGTTGTTCTGCATCTGATGGGGTGAGTATTCCTGAGATTAAGTTATTAGAAATATATTTGTTATGCTCAGTTTTTTTATCGTTAAAATGGATTTGAATTTGTAGTTGTAAATTAGACTTGGTCAGTTTTGATGCTGGGGACACAGTGCATTTAGAATGGTTGTCTTTGCATGCACAAGTACAAGTAGTACAAGCAGCCGCTGCGATGCATGCGGCCCGGAGCGCGGTACACATACAGTGCCGTGCCGCTGCGCCGCGCCGCCACATGCGGTCACGTGATGCCCAGCCCATGTGTACGTCTGTAGCTGTGCTGCCGGCCGGCCGGCCGGCGCGGCATGCGTTTTATTTGGTATGGGGAATTGGGGAGTAGGTTTTATACCAAGTAATACAACTTAAAGTAAAAGCATGGTAAAAGCAAAGGGGTAATAAGTAATTTTTTTCAGTTTTGAATTAAAATACGGAAGACGGACAGTGCCACTCAATAACCCTGAATATATTTTTTTGTAAGTGTGAAAATATTGTTTTGTACAGCGGCCGCCACTTATTAAAATTATAGTTATTTTACAAATTAAGTTAGTAGGCCCCTGGCCCTACACTTTTGCCTTTTTTTTAAAAAGATTTTAAACAGTATTTACTTGCGTCTGAATTGTGATTGCCTGTTACTTACACATTTCTTTGAAAAACGCACAACAATAATCCAGTTCGGTATTTCAACTGCGCATGTGTACAATGCTATGGGTCATGCGGGTCATTCGGGATAATGGAACGCGCAGGGAAACGGGCGTGTTAATATTATAATAACAAGCAGAATGGGCATCTGCTTAATATAACGTCATTGATTTTATCTCGAATGACCTTTGACATAGAGTACATCTTCGAGATACCGAACATGCTTATTGGAAGATACGTAGCTATCCTGCTAATTTCGGCCAAAAAACAATTGTTTTGCTTCCGATAACAATTAACATGGCATTTGAAAATAGGGTAGGTAGGGGGGTCTTTTTTTTAAAGGGGGGGGGGCTATTTTTTTTGTCTACGATCATTATATCATCTGCATGTAGTCTAGGGTAAAAGGTAGTAGGCCTAATTGATGGTTTTGGGTGTTTTCTTCTCATTTTTTCCATTAAAAATTAGGGTAGGGGCTGTAGTCAAGGGTAAAAGGTAGTAATTGATGGTTTTGGGTGTTTTTTCCCCTAATTTTTTCCCTTAAAAAAAGAGGATAGAGGCTGTCAGAATAGTTTTTTTGGCCTTACGTGTTTTGATGGTGATCCTTAAAGTCCAAAGTTTTAACTTAAAACCTGTATATTTTGATACATTGTCGTAGACTTGCTGGAAATTATGAACATGAAATATGTTTAGAAGAAAAAGACAAACAAAATAGTTTTGCTTCCGTTTTCCCTACCTACCCTATTCTGACAGCTCCTACCCTTATTTTTTTTATAAAAAAAACTGAGAAAAAAACACCCAAAACCTTCAATTACTACCTTTTACCCTTGACTACACGCAAACACCTCCATATGATCGTACACAAAAAAATTTGCCAAAAAAAAAAATTCCCTACATGTACCTACCTACCCTATTTTCGCATGCCATGTAATCGGAAGCAGAGCTATTTTTTTTACCTAGATACCCGTAGACATGTAGTGCACAAAATCAAGCATTTTATCCACCTGGCTTTTAAGCCAAGAAAGGGATCTTGTGTCTTGCAATAGTGTATTCTTTCTGCGAGACCGTGTGTATACCATGTGTCTCACTCTCACTGGGTGTGTTCCATTTTGGTTAGTTAAATGTATCAGTGCTATCATATGAAAAGTCAGACTCGGGCTCATCCGAACTTGGTGATGATTATCTTTGGGCAGGGGGACTTCAGATGACTTGAGACATTTGAGGTCAAAGGTCATCTAGGAGTCAAATGAGGTCATTGTTGTTGAGAAGTGATGTCATATGAAAGTTAGATATCATTCTCAACCAAACTTGGTGACAATAATCTTTGGGTTGGGTACTTGAGACATTTAGGTCATTTAGGGGTCAAATGAGGTCAATGTTGATTTTGGTTTGGTCAACTGAAAAGCTTGCTTACTAACTGACAGTATAAATACCGTCAGCATGCGAGAGGGAACGGGCAAGTTTAACTGGCAGTATTTTTTGTAAAGTGACAGAATTTTTTTTTTGATGCCCCCAAATGATATGTTACTACTAAGGCCAAAAAAAAAAAAGTCTCCGGTTTCTGGTATGCGCGCGCGTCGCCGTAGCCATGCGCGTCGGCAAAATGAAAAAGTTTTTTTTCAATGAAAGATGATGTCTCAAAACCGCCAAACTCACTGGTTTGACTGGAATTCTGCTGCTGCAGAATTTTAACGTGTTTTTAGGTGGGGTTATGGTCGAGAATAAGCTTTATGTGGCCTCTCTGGACTCCCAATCCCATATAGGCCTATTTGTACTAAGTTTAGTCGGGCACCATTTGCAGTCATCAGCCGACATTTGAAGCAAAAAAATCAGGTAAAAAAAAAAAAAAAAAGCCGCGTCGCCGCACCACTTTTGGGGCAAGCTCCATACCAGAAACTGGAGACTGTTTTTTTTGGCCTAACGCAAATGTTAATTCATACCCTTTGAATCTGCATTGACAGGGTTCATCTAAAGCATGTCGGAGCAGTTTCCTACCTCCATGCTTAGATATTCCTGAAGAACTCTAGAATTAATGTCATTCTTACTCAGTGGACCTTGCCTTCTTGGGTAACTTGATGCATTAGGCCAAAAAAAAAAAAGTTCTGCTTCCGGTTTCCCTACCTATCCTATTCTGACAGACCCTACCCTAATTTTTTATGGGAGAAATTAGAAAAAAAAACACCCCAAACCATCAATTTCTACCTTTTACCATCTACACGCAGACGCCTCCATATGATCGTTCACAAACAAAATTGGCCAAAAAAAAAACCAATTCCCTACCTACCTACCCTACTTTTGAATGCTATGTAATCGGAACCAGAACCAAATTTTTTTTTTTGCCTTTGGTCCAAAAGCGTAATCATTTTTTTCCCTTTTATTTAAATAAATATTTTTAGATTAATTTGTTTCACACTTGTATTTATTTACTGGGTTTTTTTACGTATGTATTTTTTATTATAAAGGTGTCCGCAATTTGGCCTTTGGCCGTGATGTGACCATTAATAAACTAATTAAATTCAATTTAATTCAATCAATCAAGTACCAAGTGGTACAACCCATGGCGGTTCCACGAACCGTACAACCTTGAATTTTGCAATTCCAAGGGGCGTGATCTAATATGCAAATTAGACGCATGTGTATCAGTGTCTCAAAAGTGCAAAACTGCAGGTTTTCCATAGAAACTCACAGGCAAAGCTGTGATACATGCGTGGCATAATAGGCCTACACCCAGATAAAACGGGCCGAGTAAAGTGTCCGCCCACCAACCCACCAACAAACATAAGCAGCTCAAGCCCACGCCATGTTTCACACCCCCTTGGGAAAAATTATTTGGGGGAAAATTAATAATTTTCAGTTGTTCATGTTGAGTCGGGGTCACGCTCAAGTGATACATAAATCAAAACATTGTTAGCGTTTGCGTTAAAAAAAGGTTAATCTTGATTAATGACAAAATTTGGTCTTTGGTCCAGGGAAAAAATATTGAATTGGAACAATTAAGGAAAGTTTTTGTCACTTTTTGTTGCCATAATCAGTGGCATCGCCAAGGGGGGGGGGGGCCAGGGGGGCACGTGCCCCCCCTGGAAAACCTAGTGCCCCCCCGAGTGCCCCCCCCCCCCCATCTGAGAATTCTGCGCGTTGTTAAAATCATTACCTCGAAAAATAGCAATTTCTGGAGATATCTTCAGATCGAATTTAGCATCAAATGTGGCACCATTTTGCATCTAGCCCATCCTCCGTATGCGAAAATTTTCCAAAGGGGAGGGGGGCACCCCCTCCCCTTAGACCCCTCCCCCTAGACCCCTCCCCCAGGACGGCGATCCGTATCCACCTAAGTGCCCCCCCATCAAATGCTGGTGCCCCCCCCCTGTGCCCCCCCAGACTGAAAAGTCTGGTGACGCCACTGGCCATAATTGATAGCTTTATCAATGCTAATCAAAAAATTCAGGCCGAAATTTGATTACAATTCAATCAGCACAAAATATTGTGCAAAATTAAAGCCTTTTGTTTAATGCGTGCAATCGGATGCTGATTTAATCAGTTTTTTTGGGGGGGGGAGGCGGCAATTTACCAAATTTATTTAGTCCACATTTTGGTTGCTTTCGGTAACACATCCGTGAACGGGTGCAGGCCAGCTAGTCTGGTTCCCTGACGTTACAATTCATCTCATCATTGGTATAGACTTAATTTTGTGACGTAGTATTTTTAGGGGCAGGCCTCGACATTAAGAAAAAAAGGGGCAGGCGATATGTTATTGGAACATACATTGTCATAATGTTACAATAAAAAGGGTGTGCAGGCCAACTAGGATGCGAATGGTGTGTAGCTTTAAATTTAAGGGCCACTGCGGCCATTCCGGGAGGGCAAGCGACCAGTGGTCTTGGTGACCTCAGTGGCCATGTCTGTGTCCTACAATCATGACAATGTACGATGTACATGTTAATGACTTATTGCTTGCTCTGCTGCAGCGCAAAATGACATAATAAGCCAGTTCTGTATCTCAATGAAGTTGTCCAGGTCAAAGGTCATTCGAGATAAAATCAACTTCTGTTCCTAATGAACGCAAGAGTCGCGCAACCGTCTCCTTGCCCGTTCATACGTCTTCGATGAGCATTCGATTATCCTGAATGACCCATGACCTATATATCATTGTGCACATGCGCAGGTAAAAACCGAACTGGCGTATTTGGAATGCTGTCATTTTGACGTCAAAAAATTAGGTCTATATCATGTTATTTTCTGTTCAGTTTGTCATGTTTTTGTAGCTTATAACTGAATATTGTTTTCTGGTATTTTTTGTCTTTCTGTCTCTTTCTTGCAGATACAGCCCAATCCCCCCCCTGGTGACGTTCACGTAGTTGAACCAAGTTCACTTCCAGAAAAGATTTATCCATCTTTTAAATCAAAATGGTAATTATTCCCTGTCCAGTCTAAAAAAATTAATGATTCAGTCATAAAACAGTTCAGTTTTGAATCACAGATGGTTTTTTTTCTTTTACGCATATAATAATAATCAGCAGTTACCATAACAATGCATTGGACTGTACACTCTTCAACAGTTCAGTCGAAACCGTATTCAGTCATTTGAAGTTTCACTTGACATCATTTTGCCATCAATAGTAGTTGTTCTTATGTAACCTGTGTTCAGAAAAAGTACAATTCTGCTCATCCAAATTCTTTGGTTGCTCTCTTCAAAAGTGAGGGAGACTGGTATAAATTATGTGAACAAGGGAATTTTTGTTCAGGAATTAGTGGACTGAAATGAAGTCTACCAAAAACTATCCTGTGCACACTCATCGGTAATATTCCTCAACTTGGGACCATCTGTGTTCAGTGTCCAGAAGCCATGCTTGATATTTCTATAAGCGTAATTATTACATCACTGGCACCAGTCTGTTTCTGGACACTGGCATCAGAGAGATTCCCATTGACCTGTTGCATATTAAAAACAAATCTGAAAAACCCAAAGGTGACCCCCTTATCAGATAGGTCAAGGTTTTGACTAAAAATTCTGGTTTGAGACACGAACAGTGATGCCGACCCTGGATCGAGGCAGAACATGTGGGACGAACGGCAGACGATACCTGGACCTAAACGAAAGGAATTACTCTGCGTGCACTTTACTGGATATATAATGCACTGGAGAGGCGGCTGTTCTGAATTCTATGGATGAAACACCACGTGTTGCCATGGATTCACATGAGGAATATACGAAAATTTGATGCCGTTTTGTTTTTCACTGGTAAAAGAGTATGATGACCATCAGTGTTGTGATACACTCCGACGACACTTAAAAAATGGATTTGAGGCCAGATTCATCCGCTTTGGACACGCTGGACGTTCAGCCTCTGGACCGCTTTACTGACCGAAGCGCTTTGCCTTACCTTATTGCCAATGAGATGTCATCTTCAGTCACTGCGGTATCTGTGTTTTTTTTGCTTGTCATGTTTAATATCACATTTGAAAATAATAATAAAGAAAAGAGATATAAGCACGGGAAATTTGTTAAAGCAGATAATTTGATCCGTCTGAAATACATTACCTGTGGGACTTGGGGAATTTTAACTGTTGGTCGGGGGGGGGGGTGTTTAAAAGCCTGTCATTTTTCATTAAGAAAAACAAGCAAATTCTCAACTGAGATGGAGATGATTCTAAATTTGGATTCAACCATTTGAGGAAAGTGACAAATATACTGTATGTACATGTAAAACCATGAATAAGTCAAATGTGCTTGGAATACATGTACATCTTAAAGCGCCCATGTAATGGATTTTTTTTTAAATGCAATCCTTCAAATGTCCCTTGTGCCCCATTTAATTTTTTTTTAATTTGTAACCTTCATATTGCCATTTTAAGTACGTTTCAATGCCTTTTTTTAATGCAAATTTCTATATTCATGAGCAAAACTGTGATGTCATTCTAGGCGAAACTCCAGTGTCAAATTTGCTTCAGCATAAAAGTCGCCAACATTTTGAAGGGGTTCGCTGTGGTTATTTTTTTGTTCTCAGTGATTCATTGTTGCTTCAGAACTTGACAGTTAGACAATAAGAAAACTTTATGCACAAATGTTTTCAAGAAGCAGAATTTTGGGTTTACAATTTGAAGAGAATTATCCGAAAAGTTCCTAAAAGTGACATCACAGCAGCAGCGCCCTCGGTCGTCTGGAAAAGCATGAAACATTTGAAAATTTTTAAAAAGTGCACTTTGCAAAACTTTTTACCAAAAAGGGATGTCTCATGTAGTTTTTATATATTTCAGAGAATGGATATATTTGCTAAAAATAATGCTCCAGGCTAACACTCATTTAATGCACCCTTTAAGGGCACACAATTGGGTTAGCTTCAAAAGCTGTGCTCCATTTCAGATGAAAGAATTCCATTTGTTAAGAAGTAGGAAGTCATTGAACCATGTAGGTTTCTGTGTGGGCTCGGGGGGGGGGGGTGCATGTACATATTCTAGAGAATATAAAGGGATTTCATGGTTTTTGATGGACCCAGAGGGTCAGCCTAGTGCCTCTCTGTACCTATCTCAGTGAGAGAGACTTGTGAATCAGTCTTGCTTAAGTCTATCCTTCCCAACTCCATCAAAATCCATCCCTCCCTTCGGGGGATTTTGGCAGACAAGCTGTCTGTACCAAGTCCATCAAAATCCACCTATAGTGCCACTGTCTTGTGGTGGATTTCAGTGGGCTTTGTTTGGTCCTGAAGCATTATGTGAAGCAGGGTCAGTGATGGATTTTGGCGGACATGGTCCAGTACTTAGTAAAAGACAGTAGGGAGTTAGGGTTGAGCCCCACTTTGGCCTAAAAAATGTGACTCAAATGACTACCTAGACCCTCGGACCAAATTGATCTAGTACCAGCTTGTACTGTCCTGTATGTTATAAAGCGAGATGTTTTGGTTCCCGAAAGGGCCAGGCTAATGTTCCCTGTACTTGTCTCATCTGACTGACTGTCACTTGTTACTTATTTCACAATGATTGATTGACTGACTGGCACTTGTTACTTATTTCTCAATGATTGATTGACTGACTACTGGCACTTGTTACTTATTACGTAATACCTATCTCAACGATTGGTTGACTGACTGTCACTTGTTACTTATTACGTAATACCTATCTCAATGATTGATTGACTGACTGTCACTTGTTACTTATTACGTAATACCTATCTCAACGATTGATTGACTGACTGTCACTTGTTACTTATTTCTCAATGATTGATTAACTGACTACTGGCACTTGTTACTTATTACGTAATACCTATCTCAACGATTGATTGACTGTCTGTCACTTGTTACTTATTTCTCGATAATAGATTGACTGACTGCTGGCACTTGTTACTTATTACGTAATACCTATCTCAACGATTGATTGACTGACTGTCACTTGTTACTTATTTCTCAATGATTGATTGACCGACTACTGGCACTTGTTACTTATTACGTAATACCTATCTCAACGATTGATTGACTGACTGTCACTTGTTACTTATTTCTCAATGATTGATTGACTGACTACTGGCACCTGTTACTTATTACGTAATACCTATCTCAACGATTGATTGACTGACTGGCACTTGTTACTTATTTCTCAATGATTGATTGACTGACTACTGGCACCTGTTACTTATTACGTAATACCTATCTCAACGATTGATTGACTGTCTGTCACTTGTTACTTATTTCTCGATAATAGATTGACTGACTGCTGGCACTTGTTACTTATTACGTAATACCTATCTCAACGATTGATTGACTGACTGTCACTTGTTACTTATTTCTCAATGATTGATTGACCGACTACTGGCACTTGTTACTTATTACGTAATACCTATCTCAACGATTGATTGACTGACTGTCACTTGTTACTTATTTCTCAATGATTGATTGACTGACTACTGGCACCTGTTACTTATTACGTAATACCTATCTCAACGATTGATTGACTGACTGGCACTTGTTACTTATTTCTCAATGATTGATTGACTGACTACTGGCACCTGTTACTTATTACGTAATACCTATCTCAACGATTGATTGACTGACTGTCACTTGTTACTTATTTCTCAATGATTGATTGACTGACTACTGGCACCTGTTACTTATTACGTAATACCTATCTCAACGATTGATTGACTGACTGTCACTTGTTACTTATTTCTCAATGATTGATTGACTGACTACTGGCACTTGTTACTTATTACGTAATACCTATCTCAACGATTGATTGACTGACTGTCAGTTGTTACTTATTTCTCAGTGATTGATTGACTGACTACTGGCACTTGTTACTTATTACGTAATACCTATCTCAATGATTGATTGACTGACTTGTCACTTGTTACTTATTTCTCAATGATTGATTGACTTACTACTGGCACTTGTTACTTATTACGTAATACCTATCTCAACGATTGATTGACTGACTGTCACTTGTTACTTACACTGGTTACGTAATACCAATCTCAGTGATTGATTGACTGACTGACAGTCACTTGCTGCACTGGTTTAGTACAGCAATTTGCCATAGTTCCCCTCAGATTCCAATAATAATCAAGTAATATTTTTTTGCCCCGTCCCTCACATCAATATTTCATGTTCATACACCTCAAATCACCGCTGGTGGGGGCATATAACATACGGGGTTGGGAGGTTACTCTGTGTTTAGTACCTGCATTGTTGGAGAAAAAAAAAGCTTGGCTCATATTCCATAAACATTTATTGGATTGGGACCTTTGGATTTCATCCTGCATGTTTGCTTTGTTGATTGATTTATTTCAACCCTCGAAGCAAAGAAATAAATCTGCAGTACATTTTGGGGTTCTCTTTTCTTTTTCTTTTTTTTGGTCAATTCTATTTGAAACTGAAAAATGTTGGAATGTCTGCCTTGGACTTTGCCCATAAAATACAGAACCTGTTTGTTTAAAGATGTTCTATCACTACTTGTACCTGATGCATATTATATATTTTTGGGGGGGGGGGAGGGATATGCATATTTTCAAAGGAAGTGCCAACTTTTGGTGTTACTTGGGTTCTTTTGTTTCAACAGCTTTTGATAATGAAAATATTATTTCTTTTTTTTCTGGGAAAAGGGTTAAGGTATCGAATATTTCTAGAACATCTGTTTATCCTCATGATGCACTAGCCCATATATATTCACACCGACACCCCTTCACTGACATGAACCCCCCCCCCCTTTCACTGCCTTCCCCTTTGCCCCCCTCCCCCTCCCCTTTTTATATCCACACGATAGACAATTTGAGTCACAAATTTCCCTTTGTTAACCAGTATCCCATTATAATTTTCAAGGTCCCATGCATTGATAGCAGCAGCACACACATGACCTATTTAGCCAGGGATATTGATTGATCCATTTTAACCTGTCGCAATAACGCATAACAATCACAGCCCTACAAACTTCTCTGTACTGTTCATTCAATTTAAAATAAGCTAAAATATCAGCTGCCATAAATTAGATTGGGTCCTTGGAGTCTATTTGCAGACTGTATAGTCATTGTGATTAGGTGGGTTGGGTGCCAGGTCAGTAAGGTTAAGTTAAGCCGCATCTGAATTATGTGGCTACGCTGCAGTGGCTTCCATATACACGTGTGTAATTTTCAGCCGAAGCCAAGTAATTTGGACACAGCCTTACTTGCCTCTTACCCAAAATGAAAAGGGAAAAACATTCATGACAGTTCAATAAGATATCAATTTATCAATTTGTGACTTAGAAAGTTACCGGCACGCCATGCGTGTCTGATGCTGCATATTCTGTATTTATAGTTGCATACCTGTGCGCTTGAAATGTTGAATTTTTTTTTTGCGAACAAATTTTCAATTTGTATGTTTTGTTTTAACAATAAAACTTTTATTCCAATTTTGGGCATCTGTAACCCTCTTTCAGAGGGTTTTCATTTTACGCACAAATGAACCTGCCCTGCAAAAGCGGAATTATTGGCTGGCAGCCAATAATTGAATTAATTCAATAACTAATTCAATGTCTCATTCAAAAGTAAATAACTTTTTATATTTTATATCGCAAGAGTTAGCCACATTTAGCCACGCCCCTTAGAAAACCGTATGGAATTTTGTACGTTAAGTTTTGTTTCTCAGATTTTTAAGTGTCCATTTGTATATCATGTAATTGGGCAGTATTTCACGGTGACTGCTCTATGTTCCGACACCCCTATGTTCCGACAACCTAGATTGTGTTACTCCCGGTTAGGGTTAGGAATAGGAATATGTGCAGTCGGAACATAGAGGTGTAACCGTATTTCACAAGTTGACACAATTCTACTGCGATAGGTGAATTGAGAAAGCAAATCTATTTTTCAAGGTGAAACTAAAAAATAGCACGGAAAAACACATCTTTAAAAATTGAGCTTTCATCATTAAACTTTACAGCAGTTCATATTCGAGTGTTATATATTTCAAACGCTTAATTAAAGGGGAAAATATAAACTCCTGTAGATAAAGGAGTAGTGGTTGAAATTTTCAGATTTGAATGAAAGGGAACAATACCACTGTTTTGGGCATGGGAGGGGATTTTTTTGTAAAATGGATCTAGAACTGGTGATTGGAGATTGACTCGGGGGGGGGGGGGGTGGTTGAAAAGTGATGCGGGACAGGCATGGGTGGGGGAGGGCGTGGGGGAGGGGCAAGTGGGTTTTTTTGCATACATTTATGGGGAAAGCATTGCTGCCTAGAGATGGGGAAATTAGTGCAGGGTTTCGTGTGAAGCATTCATGTAGAATGTGAAACCCCACCCATTTTAATAATGGATCAATCCATTGAGTCAAATGCAATGGGAGCGACATTCATAAATCACTACAAAATTACCATACATTTTTGTGAGTGGGGGTGGGTGGGCCTGTTTATTTTCTAGAAGGATGCTCGACGCACAGTCAATTGGACAAGTGCGCACAATGTGCATTTGAGGAGATTTAAGTGGGAAGGACATATTAAGGGTTTTATTTGGCCAAGTAGTCTTTCAGAATTCCCTATGCAAAAACCAAAGCTATAACAACCACCAAAAGAATTGTTCTAACGGTTGGTTTTTATCCTGTGCATATGTGAAAATATGGGCTACTAGGACAATCACAATTTTCTATTTTTATTTCCACTTTGCAAGTGGCTTATTGGGACATGCACCTCAAATCTTTGTTGACAATGACATGCTCCAATATTTGTGAGTGGATCAAACCATTCTATAATGAAATTCATCTTTTGTTTTGGTTTGCTGCTTAGTTCCGGGGGGGGGGGGGGGGGGCGGCTGGTGAAGGGAATGGATTTGTTGACGGGTGGATTTGTGTGTTGGTGGGGGGACGTTGTATTACAGGCTTTTTCAGCAGTATTTTTTCCTGTTCACACAATACCTTTACTTGTAAATTTACAGGTATGATAAGATAGTGTAATTAGCTAGACAAAGTAAGATTTTAGCATGACGTGTGTCAATTTTTTTTCACTTGCAAACTTGAGTGTCTTTTTTCTTTTTTTTCATCTGTAATGTATACTGTGTTAATAGTTTGTAAAGTTTGGGTTTGTGTATAAACACTTTGTTTCCACTTGTGAAGAATAAAAGGTTGCAAAATCACAACAGTTGTTTCCCTTGTTGGTTATTGTAATGTGTATACAGGTAATACAGTTGTGAATGAAGCTGACTTGAGATTAATCAAAAGATATAAAACAAAGGAAGTTAAGTGAAATTTGGACACAGTTAAAATATGGGCACCTGCTGTTTCTTTCTAAATTTGCTTGTATCTCAAAACCAGGTGATTTTTTTTTTATTTATTTTATTGAAATATATATTGGGCTAATGAATACATGACTCATTTCTTACATTTTCTAACAGGCATGCAACTTTTCCTCGGATCCGCTGATTTCCTCATTTTTTACTTCTCATGAATGCCATTACAAATTGAAAAACACTGTACAAAGTCCTGTGTGGTCTTGGGAGTTTACTCGTTTTTTTCTCTAAATTCCCAGTTGCATGCCTGGGATCCAAAGATCCAAAGTAAAACGAAGATTTTTAAAGATGCACATTTTTTGAGGGTGCAATCCTGGTATCTATAGTTACTGGCTGAGTATTGACAATCAGAAATGTAAAGGGGCATTGGTGTAAAATCCTTATAATGAACATGAAAATGAGCAGATTGGTGGCAAATGAATTAAATTCTGATTTTTGGACTTCAAGGAGTCTTTAATGACCTCTTTGCAACTTTAAAATAAGCCAAACAAATACAGTTCCTCATTACATTAGAATCTCATTTGATTTTTTTTTATAACAGTTTATTTATGATTAACAAGGAAATGGAGAAACAAGGCGATCACCTTGAAAAGGAATCTTTAATGATTGTGTTCATTGATATTCAAATATACAATTGTTTTGGTTTTATTTCAAATTTTGGTCAAGCTCAGCTATAAGCTGTTAAGTTGTTTTACTATGGAAATGGGTTCTGAAAGCTTTTGTCTTGAAACTTTTAATTCAATTTGAGTGAAGAAACTTAAAAAAAAAAAAAAAAACCTTCACTTGGCTAAGAAATGCTGTGGGTCTCTCAAAAATTAAAACTTGTTTCTCCAGAAATTTTAGTTAGCATAGACAGTTTACCCACTTATGTATGCGTTTTGTTAGCCTTGAAAGATAATAGTTTCATCAATTTAACTGAAATGTCTATAAACCTGAATGATTCATGTTAATCCTATAATTTGTTTTTCTTTCTGTTTACTTAGTCTAATGCGGTGGATCCGTACCAGTTGTTGAAGGCCCTTGGGCCGTTACTGACGGCAGACGGAGCCATTAAGAATGAAGCTCAAGTCCCCAGAATTGCTGGGTAAGTTTTGTTTTTCATTTCTTTATCTGGGCAAAAATTAAAGCTGATTTTTCGAACATTTAGACCATTTGTTTTACTGAGCATATAACATATTTTATTTGAAATTGTCTCTAATTTGAAGTGTTGCAATTGAAATATAATAAGTTTGTAATATTCACTGATGTGAACATTTATGTCCAGTGTATATTTCTGTTATTAACTTCAAAATTTTGGAAATTTAAATTAGGTTCAAATGTGGAGTGAGGAATAATTGAGAAGTTAAGATTTGATTTGATGATGTTATTAAGTAAGAATGTACGAAAGTAAATCTGTGCAAATTTGAAATTTATATTTGTTGCTGAAAATGTTTGCATTGTAGTGCATTAAAATTAACGACATAGCAAGAAATAGCTGGAGCAAGAATTACACTTTCATTTTTTATTCATAGAGGTTATATGACTTCTGTTGTGTTGTTCTGGATGTTGGTCAAATCGGGCCCATTTAGCTTTTATCTTGCAGTCTTTTCATAAAAAATGTCCATCATATCGCTTGGTTTCACTGGCTTACACATCCATGTTTTTCATTGTCCTGCCAGAAAACTTTGCACCACTCATTAATAGTGTCTGCAAGAGGTTTTGTGTCGTGCTATCAATTTTTTTTTTTTGGGGGGGGGGGGAGAGAGCTATAACCTTCAATTACTTTAAGCTGCCACATTAATTTGGTAGTTTCTTGCTAATCTGTATCTTCCTTGGTGTAATAATTTTTGTTGGCGTTTCACTTTGGTTTGATCATTGCAGTTTGATGAATGGAGCCAGAAAACTTGTCAGTCGCTGCATCTACGTGAACATTCTACGGGCGACCGATAATGAACAGTTACTCGGAAGGTAGCTGGTCAGGTTTTGTGTTAAACAAGATGATTGTGACTTTTCAGCCTAAATCACTTGCTTGTTTAACCTCTTTTATTAAAAAGCTTTTGGCATTTTTGTCAAAGTATTTTTATTTTATAATTGATGTTTACTCTTATACTTAAGCATTATTATTGGATTCTCACGCAAAAAGATCGTGACAAATTCAAAAATAGTAATTTCAGATCTGTAAAACATTGTTGTGTTGTGGTTCTGACAATATTTTTTTTTTAAAAATACAAATTATAATAATCGATTGGCTGAAATAAATTACTGTGAATTACTATCTTGTGCTGTCATCTGAAGAAGCATGAATTGGATTGGTGCAGTCCCCTGCAGACAACGTTTGACTGGGTTTTCATTCCTTGCTAATTATTCCCTGGATTTTCATTATAAAACTATTCCAGTGGATTTTCCCTACCTCCAGAATTAAACATTTCATCATCCTCTGCTCTCACAATGTTTCTTTTGTGTCTTCAGTTTTATTAACCTTACATTCCAAAGCTAGTAGAAATTAAGGAATTATTTAGAAAATTGCATTTTGTATTTTTGCAGCTTTGTGTCAAGCGGGGGCTGGGAGCTCCTCAATACCTGGCTTCAAGAGGCCAAGGAATCCAACAACATCGCCTTCTTGACAAACCTCCTGAAAGCCCTCAGAAAACTCCCTGTCACCATTGGCATCCTGAAGAAAGTAAGTCAGAGTCTTCTTATTTATGAGTCTTTATCTTTTCAGAGAAGTATTACAGAGCATTGTGTAAATTGCAGATACCATGTAACAAAATTATGTATTTACTTTTCTGTGAAAGTTCAGTGATGGTCAGTGGTGGGTCTAAAGGGGGAGGGGGGGGGGTGGTTAAACATTGTTTGTAAATCATATTGATTTACTGTCATGAACTCTCTGTTGTTTTTATTCTGATAAACAAATTTTATTTTGGTATTTGTGAATTTGCCAGAACAACACTGCCAAGCTGATCAAGCAGATGAGCAAAACAGAAACGGATGAAAGTAAGTTGTCGTCCTCAATTCTACACCAGTCATTAGTAATTCAGATAATTGTTTTTATATTTCACTTTTATGGGTCAAAAAGTGCTTGATACAACTAGTATGTTCAGTTGACCGTAATGTGTGTGCATAGGCATAAGTTGGGGCTTGATCCCTGGCTGTATGATATTGTGGTTTTAAGACTTCTTATGTTTGCCAAGATATTAACAAATTAGGAGGACGCCTACACAGGGCTGGATAGCTCAGTTTGTAGAGCAGCGATATGGCCCCAGAGTCTGGTGACTCAAACCCCTCTCGTGTCAGTTTCCTTTGTTCACTTTAAAACAAAAAAAAATCTAAAATCAATTGCACAGGTTTGAAGGCCTTGGCAGGGGACGTTGTTTCCGAGTGGATGAAAGTCATCAAGCAGACCCATGAGAACTCAGACGGCAAACCCACCTCCACCTCCAACGTCGTCAAGAAGAAGAAAAAGAAACTCGTCAAAACGGACGCCTCCAAAGGGGAGAACGAGAAGGACGCCGAAACCGACAGCAATGCCAACCCGACCTCCAAAAAACTGAAAACCGAAAAGGAGAGCAGCGCCAAATCGGAACTCAATCACGAGAGAACCAAGAAAGAAAACTCCTCCAAGATGGACCCTGATGCCAAGAGGAGGTTGTCTGCGGAAGGGAAGTCGCCAAAGTCGGAGAAAACTCTGTCCAATGTTGCCAAGGAGGAGAACAATGCAGATGACAACGAAGAGAAGCCGAGGCTTGGAAAGATCAAGAGACCAGCCCACACTAAATTCAGGTCAACAGGTATGCAAGGAAGGACGTACACTTTCCAAAAAGAAAAGAAATTTCCAAGTAGATAAATTTTATTTGAACTGGGGTTGCTGCTCGGAGAGATTCTCATCGGTTGTGACTGCTATTGTTTAGTTTGAATCCAGGGTTTCATTTCAGTCAAGACCCTTCATATTACCCTGAGGAGGTTGTAAGTCTTTGAAGTCTAAAGGTCAGTCATACTCCATGCGAAAGTGAGAGCAAAGCCATTTTCATGACGTCAACAATCAAACTTTCCATTGTAAAGTTTGCCCGTTACCATTACTTTGACGCAAAGTACAACTGGCCTTAAGCATAATATTTAATGAAGGAAGAAATGAATTACCTCATGTTTACCTGGAAACTTACATGGAATACAGATGGAAAAGCCGTCCAAGGATTTTGTTTGTTTTCACATTACCTGCAGATTTCTGTTATCCCCGAAGGAAAAGCCGTTGTTGTCAGTTTGAGGTCACTTTTTTTTTTGGCCATTTCTTTCTCAAATTAGGGCTAGAAAAAGCATCAACGTTACCACCCTTCAAGATCAAGAAGAAGTCAGCCGAAGCTCCGCCCATCATCAACAAAGGAGATAAGGCAGCGCCAATCAAACGGGAAGGGTAAGCTTCTCAATTTGATTCCTTTCCATATTCAGATCTTTTCTTCTTTGATCACTTTTTGGTTGAAGACAGAAAAGTTTTGAATGACGAGGTTTGAAAGTCGGAACCTGAAAGTGGATGTCCCTTCACGGAGCTGGTATGTGTTTAGAAATTGGTTTCATATTTCCTTCTCTCTCATAAAGTTCCCTGAAAGATTGGCAGCCTGCTTACACTGGCGAGCTCGATGGTCAAGCGGTTTAAGCAAGAGGTCATTGGTTCCAGTCTCCCAAACAAGCTCGTGAATTTTTCACGCAAGCTCTTCGACAGCATTTAGTAAAAGTTACATCATTGAAAGGCAAAACCCAATCTTAAAACCTTGTCCATGGTCTTTTATTTGTATATGTTATTTTTGTTCACCCGATTTATAATTTTCCGAAATGTTCAGCCCAATCTTTGGGAAGTCCCTCCTCCCTCCAGAGAAGAAACCCAAATTGGACACCCCAACATCCTCAGCTCCTTCCAAGACGACATCATCAACGTCCTCGATAACCACTGCCTCCACGTCAGCAACGTCAGCGAGTAACAACCACGGCAGGACGAAGCTTATCCCTGCAAAAGCCAAATGTAAGTCTACTTGCTTTATCCTTTGATCAAACCGATGGCAATATAATTCTGTTATTCATCTCTTTCGCCACTTGTGTATTTATTAGCTACCCAAGGTCTGACCTCTGACCTTTTCACGTGAACGGTGAAAGATCCGCCGTTTTTGGACGTCTAGCGTGATGCTTGATCGATGTACATTGCATTACGATTAATTGCATTGATCATCTTTGGATGGAATTAATCTCCAAAAAGTCATTGGTTTACCCAAAACAAATTGAACAGAAAATGAAAGATGATCAAATAAGCTTTAATTTGGTGTGTGTCTCAAACACCTTGGAGAGTTGTGAATATTTTTCCTGAATTTTGGAAGTGGGCTTATTCATCACTGGGGTCTATGGCAGTTTATTTACTGGTTTGCAACAGTAGACGTCCAATATGGAGGGTGTGTGAGTGACCACTGACCTGTGACGTCACGTGAAATTCCTTGATAACAATGCACTAGATAATGTTAACTCTTGCATTTTTTCTGCAGTGGTACATGAGAGCTCTAATTTCATGGATGCACTCAACGCACCTGCCATCCCAGTCAGGAAAGTGAAGCTGAAGAAATCGCAACCCAAGCCGACGTCTCCCACAACCAACAAGGTACTGCTTCTGTTAATCATTTCACTCCACATGTCATACGATAGTGTGGCTGCATGTGTATACGCTTAGTGTTGTAGAGTTTCATTGTTCACAGCAAGTGTAGAAGCTGTTTTGGTTGCAGGTGTATGTGTATACATATGGGCAATTCCACGGTTACTCACATTACATTTTTGATGTACTTTTGAGTTTCCTTGGGCTGTAATTACCTTACTGAAAAGGTTTAATAACTGTTATCCCCATGGTAGATAGAGTAGACCTAGACCTACCTAAGCACCAAAGATGACATCCAGAAAAATGTGTTATGTATGATAAACAAGACGCACAAAATCGTTTACTCACGTTACATTTTCGTACTTACTTGGTACTTGGTTGGTTTCCTCCTGAAACATCCTCTAGGGATCTTGACTAGGAGGTTGACAGTTAAACATCAGAAACCCTTCATAGTGTGAGTAACCGTGGAATTGCACATATGGTTATGTCACTCTTCATGACCATGGTTGAGATGTTTATCTGTCTTTTTTTTCTGTTCTGGATGTATTTTTGAGACTTTCTGTTTGAAATTGAAATTTGTTACCGAGTTGTTGTTCAGTGCAACAGTAGGTCTACCCTTGTCATAGGTTTGAATCCCAGGTATTCATGCAAATGTCATGATCAGCAAAAATCATGACTAAAACATTTCATGTTAAAGCTGTGTTCCCCGTGCTCTTCAACAAATTAAATTTGTTTTCTCTTAATAAATTTTCTAGTAGTATGTTTATTTCTACCAAAAACCTCCTTTTTTGGGGGAGGGGCATCTGAAACCCTCTGAGAATGGGGTTTAATGCTGGTCAGAAATAGATCCGCCCTTCAAGCAGATAGACTCACAATCTATGCATTATCGATATTGTAAAGCAGGAACCAGCCTGCCCCGAAGTACAGAGGTATTGACCTATCGCCGTTTGCGAGTTAGCCACGCCCCTTAGACAACCCTATAGAATTTTTGTACACCAAGTTTTGTTTGTCTCCGATTTTGCGCGTTCCGCGTCCATTTGTATATCATGTAATTGGACAATATTTCACAAGCTGCGTTGACGCGATTCTAACGCGATTCTACCGCGATTCTACCGCGATAGGTCAATTGTCAGGCCGCTAGCAATTTAAAATAACTAAACTTGGGCTGATTTGTTTCGGTCAGTGTCTCATCCACAAAGTGAATTACATATTGCTAGAAAAAGAGGAAGCTATATTTCAGGGTGAAACTTAAAAGTAGCATGGGAAATGTATCTTTAAACATACTATTAGATATCAGCATTATGTCTTTCTGGTTTCTCTTATCATTTGTAGGAATGCAAACAATTATTAAGATCCCTGTCGACTGGGATTTAGAGTGTAGACGAATTGGTGATAACTTTTAACAGAGGGTGTTTAATTGTAATTACATTGGATTTTTTTGTTTTGTGTCAATTAATATTCTAGAGTCGTTCCATTTAAAAAGAAACAGTTGAAAAAAGTTGACCTCCCTCAATGATTACACGATGACGAGGCTGAGCCAGACCTCTTGTTTCCATGGCAACACCGACGTCACATATTCTATGGGATGTTGGTATAATCTGTCGCTTGGATACAGTGACGGTCTGGCACTCAATTGATGCAAAGAGCAAGGCATTTGTCTGAGAGGGAGTTGGCATCATTTTTCTGTAGAGGTTTCCTACCTTAGGCTGAGAAAATGTTTACTTTAAATGCTGTTAAGTTATTAAAATGTTGTAGCTTGTGCAAAGATATGAGTAATTTTAATTCTAAACATGTCATATATGCATCTTTGTAATCATAATAATAATTTATTGATATAGCACACAAATCAACCAAACAGGTTCTCAAGGCGTGGCACATTATTGTTACCCCTTCTCACAGGGCTAATGGGAACAAGCCAAGGACCATCTCAGCTCCCTGGGGAGTATGCAGCTCAATGGTGCCATATCGGCACAATGGGCTAAATTAAACACACAACTATCTCTGTCCTCTGTCTCATTTACTCCTTGTTGGGAGAAGCAAAGTGTCCTGCCCACCATAACCCCAGGCTGGACTCGAACCCTCAACCCTTTGTATAGACTAGGCCAAAAAAAAATAATAGTTCTGCTTCCGGTTACCCTACCTTCCCTATTCTGACAGCCCCTACCCTAATTTTTTTGGGGGAAAATGAGGATAAAAAACCTGAAAACCATCAATTACTACCTTTTACCTTTTGACTACACGCAGACACCTCCATAGGATCGCACACAAAAAAATTGGCCCCCCCCCCAAAAAAAAGATTCCCTACCTACCTACCCTATTTTCAAATGCCATGTAATCGGAAGCAGATTTATTTATTTTTTGCCTAAATAGTGAGGTTGTACAAATTAAATCTTATGCTTGAGCCGCTTGTACATTTTGTCAAGTTGTAAAGATCCAACTTATTAAAGTACAGTGTGACGTTTTTATGTTTTAATCCTGGAACTGTCTTATAGATACATGTGTCTCTCTGTCTTGCTCACTGGGTTAGTTCACATCTTTAAGCCAGGGTTTTGAGAAAAAAAACCGTGAGGGACCCTAAAGGAGTTAGCAATCTTTTTTGTTTCATTTTTGTTTTTGTTGGTTCAGCCGGCTAGTCATCCAGACACCTCCAAGGGTAGTAGGGCCAAAGAGGAGGAATCGGTGGGCAAAGTTGAGAGCCCCCAGGTAAATCAAGACAAGTCCGTGGTGTGTTTTTGACTCCTTCCTGTAGCAAAGTAGAACTGTCTCTTTGACTGCTTGCTGTGTGGTGTGTTTTTATCAAACCTTACCCGTGGGTGTTCATTAACGAACCATCCTGAATCTGCCAGAATCCTGCTTTTCAGTAACCCAGTCATGTTTGGATCCTTTGTACTTTATCCGCTCCGTTCACAAATACCCCCTTATTGGTAAGGAAAGTACAGTTGGGGGTGACCGACCGACGCCATCTTGCCTGACTGCAATTTTGCTGCGACGCGCGGCCGTACCACTGCGTGTACATAGTACAAATCCCCAGGGGTACGTGCGTCACACACAAGGAACGGTGCGCGTCAACCAGCTAAATGTCCCGCCCATGGGACGTCGTTGCTAGGTAAAAGGGCACCCTCTTTCGTTCGCGCACGGAGACCTTACAAAATGTGGGTGTCAACAGAGGTCCATGTACAGTAAAGGTGGCTGGAATATCATACATTCCTGGATCAGTCAATAGGCTGCGTGCGAAAACAAGAGAGGGCGCTGTTTTAGCACTGACGAGAGCCTCATGGACGGGACGCATCATGTGTTCCAAAAGCCACTGAAATTTACAAAGTTTGTTGGGAACAGTTTAAGGTCACCAGATGAGATTACACATTCAGAGACTGAAGACTGGCATCATCTCCAAATTCTTTTTACTCCTTTTTTGTTAAGTACAAAGTTGAAATTGTGGTTTATTGTCACAAAAAAGTTTTGTCCTTTACAGGGGTGTGATATCTCAGCTTTGTAACTGATTTCAGCTTTTTTTGTTTTGGATTTTAGCTTTTTTCCCTCACTTGCTGTGTACAAAAGTATAGGAGATGTCTTTTACACCTTTTCCAGCTGTTTTCAGATATTTTTATCAGTGGTCACCCACACCCCTGCCTTTAACATCATAGTAGAATATAGATCGTAGTTTAACCGTGACCTGTATGTACAGTAGTTCAACCGTAGAAGTAGTAATTTCCATTCATGAGCGTGGTTTGTGTGTTTGACTCACCGTAGTTGTTTTTAGCTTGTTGAACTGAAGCAGTTTGTTATTTCTCGCTGGTGAATGATGGAGCTATCTTTTGATATTTTGTAGCAATTTGCAGTAAGCAGACGCTTCTAACCTTTTTCATAATCAGCTTTGTCTGGCTCAGGTATCAGATACCATTGACAATGGGTGAGGGGGGATGCTTTGACTTATTTGTGAAATCTTTTGACTAATGAGTTGTTGTATTGTCCTATCATGCTGAAATTAATCTGCTAACCCTGACCATCTTGAGATCTTTGTCATCTAGTGTTACCTCACAAAATGTCTCGGCAGTTGTAATTGTCTCTTGTTGAAATGCTGTGTCCAAAATCAATTGGATTCTATTGTAGACAAAAGGGTTGCTGGGCAAATGAGAAGTTTAATAGCTTGAAGTGGGAAATAAAATAGTACTTCAAAAAAAAGTTTTTGAATTTTACTTTTTTAAGTTTCGAACACTCCAAAGTATATTCCTTCTGTCTGTGAATCTGGGCTCATCCAAGCTCTTGTTGTGAGTGCATTAACCCTAACTGTCAACTTGTCAAGGCTTTTTTTTTGCAAGGAATCTTCCTGATTCCTCCACCATCACCCCTTGCAAGAAACTGTGGCAGGGGCATCGTGTGAAGTAAGAGTGGCACGGCTCTCCTTCCTCAATCCCACAAACTCCAACAAACCTGTTGGTGGATTTTGGAGGATGTTGGGGAGTTATGGTGTGAATTTAATACCAGTGGTGCAAATGTCACTGACGCTTATCCGGTATGTAGTGCTATTCTAATGGTGGTGGTGTTCACCTGCCTGCTTACTGGATTTGGTGAAAGAGCTTGCTTACTGAACTTAATTTTACAAAAGTATTTTGTGAAACAAGAAGAAGTCCTTTCATTTGCCACATTTCTTTCTCTTTTGATTACAGGAAACAAAACCAGACCCGCCAAAGTGTAAGTGAAAATTTCTGGAGATTTTCTTATAAAACTGAAAATTCCAGTGCTGTTTTTCATCTTTTCAAAACTGATTCATCTGTGGAAAATTTCTTACATATCTTTTCATAATATTGTGTTTCTAAAAGGCACGTAAGAACATTGGTAATTGCTGGAAACGCACCTACAAAGAGCAAATAATCCTATACCTTTCAACTCACAGTTTTCTTAAATGAATCAACACCTTGTAGGATTGAGTGAGGTATAAGTTGTTTACTCATCAACACAGAGAAGAGTGAAAATCCAGTGCATTGAAATTGAACCAAAATTGCATTTCATATTATTCTTTGCTGAGATTAGAAGAAAAAAATGTAAATGTAAGGTTAAACTTTACACCCATTCTGTATTCTGTGAATAACCCTTTTGCTCAATACTTTACACCCATTCTGTTAAACTTTACACCCATTCTGTATTCTGTGAATAACCCTTTTGCTCAATACTTTGTAATTATTTTCTTTGTCTGATGTACATATGTCCTACAGTCCGTTTCTACTCTTCCGGTCAAAACGACGAAGATAACTCGGAAAAGTCGGAGAGCAAAGACGAGGTGAGCAACGCTGACAAAAAGAACTCGGGCGGAACAGGGAACTTGAAGTTGATACCAACGAAGTCGAAGAAGTGCGTCAAGTGGAAAGACGATGATAAACTGGTAGACATCTTATACTTTGAGATGGACGAAACGGAAAGAGGTTAGCATCAAACTACTGAAACTTTAATTTTTTTTGCTTCTCAATCTACATTTTTGTCAAGCTGTTTTGCCTTTTTTGATTTGCAAAGACTAGAGAATTAGGTTCACTCCTAATCCTTAGCATTACTTTTCAACGTGTGCGACTGGCTCTGGAAAATGGACGGACAAAAAAATTGAAAGCTTCTGTCGGATAAAACAGGAAAAGGGTGCAGAGAAAATTCAGTCATTTCTTAAAATGTGCCTACGTAGCATTCTTTATACATCTTAGTGCTCTTCTTCAGCTTCTGACAATGATTCTCTGTTACAAATAATTGAAGCTTTCTTTCTTTTCTTTTTTTTAAAGAGAATGTGAATAGACCTAAGGACTTCCGGAATGCCGCACACCTTGAGATGGTCATGGAGCGAGAGACCATTAAGAATGCCAAACTGCAAGGCGAGGGAGCCAGTCCAAGCCTTGGGGGCAATGACCTCCTGCCGGTGAGTTCACCCCCAACCCCTCAACCCCAGCCCACCCTCAACCCCCCACCCAATCCTCAATCCCCCCCCCCCTTCAACCCCAACCACTCCCACCCCTTTTCCAAACCCCAAGAGGATGGACGTCTCCTTGGGAAAACTGTAGGTTTCCAACCCCTCAACCCCAGCCCACCCTACACCACCCTCAACCCCCACCCAATCCTCAATCACCTCAAACAACCCCCCTCCCTTCAACCCCAACCACTCACCCCCCCCCCCCCCCCCACTCCCACCCCTACTCCAAACCCCAAGAGGATGGATGTCTCCTTGGGAAAACTGTAGGTTTCCAACCCCTCAACCCCAGCCCACCCTACCCCACCCCACCATCAACCCCCACCCAATCCTCAATCCCCTTAAACACCCCCCCCCTTTAACCCCAACCACTCCCCCCACTCCCACCCCTACTCCAAAGCCCAAGAAGATGAATGTCTCCTTGGGAAAACTGTAGGTTCTAATCAACCAAGTCTATTTCTTATATTCCTTGCCCTCGGCTTTAAGTCGATCTCTGATTCCCTAACCATTTTTTAGCCCAGACTGCTTGCCCCAAATAATCCAACTCCACTTGGCTTCCTATCCTACAATCTGACGTGTTCGCATCAGAAAAAATAGACTCATATTGAGTCAGAGTCTCCGAAAGTTTGAGGACTCAAAACATCAGGAGGTTGGAGCCTGATGCAAAGTAGGAAGTACAGTCGAGGGTTCAGAAATGGCCACCGTTGTCTTGGCAATCCTAAATAGCATTTTAACTGATCTTTTTAAACCAGAAGAAAAGCAAAACTGTTCTTCCAAGAACAAGTTGATCTAATCTTCTGTTTTTTCATTCCTTTTATAATAAAAAAACCCTTCAGTGGCACGCCCTAGTTCGTATTCAGGTGGTTGACGTCCCCCCGGTGGACTACGGGGTCAACAGCCTTGAGAAAGGCATCCAGAAACAGCGAGAGATGATCGTCCTTCAGGAGATCTACTTTGACAAGAACATGATCCCCGACACGCCCAAGGAGCCCGATCCGGAACCCTTTGAGCCCAAGGAACCAACCAGAATCCCCTTGGAAGATGTGAGTTGCTCACTGAATGCACGTTCATGATTTAAAAAGAAAAATATTAAAAGCCAGATACACTATTTATCCCACGACTGTACATTAAAGAACTCGTGAAATGTGTTACAAACATTTGTTTGTACACACATGTGCAAGAGGATGGTTTGTTGACTAACATTGACTTTTATTCATCATTATTTGTTCCAAGAATTTCACTAAGTAACTCAGATGTCTTTGTGTTGACCCTAACCCTTTCCATTTGTTGATGCCATGTTTACAAAATGTCTGCCTTGTGTATGCATTTACAAGTGTGTATGGTTGAATATTTTTCCCATCTGTCAGTCGGTCTTGTCTGTTGGGGTCATTGCTTTGGTATGCCCAGTTATCATTTGGATTTCTTTTTCCCCCCTTTTTTTTTTGGGGGGGGATTCTTTTGGGTGTTTTTTTTTTGGCCAGTAGGATGAAAGATGGCCGGTCGGTTGGCCAGCAGAGTCAAGGCCAGTTTGGCCAATTCAGTGATCCACAGAGGATAAAATCCACTTGTGGGGTATTTTTGTTTGTTGGTTGGTTTATTTTTTGGTTTATTTGTTTTTGTTTTAGTTTTATTGGCCAGTAGGATGGCAGGTGGCCGGTCAGTTGGCCAGCAGACTCCAGGCCAGTTTGGCCAATTCAGTGATCCACAGAGGAAAAAAATCCACTTGTGGGGATATTTGGTTGGTTTGTTGGTTTATTTGTTTGTTTATGTTTTGTTTTGTTCTTGGGCTATTTCTATGACTTATTCTCACACCGGCTTACATAATCTTATCCATTTCTTTCACTCCTCTCTAATAACTACGAAATCTCCTCACAACTCTTTGTCGGTCTGTTTGTCCCTCCTTTTGTTGTTTGTCCACGAAAGATGTGTCTTTGTAAACTCTGTCCTTTTTTATTTCATAACTAACCCAAGGAGACCAAGAGGAAACCTGAGGACGAAGTGAGTTGTCTGTGTTGTCTGTCCTTCATTAACGCTATCTGTATGTCTGTCTGTCTATCTGTCTGTCTGTTTCAACTTAACAGTTTTGACCCTCGTAGGTCTTCATGCAAAACACTTGATTGGCTTTTAATCTTTTGTGTGTAAGTCCTTGGAGGGTTTGCGTCCAAAAAATCAAAAATCTAAATTTATACCTGTTCTTCATGAAGGAAAGTCCTTGAATTTTGGGTCCCTCTCTGGAAGTCCTCAGATTTTGGAGGGGCCTTAGCACTGCTCAAAATTAAATTTCTCGAGTTTCATACCTGTCTTGAGAAGTCCTAGAATTTTATAATCTGTCCGGTAATTTCTGACCCACATGTATTCTGGGATATATTGGAATATTTTTACATGCCACAGATAGTTCTTGAATTTCAAACTTGTCCTGGAAAGCCCTGGAATTTTTAACTCCTCCTGGGGAGTCCTGGATATTTTGAATGCTGGGAAATCCAGTAATTTTGGACTTGTCTTGAGATTTCTTGATATTTTTTTGTTTATTACCTGTCCTGGAAAGACTTTAGGACCTTTAGTCCTTGATCTTGAGTCTTTCCATGTAATGTAATTTTGCCATTGGGGATCTGCTTATTTCACTAGCTCTGTCCGTTGTGTTCAGTTTGTCATTATGACCACATAGCCATTTTTTTCTGGCTTTTTTAATAATGCAAGCTACATTTCTGTCGTGGCCACCTGTGTGTTGTAAATTATTGCCGTCTTTCCATGTCAATTGTGAGCCGTAAATTTGCAGTGTTTTTTTAAAACCTTTGCTTTTAGTCTGCCTAATACAAGGCTGGGTCCTGTTTTTATCTTTGCATGAAGACACGCCATTATTCATGTAATGAGTTCTGCATGGTCTATTCTCGCTATTGTTATTTTGTAATAAATAAGTTTCTATTTCAATATGGGCGTACAGCAGACCAATCAGTGACAGACCAATCAGAGTGTACACTCTGAGAGGCTCTTAGTAATAGCTGATGCATTGTTGCAGCACTTGTTTAATAAAGCCCTAATCTTTCCAAATTCTCCAAAATCCTCTTTGCAAAATGGAGGATTTTTCAGGATTGAGGCTATATGGCAAAAATGTGTGGCTGATTTTGGAGGATGCACTGTGTCAAGGTCTTAGGCCGGACCTTGTGTTGTTTATGCTCAGCTGCGCTTAACTTGAGGCCTAGATTATACTTGAAATCCTCCGCACTGCTCCAGGATGTCACTGGCTCTGCCTCAACATATTGACAGTGATTGCTGGATGATTTTGCAGGATTGAGGCAGTGGTCACTCCTCCAAGGACCACAGTCAAGAAATAACGGATAATTTTGGAGGATTGAGGCTGTATGCTATTTTTACAGGGAGACAGTTGGAGGATTTTACATGATTAAGGTTGCATCTTAGCAAAATGCCTAGGGAGTTAGGGTTATAATCTTCATAGACCAGTTGTTTTTGTACAATAGCTGGAAAAATGCTTCTATCATTGAAGGGTTTCATGAGTGTAAGATGATGTCACTAGTTTGGGTTTCATTATCTACTCCTTGAGTTTCCTGTGATGCCATGGAAATGGCTCTTGATCATCAACAGACTTCCCTATGTATAAGATCTGATAACCAAATCCCCCCGCCTTTTGCTTCTCTCTCTAGGAGACTGCCGATTCCTCCCAAGGCTCTACACCTCTCTACTCAGAACCCATGCTGCCTGGCAACCACTCTGCCCATCCCCCGCCCCACCCAGGGACCCTTATCATCCCACAGGGCATCACTCTACCCCCGGGCCTACAGCTGGACAACCTCCCACCGGCCATCGCGAGCCTGGTCCAACAGATACCGGCCAATCTCCCCGGGGGACTCCCTCCCGCATTGCAGGCGGGGAGCCAGGGTCAGCCCATGCCCGGCCCGGGTAGGCCCAACGATCCCCCGTCCACAAGCGCCACAATCACCAACGTGCAAAATCTGCTCAATTCAATTATGGTGAGATTTTCGATAACTCTGTGCAAATATGACAAATGTTTACAACTAACTTTTAGGCTTCACTGTCAAATGCAAAAATGTTTATAACTTGAAAATTGTAAATCAACATTAGGTTTTTGCCCTTCACCGACGTATAAACACTGTATACTCGGTGTCTACCTCCCGAGAAAAAGTTGAAAAAAATCACTCGGGTGGGACTTGAACCCACAACCTCTTGCTTTCTAGTGCAGACGTCTTACTCCTCGACCACCGAGCTTGCGGGATCAGTTGGCATTGTGGTACCCGCTGCTACATGTACATCAGATTGGAACCAGCCAACCGAATCTTATTTTTTCCCACTTTCACTGAGGAGGTAACACACTGAGTATACAGTGTTTATATGTCGGTGAAGGGCAAAACATAATATTGATTTACATCGCCCTGACGCAAAATTTTTTTATGAATAGTTGAAATTTTAACATCAAAAAATAATTGTTAAATGTGAAAATTGGGTTTTACCAATATAAAGGTATGAAGTGTCAAAGTTACTAACAGTAGAACCTGTCGTGCGGTTGTGTAAAAAAAAAATTCCCGAAGTATTGTCTTTGAGCAGTGGACATCCATGAAGAATTCTGAGGAGGAATGCCCATTTGGATCTTTTAATACCACAGTATATTGGAAGTTGATATATTTTTGCTATGTTGCTTTTTTTATCAAAGGGTAACCAAGGTGGTGCACAGCCCACGCAAGAGGAACTGACCAACAAACTCAGGGATATGCTGGAACCATTCAAGAACCAATTACCAGGTATTAATACTCACAGTGAACAGGGAATTCCCCCTTCTTGAGGGGCGGATCCTAGGTGGCACATGGGAGGGGGACTGTAAGGATACACTATAGTCTGACTGGACCACAAATGACACAAGTTTCATTTGAGATTTCCTATTTTCCATGTTTCCATATACATGTACATTGCTACCATTGCTATATATCATCATTGCTGCTGTCATCTGGGAATTACATGCATCTCATTTCGAATGCATCCTTGTTGAGTATACTTGAATATTTTTTTATTAATTGTTTCTCTCTGTGCCCAGCTTAATGTTCAGCATTCTTTTGTAATGTCTGAAAAAGGGTTTATTTAGAAAATGCTTATATTAGGTGTTTTTGGGACCGTCAACACAAACAGCGGGCTTCTGAATTTCCTCCAAAAACACCCTCAATGTAACATTTCCTGACATCATTTTTCTTCTCCTTAAGGATCATTAGGTCCACCACAGCCCAACCTCCCTGGCGGGCCCAACTTCAACCCTGAGGGCTGGGGACCCAGAGGCCCCCCAGGCCCACCAGGTCCCCCAGGCCCCCCAGGCCCCGGCCCAGGTCCAGTACGAGGCAGAGGCGGGATGGGTCCTCGCTTTGGAGGTAAGACTCAAAAAATGTTTTATCACCTCGGAGCAAATTTGCACAGTAACTGTTGTTAACCGTAGTTAGACTATCTTCACTCAAACCAGTGCTACTTTCATGAGTGGACACAGTTGATTCATGTGGACCATTGTAATAATAATGTCGTTGCCCTTCAACTGCCTTTGTTGCTGGTAAGAGAGCGCCCTCTAGTGAATGCACAGCTATAATGAACAACTTATCAACATGTCGTTCTTGCATCATATTTTTCGACTTTTTATTCTCCATTTACATCAGGACCAGGAAGAGGTGGTTTCAATCCACGCTTCAACGGACCCCCGTTCCCCAATGGTCCGGCGCGGTTCCCCGGCCCTGGTGGGCCACCAGACATGCCCCCTAGGGGTCCTCCACGACCTCTCATGGGGGGCGGTGGTCCCTGGCCACGTGGCGGCGGTGGTGGGGGTGGACGCGGGAGGGGAGGTACTGTCAAGCTTTGTTTATTTTTCTTATTTAAATGTGACTTGATACAATTGGCTTTTGTATCACAAGGTTTTACGTTGTACTTACAGTAAAAATCGAACATGGGGAGGTAATAAAGGAGTATAAGGCAGGGTGCTAGGCTTGCATTTCAGCAACTTAGTTATCAAGACCCTTTGTTTTCACATATTTTCTAAAACATTAGAAAGAACCTATTCTGTTCCCTTTGACACATCACATAATTCACTTTAAAATTAATAGATTACCACGATTTAAACATTTTTTCCTCCAATCGGATTGGCATGGGAGGAGTTGAAAAAAACCTGATCTCCCCCTCCCCCCAAAAAAATTAATAAAAGAGGAGTGGTAAAATCAAAACAATTTCAGAAAGAACTTCTTGGGTCTCTAGAAACAGTGCAGAAAATACCAAACCCCAAACACTCTAAAGTTTAAAGAAATTGAGATATATCAAAAACGAATCATTTTTTTTCCCCCTCTGTCAAACAGCTATCAATTTTGCAGCTCGTCCAATATGCAGGCACTTCATGACGCCGCGGGGCTGCGAGAGGGCCCAGTCTTGTCAGTTCTACCATCCAGGAATCAACGGGCCGCCGTTGACGCAATGATGTCCCGCCTCGGACCATCCTCAACTGAGCAGAAACCTCCTAAACACTGCGCTGATGGTTTCGGCAAAACACTACCAGGATGATAGACTGTGTATACTGCCCTCTTGTGGACTCGGACGACCAAGTGATAGCCCAAGATTCCTCTGAGGTGTCGTGTCAGTCGAGAAGGATAGCCAAAGACATCACCGTACTTGATTCCATCTCACTGATAGCGCCTGCAACTTGACTGCTCATCAGTCGTCAGTGGATTTTTTTTTACCATGCTTACAGATGGGTGAAGATGCAGGGTCTTCCCTTGCGGAGCACTGAGACAAGAGACAGAGTTTCTTAGAACTCTGAGATGAACCCGCACTCTTCAAGTGATGACGGGTCAAACTCTTCCTGCCCAATGCAGCCGGACACTAACGGTCCTGACTACTTGCATTGAAACAGAATCGGGCAGCTATCTCTCTGGTATGGCCACCTGTTCCTTGTGATGCCCTGTCTGTTGCCGCTGCTTCCTGACTTCCCGGAGGCTTCACATGACCTTTGAACTTCTCTCCCAACTGGTTTGCCCAGGTTGTGCAGAGCAGCACAGTATGAAAAAGACAAGAGTCGTCATGCGTGCTTCAGAACATTTCATGAACTGGAACCATTTCAATTTTAAACATTGATCACCGTTAAAAGTCAAGACCCTCCTGTGGTGGTCACTCACAGAATCTCCTTCATTTTGTATTCCTGATCATATCTTCCACCCCTTTCGTTTTATACTGTTTCCATTGCCAATTTACATGTAAATCTCGAATCCGAAATCGCAAGTTTATAAGTTAATCGCCTGCATATTTAAAGTGAACAACCCTCCCCCACACCCATTCTCCGGTCCCTGAAAAAAAATTGACTCAATCTACCTTGTATTTGCTTTGAACATTTGAGCCTCTGAAAATACCTTTCATTCACCATATTTGGTTTTTTGGTTTAACAATTTTGAAATCGAGGAAATATTAACGCCCCCTTTATTAAAAGTTGTTGCACTTGTTCCTTTACGAATCGTCGAATTGGAAACATTTTCAGAGCTTGCCTTAGGGGCAAAGTTTTGTAACTACTTTAAGTTTGAACAGGCTGAACTTAATCCTCCACAATACTTTCTGAAATAGTTTGTGGCACAGGGGGATGCTAGAGCTACCATAAATTGTTCCCCATTTCTGAAATGGGGAGGAGCAATCATTACCTGGAGGGAGGGGTCGGGGTGTAGAGTTGGCCCATTTGTTCACCAGGCCCCTTTTAATTGATTGAGAACCCTAAGGCTATGTAAAGTCCAGTTTGGTGTTTATGGCAGGGTGACACTTTTAGACCCCTCCCACTTTTCTTGCATCCAAGGCCCACCCCAAGATATGGACACTTTTATGGACCATTTTTTTTCGGGGTTTTTCTAAATAATTGGGGGAAAAAGCAGGACACTGCAGGAGGGGGATGGGTGGGGGTAAAGGGGGCCCTTCCGAGTAGAACTAATGAAGATAGGCATGCAGAAGGGAAAAAGTAACAAACAAAACAAAGAATGTACTCGACAAGGAATGGGATGCAATGTACGAAGTCATATGGGGACATTCCTCACAATCTAAACACTATAGATGTACTGATAAATGGACTTGCCTTGGTGGTCTTTTGAGAAGCCCTGTGCATTGGTTTAGTTGGGGCAGGGCCAAAGGTGGAAGAAAAATGGGGTCATATGATTACGAGTTGGAAAGAATGTCTTTTGACAAACTACTCGTTTAGGGCATTATTACATATTTAAAACACAGTAACTTAAAGTTGGTAGGTGTTTGTTCTTGTTAAAAGACCGGTTGAGCCTTGAAGAGGGCTCCATTTCTTTTTAATGGTATGCTACATACCTATTTCAACATGATTTTGGGCCGAAAAGTGAAGACTATCTGCTACCAATGAATTGTGCTGGTTTAAATTAATAACCAAATGGTTCACATATGATTTACATGACTCTTGTATATCTAACGAACATCGTTTTGTATGTATACAATGCCAGTCTTTTTTACAATATATATTTTGTGATATTTTTGTAAACTGCTTTGTTTTGCTTAATTTTTGCGTGCTGTATATAAAGTTAGACTGTCTAATCCTTTTTTCAGAACATAAGCAAAGCAGTTTTGATTAAAAGAGGATACCATATTGTCCGACAGACAAGACGGATGATAAAGACCGGGAAAAAATAACAGTTCTCAACTAGCGAGGACGGAAAGTGGATAGCATAATGTACTAGACTTATATCATATCCCCGCACACCATCAATGAGCGTGCGTGCGGCGCCTGCAGCGAGATGTTTGTCACCGATGAGAAAATAAAGTAATATTCATGATGGGGGCGTTTCCCATTGAACGCGGTTGGGAGCGTGCATAAGTAATTAGCACTCTCCCGCGTGTACATAATGCGCTGCAAATACGTACCCGAATGTAAAAGTGGTACGTGTAGGCGGATACGCTGTACAAGTACCTGCGCATTAATTTCTCTGGCGATGCGCACAGCGTACAGTGATTTTGCTAATTTGCATAATCCGGAACACTTCGCGCGCATATCAACGGATGCACATTCAGAACAGGAAGTTTTGATTTGGGGGAAAAGTTATCGAAGCTAACACATGTATGTTGCAACGCAAGTAAACTGAGGGACAAGTTCCATATAGTGACAAAGCCTTTGTGAAAATGTCCGAATAAGCGGGGAGGGGGTTGGCTAATCGTGAAACTGCATATATCACTTCAGAATATTAAAATTACACAAGCAATTTTATTTTTTACAGAATTACAAGCACTCAGTTAAAATGCAATGATACGTTCATGTACATAATATGAGAAGTTGATACAAGACTAATTTATTAATAGCTCCGTGACCCGTGAAAGTAAAATTAAAAAAGACAAAAAACTGAAACATTGAGTTACTTATACCAACTAGCCGATGCTGATTTCTAAAACATTTTTTTGCCGGAATACCAAAGTAACGACCAAGTCCGTATTTTTCTTTAATGTCATAAGGATAGGCCTATATGTTTATGTAAAAGAAGAAACACTGAATAATCTAATGCGGCACTAAATAATAAGGTGGGTTTTTTTTTCAATCTCTAGTGAGCGATACAAAGACAAAGTGGAATTTGCAACTGGGAAAAAAAGTATATTTTAATGATCACGCTTTCACTTAATTGAAATCGCGCAATAGAGAAGATGTTGCCGAGAACAGTACGTAAAACCATAGTGATCAAACTGGATTAGATATGTAACAATGGGAAATGCAAATCATTTCGATTCCACAGTCGCACTCTTCATTCTTGCTATTATTTTGGGAGGGGTCTGGGCGTATCTGACATGCCTAGTTCCAAAAAAAGAGTAAAACGGACTTTTCAAGCTAAATTTTTGTCCACGCTCCCTTATCCGATTTTCAATGTGTGTCATTAAAATCTTAGTCGAAATGGGTTTCTTTTTTGTAAATTATATAATAAGGTTATTTTCCACCTAACATTTTGGGGTTTTTTAATCGGACTTGCTATTGCTGCCCCAGTCACGTACTGTGCGGGCGGGGGCGGCACAGCTGAATGTTGCCGGCCCCCGGTGCGTCTGGGGGCTGAGCTGCGGTGGGATGCAATCTTAACTATCACGCACTCACAGCGCAATCTTAATTCTGATGTCAACTTATGAATAAACTGAAATGGTTGGGCAATGAAACAATCGAGAAAAAATATTTGGGTTGGCAATTACTTTAGCTCATAATTGAAGCTTTCTGATTATCAAAATGTTGGTTATGTGTTGCATTCTCGGTCGGGTTTAGAGACGAAAAACTTTTGAAATCGTCAACTCTCGCCCGTAATGATTCAGTTTATCTTCTTCCTTTAAAAAGTTGATGTTTGTTACATAAAATATGTAAATAAGTAGAATGAAAGTAATGAAGATATTGTTTATATCATGGATGAAGTTTTGCATCATGTTGCTTTCGAGTGACACTTTTAAGTTTGATATACTTGATTCGGATTATTTTCTTGGTTAATCTCCTGCAGATAAATGTAAGAAAATGTACAGTTGATCAAGCCAAGATGGCTTATAAATAAATAAAGCATAACAATACTATTTGTTTGTAATGGCAATGCTTGCATGTTTTGTTTTCCGTGTTTATGTGTTTGTTTGTTGGTCTGTATTTGTCGTTTTGAGTATACTTGAACTTGAGTTATGTTTGGAGTTTTCATTTAGAGGGTGCGATACTGCTTTGCGGCGCTCCAACCGTTCCTAATGCAAAGATCCTGAAAATAATAAAGTAGCACATATTAATGGGTTTTTTTTCTCTGATGATTTATAAAGTCAGTCTGCTGCATGCTCACACCACTGATCTCTATTTTTAGAAATCAGTGGCTCGCACAGTCGATTTCATTTATGAGGCTGGTGCATTATGGGGCTTGCAAACGTGTCCTTTAAATACTACCTAGCTTAATGAAAAAAAAATAATCCAGGCAGTTTCCAGACGGCTGATTACAATCAATTTCATATTTTAAGAAACGGTTTCATCCAAATGGTAACTTACTTAATGTCACAATTGGTTGCAAAGATAACTTAATATCAACAAATGGTGTGAAAAAGCTCTCTTAATAAGGATATTAAAAGTTTTTGGCGAAAGGGACCATGGCTCGAGCAATGAATGTAAAACACTGGCCAAAAACAACAAAACAAATTCGTTGAAAACAGTCGTCGGGTAAGTCAACCCACAAAACGGAAAATGTTCAGGAGCTGAAGAGTTTTGAAGAGCGTATCCAAGATGGCCGATGAAAACCGTGAGAAGAAACTTGCTGCTGCTAGGAAAAAGGTTTGTTTTCCTCCTTGGTGATTTTATCCTTGATTATTCCTGTATGGATTGGTTGCCAGATTTATTGTCTTGCCTTTGGGGATGATGAATGGTCGTGGTAATGTTTGACTTTGTTTCAGAAGGGTTTGTAAAGCGAGTAGACGGCGAACCGTCATTGGGCTACGTGTTTCTGAATTTTGTGTACAATCTGTTATCTGTGTGTGTGACATGTTCAAAATCCTCTCATGACTCGTCGACGGTTCCACGTCACATACACGGCCACGGACGGGTACGGTACCGCCAGTGTTCGCGCTTAAAACAACCACCAAAACAGGGAGGTACGGTATCAATAGTGTTGATTTAGGAAAGATTTCCAATTCCATATACGAAGTTCACTAATTTTCCTCTGTATTGACTAACATTGAGAGTAACAAGCCCCCAGATAGCAATTTCATGTCATCAAAGTCAATATGAGCAGTGAGAAAATACAAGCATTTTCTTAGAAAACACTTAAAATTTTTCAGTCCAATCTCATAGGGTTTGTACACAGGGTGTTGAGTGAACTTCGTATATGGAAATCTTTCCTTGATTTATCCAACATATAGGAAAAAAATGTTGCAACCTGGCGGCACTTCCGCGATTGTGTACAAAGTCTATGGAGAGTCAAGAATTTTTTTAAGTAGGCCCTACTTCCTAACAAAATTGGAAATGTTTCTCAGTCCCAGATTCATGTCTTATCATCATTTTTGGGAAAAAAGTTTGCAACCTGACGCCACTTTTTTCTTCATATATCATCTCAATGAAGGTCAGTCAGTGCAAAAATGATGATACACGTTTCTTGAACCCAAATATCAGTATTATTTTAGGGCCTATCATTTTAATGACTAATGTTATCTGATGATATGTCTTCAAGTTTACAATTTCGAAGAAAAAAAGGCCAGTTGATGTCAAGAATTATCTGAAAGAAAAAATACTTTATTGACAATAACAGGTTCTCTAGCCAACATTGCACAAACACAAAAATTAATGTTAGATATGAAATTTATATTTAATAAATTATTATGAATTAATGTTTTAACAAGCATGTGACTTTGTTATTTGAGACAAAAAGATGTCATTATTTTAAACTTGATAATCCCTATTTTGGTTTTTCTTTTTTTAGCTCCAACGATTCCAACAGAAGCGAACACCCGCAAACTCCCCCATCCCTACCAAGAGCCGGAAGCCAGACAACCCAATCTCTGCACCCACGACGCCCCTGACAAACAGCCAGCCAAACAAAGCCTCCCCTCCCCCCTCCACACCACCCAGGGCCAACCAGGGAATCCATCAGAGCCACACCCCAGCCAGCACTAGTCACAGCCCCCGACAGAACTCGTACACAAGCAGTTCAGATCATCTTAACCCATCCAGCAGTGTAAGAATATTAACTGTAGTGCTGGACATCTTCAAATAATTTGGTATTTGATTATTTCAAATTGAATTCGAGCGATTCACAATGCAGTGCGCCACCAAGAGTTTGCCATGGAGAGTCCATTTTTCAAGGTTACGGTCGACAAAACAAACACCACCCATTTGAATGAGTGTCAGTAGACAACTTGAGCTAATTTGTTATATGTGATTGTAAAAAAAAAACCAATAAATATAGATTTGAATTCCTGAGAAATATGCATTGACAGTAAAGTCTTGTGTTTTTTACTGCTGGGGCGATGCACGTGCACAAAATGCACTCCCACTTAAGTTAAACTTTATACTATAACGCACATCACCTGACAAAATATCAGACACTACATTACATTTTTGATTGACACAGATATGACCACAAGTGTGAACTACATGTAAAATTTCTTTCTTTTTTTTCCTGTGTTTTTTCCTTTAATTTTTTTACAGGTGCTGAATAACAGCCACCAACAAGTTGCTTCAAATTCACCAGATACCAGGTACAAAAATGTAACAATCCAGTCCTTTCATTGTGTTTTGTAGGCTTGTATAGGTCTCATTCAAATGACGTCATTTCCTACAGACCATCCACCTGCATCGGCATTTTGACCGTCAACTTGCATAACGCGCATCGGCTGCGTCGTATTTTGAACACATTTCGAGCAACAGGCGCGTGTGTTTGGAACATTTTGAACACTGCGCAATGCGTGCTTGATTGCGTAAAATACGTAGTTGCAGTTCTCCTATAGAGATGGCCGTCATTGGGCAAGCCCTGTTATTGTAGTGGGGTGTTTAAAACTCCCCAAGTTTATGACATGATGCATTTTCATTTTGCTTTGAACAGACCATTGTCTTCCACTGAGAGTCTACGCCAACTGTCAATGCAAGTTAATGGGCTCGTCTCAAAGGTAAGAATGCTAGTCATGCTATAATACAGAAACAGAAATTGACCTCTGTTTGACTCTTGTGAATGGAGCAGAACACTAGCCTGACAAAACCAAAACTTTGTTCGGTTTGGAATTTAACTTGAAAGCACAGTTGACTACTGTGGCAAAGTTTGGCGATTGACCTATCACCGTTTTCAAGTTAGCCACGCCCCTTAGACAACCCTATGGAACTTTGTACGCTAAGTTTTGTTTGTCTCAGATGTTGCGCTTTCCGCGTTCATTTGTATATCATGCAATTGGACAATCACAAGCTGTGTTGACGCGATGGTAACGCGATTCTACTGCGATAGGTCAATTCGCCACCTAGACCAGGTGGTAAAGTCTATTGCACATTGTCAATTTCCTCAATATAGCTCAGAATTAGGTCAATACGCATGGAAACTCTTTCAGTTCAAGATATCTTTTCAAGGATTTTGTAGTACGCTTTGTCGTTTTCTATTTTCCCTTGGAAAAAGTGGTTCAACAGTTTTGTTAATTATTACTGTATATTTTCAGGCTGAGTACTTAAATGGACTTGATGAAGATTCAGTGGACGCTAGGACAAGACTTGGTCTCAGTCAACTGGAGGTGAGAAATTTCTTGTACAAAAATGTTGATACATATTTAGGCATGCAAGTCCTCGGTTCCGCTGATTTCCTCGTTTTTTACTTCTCACGAATGCCATTACAAATTTAAAAATACTGTACAAATTCTTTTGTGGTTTGGAGTTTTCTGGTTTATTCTAAATTTCTAGTCGCATGTCTGCATATTAAAAATGTTCAACCTTTACAAAAACAAAAACAGGAAAAGGCATTTGCATCTGTGAAAAACATAATCGGTCATCCACGTTTGTGGGAGTTTTTATCTTCAGTTTTTCATCCACATTACCGCCATCGAAAGGCAAAGGCCAATGTGTCTATGTGCAAATGACTTTTTAAAGTTTCTTTTTTTTAATTTTTGGTAACAGTTTTGATTTAGTGGCTGCAAATGTCATCCAGTCACAAACTTTTCCACAAATATCTTTTGGTTTTCAGGCCAGGAACCAGGAGTTAGCAGCTGATCGAGATGAACACGCCCTCTCTAATCAACAGCGACAACTGCACATTGATGAACTGGTAAGATATGTATAACTCTCCAAAATTCATCCAAATTGGTACAACTTTCCTCTTTTTTTGGGAGGGGTATATGAGTGCATTTAACCTTAACCCCGTAAGGCTAACTAACTTAGTTATGACTAAAAGTGAGTGTGTTTATTTTTTTCTTGATATTTGTTTCAGAGGAATCACTGTGAGAAATTACAGTATCAGTTGCAGAAGGTAAGATAATTCTGTCGACGCTAGAGATCTTAACAAGAACTGAAGATGCATGAGTTAAAAAAATATCGGATTTCAAGGGACCAGATGTGAATTAGTGAGGCAACCCTGATAGGCTCTGGTCAAGGAGTCCGTACTTCTGTATCAGTAAGCAAGTGGTTGTGGGTTCCAGTCCCAACAGTGCTAGGCAGTGAAGTTTGACTATAGACTGTTTGCACTGCAGTCATCTTGGAGGTTTGGCACATGAATTTTTTAAACTACCATATCTCGGAGACGAAATATGCATTTGCAATCATGTTTAAAGATCAATATTTTAATACCATCGCAATGAATTTTGAAATATGCTCAACAAGTAGGTGAGAATTGCTGTCAAAAGAGGGTTTCCGTCTTTTTGCACCACGCTGCAGAGGACAAAAAATCTGTGTTGATTCCATTTCCAACATCTCGCACAAAAGTTCTGTCACCTGTTACGTTAAATTGTTTTGATTGTCGATTGGTCTGCAACAGGAGCGCAAAGAGTCGGAGCAGCGACTGTTCAAAGAGCAGAGCTCCCTCAGGGAGCAGTTACAGGTTCACATCCAGACCATCGGTATTCTAGTCTCGGAGAAGTCAGACCTCCAGAGCGCTGTGGCACACAGCCAGCAGAGTCTCAAACAAAAAGCAGGTGAGAAAATTAATCCTCCCTCCATGATCCTTCAAATTCCATCTGTAGGGCTGTTCCGATGATTTTTTCCCAGGACGTTAGGGCCAAGAACTTGATGCCACTTTAAAGATAAGGGCCCATCATGTCCGGACAAGTTTCAGGTAGAATCATTCACTCCGTCTGGAAGAAGCTCTGCACTCGTCCCGGACATGTTTTGGGGAAATTTTCATCAGCAAATGCTTGACTCATCAACACTGATAACTTCATTGCGGAAAGATTGCGGGGAAGTTGTTCAGCATCCTGCAACTTATACCCGATACAGTGTCTGCAACTTGGCCGCAACTCATCCTAGATATGAATTGAGACGGGCCCTATAGCTTAAAGAATGTTCCATCAGGCAAAGTGGAGGACACTAAAGGCTTCAAGAAGGTTCCTAGCAAAACCCAAAGATATAAAGTTAAGGCTGAAAAATGCACTGCTGAGAATCAGATGTTGAAAGTTTGATGGCCTGTTTCGGTCCAAGAAGAACCTGTCTCACCGGCAATATTTTGCCTCCTAGAATAATTCTGCTGGAATTTAAAAAAAAATTGACCCCCAAACTTTTACAACTGGGGTATTTAGGTCACTACGGTAGGCAGTTTGCAGCAGGTGTTTCTATTTTTTTTTATACTGAGAAGAAGATTAAGGTTATTTTTCCGTTACGTTTATTCATTCACCAGGTGAAGCAGATAATCTGTCCAGCCGACTCCAGGCCTCCAGACAGAGAGTGGCTGAATTGGAGAGAGACTTGACCAGTGCGACATCCTCCAGCCAACAGTACCAAAAGGTAGGCTTGTCAAGAGTATGACAAGAGTATAAGAGGAAGCCTTGCCTTACTGGACTGTCCGGGACACGTCAGTCGATGGCTTCAGTATTTGGCCACTATATACTGCACAGAACTTTATTATAGCAGGGGCTGAGCTGCCATGCTGTCCAGTGATTGTTAAGATAAAAATAGTGATCCTTTGACGACCAATGGAGTAGCCCTAATATCATCCAATGTCTCTTTCAAATGTCTATGTGAGTCTCAGCTAATCAGCTTTCATTCGTCCAGTGCTCTCTTCGTGGCATACCTGGCAAATAAATCACACTCTGAGAGCAAGGGTTATAGGCATAAAGGATCATTTGTTCTTCATGCATTTTGTTTATATAATTTCCAATAAACACCACTCAAAATCTAGAGAAGAATGTTCAAAACCTAACTTGTTGAAATTTCAGCTTCTGGATTTTACACATTTTTCGAGAAAACAGTGAAAAACCATGCACAACCTTGTGATCACAAAACACGATTTCGTCTATGAAACTCTTTATTTCAAATGATCGGTCGAATGACTCATTGTAGATATTCACCTACATTTCTTGATTTCTTCTAAATGACAGCAAGCCAGGTGGAATGATTTTCACGGCGTGTTTAGTATCATTACGATTTTTAATCGTAACTTTTTAATGGTAATTCGGTAGGTTACTTTTGGGGTAAATGCTAAATATCCTTTCTGCCTTCGATGATATTATATTTCACTTATCTTTGTCTTGCAGACGAGTGCAGGGCTTGATAAGGAGAAGGATACTCTCATGCTAGACGTCTATAAATTAAAGTAAGTTTGCTTTTGTTGTTGCCGCCACCTTTTTATTATTTATCTACAAGCTATTGGTTTGTACGTTTACATTTTGTGTCATCTCATTTCTCAAAATATTAAAAACCAGGAGCATATTTGTAAAACCTCTTGATTTCCTTCACTTTTAGATGAAATTTTGTTTTTCAATTGAATGAAATCTAGATCCTTTTTTTGTTGTTGAGGAAATTAAATAGTTTTTGTTTGTGTAGTGGAGAACAAACCGTGACTTGTGATAAAATTTGGATTAAATTTTATTAGTACAGTTTTATGTTTCTCTCTTTAAAACTTGTCACAGGAAAGCCAACGAAGAGTTAACACAACGAAATTCAGAGACTAGCAGTCAACTCAGAACAAAGGTATATCCTGTGTGTCTGTCTGTCTGTCGGTCTGTTTGTGTCCTAAAACCTGCAGTTGTGCAAAGCTGTTTTCAGTGCCCACTTTGTTAAACCTACCACTTCCACAATATGTCAGATTGTACACATCTAGCACCTAGCAGCTTTTAGATACTCAATATTGTTTTAATAAAAATGTTAAACAGAATTGTTATTCCAAAAACAAATGACCAGGTTGCAGAATCGTCCCAGCTAGAGCAGCTCGCCCAAGACTTGAAGGACCGTCTGAGTGCAGCGGAGCTACGGGCCCACCAGCTGGCCAATCAGGGCAGCCAGCAGGATACCCACGATGCACTGCTGAAAGTCCAACAAGACAAAGCCGAGCTCGAGAGTAAACTTGCCCAGGTTAGTATTGGGCACGTTTTCACTCGTGTTTCTCAAGTTAGACATTAACGACGCAATCTCACGTTCACGTGAGGGTCCATGGTAGCAGTGTAGAATTCACCAGACGATTTTTGAGGAATTTGCAGGTTTTAGAACGGTAGAAACCAGTCACAATGACTTTGCAAGTGCAAGAAATATACCATGTGTGTTCTACACAGTGTCGGATTGTTGAGTATCCGCAAAGGTTCCTCCCTAAAATATCTAGCATATTCTGTTAAAAGCTAGTCAGTTTCCTTATATGATTTTCTTGAGATGTTCTTTGTAGTTAACGGAAAAGTTGCAAATTGTTTTTCTCTCAACAGTACAACCAATCGTTCCAGCAACTGACAGCAGAGAGGGAGCAATTGGCTCAACAGTTCCAGCAGCACACACAACAATATCAGAAACAGGCTCAAGAACTGGTTCAACAAGTAAGATAGTTCTTTCACTTTCCCAGTCCCAAGAATGGAAGGACAGTGCAACATCTCAGAGAGAAAGTCTGAAACTTAGTAATAACATGACAATGTATTTAAACAGTAATACTTTAGACTGCAAAGGGGATCAGGTTGGCGTAGCGGTACTTTCCTCGCCTTCCACCGCTGTGACCCGGGTTCGAATCCCGCCTGGGCCAATATGTGGATTGGGTTTTCAGTCCCTGCCTGATTCCATGGGTTTTCCCTAGAATGTCATTCTGGGGTTTTCCTCCCACCATTAAAACTGTAATTTAAATACGTCGAAAGACTTTCGTGGGCTATCCCGTCCAATAGTCGAATACTCATAAGTAAATAAGAGTGAAAAGATGGAAGGGATAGAAAAGAAAAGAAATGTGGAAAAACGTTTTTGTTGACAGATGGCCATTAATCAAGAGAAATAAATACTACCTTCTTCTTGTGATTCCTCATGTAAGTTTTCTTTTCTTTTTCTTTCTGCAGATACAAGCTCAAGCACAAGAAAAGGAAATCCTTGTAGAAAAGCAGGCTGAATTACAGAAGCAAATCATCGATATGGAAAATGCGAAAGGTAGGTTTTTTATGTGATGCAACTCTTTCGAAATGGAGTATCATGAGAAGAAAGCTTGTATGAGTGTTCTCGAAGATTGAAACAAATCTATTGTAAATCATGGACAATTTATACTAAGGGGCCGTTCAAAATTATCCATATGTTTAGATTATTGTTTAAAAATGGGGGTAGGTGGGTCAAGGATTTGATTAAAAATCAAAATTCACTTTTCAATTAAAAAGAAAAAACAGTTTGGATTGTATTGATTAGCATTTTAAGATCAAAAATTACTGGGTGGTTGGTAAACATTGATAATTTTGAAATATTTTCTAAGAATAGGGGTAGGTGGGTCAAGGATTGATTAAAAATCAAAATTCACTTTTCAATTAAAAAAACCCAACAGTTTGGATTGTATTGATTAGCATTTCAAGATCAAAAATTAGTGTGGGTGGAAAACATTGATAATTTTGAATGGCCCTAATGCATTGATTTTTCCACTGAAAAGAAGGCTTTCATATTGCACTAAACTTTCCATTTATTGGGCCAAAAAAAAAATTTGGTCTCTGGTCAGACCAAAGTTCCGGAATTGACGCGGCCATGCGGCTTTTTTTTTTTTCTTCAAGCTTGGATTGTACAGAAAAGGTGGGTACTATTTTGCTTTTTTGGTGTCCTCATGTACATTGGTGTCCTCCATAATTTGCCTTGGTGCTTTTGATCATTTGCCTTGGTGCAATTTCCCATTCCTTGGTGCTCTTTGGTAAACAAAATTGAGGAGGTGCGGAAATAGAGGGCGCTGTTGGAGCTACCGCGGAACATTTTGGAAAAAAAAAAAAGATTGACGCGCATGATTAAAATCGACATGCGCGCTGACCAGAGACCGACTTTTTTTTTTTTTTTGGCCTTACAAGGGTTTTATGAAAAAGATATTGGATAACACATATTGGGTCTTTTTTAAACAAATCTTTCACAGTTGCAGATTCGGAACAAGGAGACCTCATCAACCGGCAAGAAGTTGATGATCTACAGCAGAGAATCACGCAGCTTGAGGCAGATAAACAGTCAGTACATGGGCAATACCAACAACAGGTGAGACGCGCTACATCTATTCACACGGCAGCTATCGATTACCTATTAAAGAGGTTGTGGAATGCTCGAAGACATTTCCGTCATGTTTTGGGTATATGTAGCCTAAGGTGTGATGAAATAAAAACGACTATTGTTTCTGTCATAAAATGAGTACAAAAGGTACTTTTGAGAGCTGTTTTTCAAGTCCTGTCATGCCTGTTTCGACAGTAAATCGTGACGTAATAAACAGGACTCCCGATGCAGAGTAGCATAAACGAGTCCCGTTTATTACGTCACGATTTACTGTGTTTTGTTTGCTCCCCGCAACGACGACCTTTACACAAATTGCACGTTCGGGTCGAAACAGGACCTGAAAAATAGCTCTCAAAAGTACCCTTTTGTACTCATTTCATGACAGAAACAATAGTCGTTTTTATTTCATCACACCTTAGGCTACATATACCCGAAAAATGACGGAAATGTCTTCGAGCATTCCACAACCTCTTTAAATACACAGTATAATCAGTGAAAGCATTGGCTGTGCCTCCAATTCTGATTCTTGTCATATTTATTTATATATTCCTATTGATTGTTGGAATTGGAAATACATGTGATGCGATCAAGCTAAATGAGTCGTTTGTCGACCCTGGTCATTTTTTTTTTACAGATTTGAAGAGAGTACAATCTCAGCATTACTGATAACCGCATGCTGATACCATCTTTAGTTCAAAAATTATGGAAGTCGGAACACCAAGAGATGTGATGAAGTGATGTGATGAAGTGGCCCTATTTTGGCCTGAATCTCCAAATGAAAGTTTCCGACAAACGACTCATTTAGCTTGATCGCATCACAAAAGTTCTAAAAAAAAATAAACCTGTCCTCTTTGTTTTGCCTTTCCCCTATCCAAATCCACATCAGGTCAGCGACAACGCCCAGCTCAGTCGCCTATATCAGGAGCGAGAAGATCGCATCGAGGAGCTGGAACGCCAACTGGCCCGCCTCAACGAGGAGTCTACAGACCGAGCATCTCTCCTAGAGAGCATCCAGGGAGACAAGGTGACCATCAGCCGAGCCATGGCCCAGAACAAGCAACTCAAGCTGCAACTGGAGGAGCTGCAGTCAGCATTTGTCAAGATGGTGAGATGATGGTTTCATTTCAAGAATTGTGATTGAGTCAATTCACAAGTCAGGTTCTGTGTGATAGAGGATGAACAGTGACAAAGGAATGTCTTTGTCACGGCTTGTTGGAATAGCTGGAGCCTTGTCCTGAGAGTGGATGACTTGTGATGACTTGTGATGACTTGTGATTGACTTGTGATGACTTGTGATGACTTGTGATGACTTGTGATTGACTTGTGATGACTTGTGATTGACTTGTGTTGGCTTGTGACTGACTTGTGACGACTTGTGATTGACTTGTGATTGACTTGTGATGGCTTGTGATGGCTTGTGATTGACTTGTGTTGGCTTGTGATTGACTTGTGATGACTTTTGATTAACTTATGATGACTTGTGATTGACTTGTGATGACTTGTGATTGACTTGTGATGACTTGTGATGACTTGTGTTGGCTTGTGATTGACTTGTGATGACTTGTGATTGACTTGTGATGTGTTGTGATTGACTTGTGTTGGCTTGTGATTGACTTGTGATGACTTGTGATTGACTTGTGATGACTTATGATTGACTTGTGATGACTTGTGATTCACTTGTGTTAGCTTGTGATTGACTTGTGATGACTTGTGATTGACTTGTGATTGACTTGTGATTGACTTGTGATTGACTTGTGATTGACTTGTGATTGACTTGTGATTGACTTGTGATGAATTACATTTGACTTACGATTGACTTATGACTCGTGTTGGCTTGTGACTTTAAACTCATCTCTGGATTTGTCTGTCCCGGTTCATGTCGGACTTATTCAGCAAGTGACAATTGGATGTCCATCTTGCCTTGAATTGAAACAGAGAGTCTTAGATTGCTGGACATGTATGCTGTTATATTCAGTTGCAAAGGATGTGCAAAACATTCAGTTCAGCTTGTCTGTATTATCTGACAGGTAAGTATTTTCACTTGAGAATTATGCAATATTAAATGGATTTTACATGTTGGGTACATTTTGGTTTTACCCCCTAGACTAATGATAACATGGAGATGTTATCCAGCCTGCAGTCTGAGCAGCATGTTAGTCAGGAGTTGGCGAGTCGACTGGGGCAACAAGAAGAAGAACTGAAAGAGTTTAAACAACAGGTAAGACACAACAAATCATTATAAATTCAAGAATTTTGATTATCATGGCTGTTCAGAGTTGAATGGGTTTTTTTCGCTCTTAACATCTCATTACATCATAAATTCTTTTTACATCAAGGCCTTTCCTAGCTTAGTTCATTGACTTATTGATAGAATGTCCTTTTAGCAATTTTAGAGCGTTTTTGCAAACAGTCTAAAGTCAAGAATTTTTTTTTTTGGGGGGGGGGGTGTTTGGATACTATTACTTGTTAATTCATAATCAACAGGTTCTGATGAACAGAATCTATAAAGAAATTATATAAATTTAACTGATATATCATCCATTTTTGGTTTGTGTCCTCTAAGGGTGGGCAAGTACATTTCCTCTTTATAGATAAGTCGGATCATATTGAGCTATTTATGTGAAGAAGAACCTCAATCACAAATTGCCACTTTTGGTATTGAGTCTCCAACCGTTCATCTAGCAGAAAGTCTCTTCTCTGTTTACTGCCATAGTTGCAGTCCAAGGAGAGCGAATGCGACGTCTTGAAGACGCAAAATTACGGTCTAAACAAGCAGCTGCTGCAGCAGGCCACCATGACTGATAGAGTCCAGCACTATGAGGCACAGAGCCACATCAACGAGACACTACAGAAAGATCTGTCCAATGCTCAGGTAAAAAAAAGACAGGATAGGTTTGTCTTTTAACCTCCTAGTGGGAAGTCAATAATCAGAGAAATATGTAAAACCATTGAAAACCCTGCAGGTCAGTTTCAGGTGCTATGAAGTGTAAACTGTGTCGCACAGAGACTCACTGCACACAAAAAATTCAGCACTTTGGAGAACAGCAAAGGGTGACCAAGTCTGCCTGCTTGCCCTGAGCTGAACTGCACAGAAGAATTGTGCAGGGATTTGAAGTGTTATCCATACTCCACAGAAAAATATTACCTCAAAGGAATTTGAAGTGTGGGTGCAAACTCTGTATTTTTTTTTTTGGCAAATTTTAATTCGTGAAATCTTGCAATTTTTCCCAAAGTTGAGGCTGCGAGATCTGACGGAAGAGAACAGCGAGCTCAGAGTGCGGATCGCCAACCTGGAGGCTTACCGGGCGGAGTCGCAGACGTCCTCACCCAACGTCAGTTTGGAGGATGGCCGAGTGGTCTCACGGGAAGACATGGTAAGGTCTAATCCCTGGCCATTGATTCTGAAATGAGCTTGATTGGCGAACCTGCCAAACATCCCTCGAAGAGAGTTTGCAGGCACGAACACGGTTACTGGAGAAAGCAGAAATTCATTGAAGAATACAATAGATTTGCTCCTCAACGAAGTATTTGATATTACACTAGCAGTGCTAAGAATGGGAGAAGCAAATGGCTCAGTAACAAAAGGGCTGAGGGAAAAAATGGATGTGCAGCCTTTTTACAACCTAAATAAAGTAAAGTGAATTGTTCTTTTCGTAGGTGGATTCATTGTCGGCTGCCATCAGGCAGCTGGAGATGGAACGAAATCAACTCACAGAATCATTCCACGAACAACAGGCTCAACACCATGCACTCCTGGAGCAGATGGAACAGATACGAAGACAGCAGGGACAAGGTGAGAACTATCAACCAACTATCAACCAAATATCCACAGAGTAATAAACTATCCACTATTCAATTATAGCATGAGCAGTAGGCTCTATAGCATATCCATAATTGGATCAGCTAACCGCCACTGATCGAGAAACACACCAGATCCAAATTTGTCACACCAAACTGTCCGCAAGGTAACAACAAGCTATCCACAAACTATCCACAAACTATCCACAAACCATCCATTGAAATGTATAATTAACTTCCCACAATCATCCTTGTCACATTTGCCTCTTAGAACCTGCGGTGCTTTCAGACGTCCAGTTTGTCTCCAAGGAATCCTTTGAGACGATGAACGCGGCCATGGATATGCTGCAGGATCGGTTTGCTTCTGTCATGAGAGAGAAGGCAGAGCTTAGCGAGAGGTGTCAGGAGCTGGAACACATCAACCTGCAGTTGTCTGGCGAGACTGAGACAATAGGTGAGTGTGGGGGAGGAGCACAAGAGGATAAGGGAGGGTTTTAGGAGGACAGGGGGTGGGGCTTAGCAAGAGGTGTCAGGAGCTGAAACACATCAACCTGCAGTTGTCGGGCGAGACTGAGACAATAGGTGAGTATGGGGGAGGGGCACAAGAGGACAAGGGAGGGTTGTAGGAGGACAGGGGGTGGGGCTTAGCAAGAGGTGTCAGGAGCTGAAACACATCAACCTGCAGTTGTCTGGCGAGTTTGAGACAATAGGTGAGTGTGGGGAGTGGTATAGGAGGAAAGGGGAGGGGCATAGAAGGATAGGGGCGGAGCTTAGCGAGAGATGTCAGGAGCTGGAACACATCAATCTGCAGTTGTCTGGCGAGACTGAGACAATAAGTGAGTATGGGGGGGGGCTTTGGAGGATAAGGGAGGGGCTTGGGGGGATAGGGGTGGAGCTTAGCGAGAGGTGTCAGGAGCTGGAACACATCAATCTGCAGTTGTCTGGTGAGGTGAGACAATAGGTAAGTATGGGGGAGGGGCTTAGGAGGATAGGGGTGGAGTTTAGCGAGAGGTACCAGGAGCTGGAACACATCAATATTCAGTTGTCTAGGGAGACTGAGACAATAGGTGAGTATGGGGGAGTGGCATAGGAGGATAGGGCGGAGCTTAACGAGAAAATTCAGGCACTTGGGCAAATCAACCTGCCGCTCTCTGATGATATGGAGCAGGGATATACTACGCCATCACAAGTCCCTGCAAGTCCACCACAAGTTCAACTTGTGAGGTATTTAAATGAGCTTTGACAAAGGCATTCCTTTGTTACTGTTCATCCACTGTTACTTGTGACTGGACTTGTGGTTTACTTGTAACTGGAGTTGTGATGGACTCCAGGAATGATCCCTTTTAGGGAAAGGCGTTGGAGGAAAAGAGAGTTGGAATCAGTACAGGTTACATCTGTAGAACTGAAACAAGTCCTCATACTTATTGGACCATTTTCTTGCCCAGGTGAATACATCAGTCTGTATCACAGCCAGCGAGACATGATGAAGAGGAGGCAAGAGGAGAGAGAACGCTTTGTGGCATCGCTAGCCAAGGACAAGGAAGAAATGCAGGTAAAACATCTCTGTCACTCCGCTAGTGATGATCACAATGTGCATATCCACAATCCACTCCTCCAAACTGAATCACCAGGCTTTATCAACTGAACACAGTTGTATTTGACTTTCAACTGGGCATTACTATCCCAAACTCCCTACAATTTTTGTATCCACTATTTCCAACAAACTCTGCTAAATCTACAGTCCACATGCACAATCGTCTTTTGCAAAAACTGTTGACATTCAGGACACACTTCGTAGTCTTACTTTGTGATGTTAAATATACCAGAAGTTCATTTTCCAATTTTCGGTTTTAACGTGCTTATCACATTGCCAAAACAAAGTTGTCCCGGCACGCAAAATTCGGCCATTTTACTTTCACCTTTCACCATTGCAAACGTTTTCAAATTTTATTTTTGGCCAAATGGGCAAGTTTCAAATTATCATCTCAGTACCAGGCCAATGTTAGACATAGCGAAACTTTTCTGGTCCAATCCCCTCCAGAACAGGGAGCACTAAGGTCCTTTATTTCAAAGTTCATTTGAAATGTTTCCATAATTACGAACATTTTCCTCATTTTTGTGGATTTCATTTTGCCAGCAAAAATTGAACCAGCTCCAGAACCTGATGATGCAGTTGATCCAAGAGAAGAAGCGCCCCGCCCACCCCCACACCCCTAACCAATTCCCAGCTTTCTTGGGTTCCCCGTCCCTCACCCCCGGGGGCGCTAATTCCATCAACAACTCCCCCGTTTCACCGTTCGGCGGTCCGATGTCCAACCCCAACCATCACCACAATCACACTAAGAAGCACCAGACGTTGAGTGGAAGCATGGACAGTACCACTTTAGACGGTGGGTGTTTCCATGTATTTTGTTAGTATTTTCATGTAGTAACTTAAAGCAGGATCATGCTTAACTTAAAGCATGTTTCTTGTCACAGATTTGCTAAGACTTTTATGGGCAGGGCCAGTTTTTGTTACGAGTCTTTCTTTCAACCAGTTCATGTCGGAGGACGTGATAACGCGCACTGGCTGTTTTTAAATACAGGCACGGCTGACGGGTTAAGATGTCAAGATTGCCTAGACTCATCTCCAGGTGACCTCTTAACATGCTAATCCCTCGTGTCTTTTGTGCACACACACAAAGTCTGTGAAGTCTGTGGAGGCGGACCGTGTGTTGATCTTGAATTGGCCGTTGTGCACGGCTTATTGTTCTACAATTTACGCTCCAGTGCGCACCCCAGAGTATTGAAACATATGAGGTTTCGGCAAGAAATATCGTACAAATTCTGTTGAAATGACTCGTGCGAATCAGTTGTGATCGCCAAATACTTGAACTTTGTACAGCTCACTAGCCACTTTTTTTGGGAAGTTGGTGTCATTTTTGTTTATCACAGAATGTACTGATTATAGTTCTGGGGGAAAGAAAATGCAACATCAAGGTTGAATTCCCTCTAGGTTCTTTGCATTTAAACTAAACTAAACCTTGTTTAAGTTTAGCCACTGCTCTTAGGGTATTTCTCTTTAAGCGAGTATTGAAGTGTTTTGGAGGTTGTAGTAGAATACTGACTTCATTTTTCTCTTGCCTTGAGCAGATGACAGCGATGCCGATGACTGGCCGTCCATCAGCAGCACTGACAGCGCAGAGGAAGCCACCATGGCGGACCACTACCACACCGCCCAGAACCTGAGCCTAGACAACTCCCCGCGACGCAACCCTGCCCACAACCGCAGCCCGCAACCCACGGATCACACGGCCCAGCAGATCATGGAGCTACTGGAGCAGATCGGAGGGTCACACATCATCGATCGAGGGACCATCTTAGATCGAGACTTTGCCCCCTGCAAATGCTGCAGCGGGACTCTTGTGGATGTATGATTCAAGAGCTGGGATTGTGAACGTCAAAGTTGCCGTTTCGCTTCATCCTCCGAAATCCTTTAATAAAACTCTGCCAAGATAGTGGAGAGGATTTGCAGGATTGAGGAAGGTAGAGCTTGGCTGCTATTACTTCACATGAGGCTTGATGATGCCCTAGGAAATTACAAAGGACATGTCATTGGAGGATTTTGGAGGATTCAGAAATGATCCTGCCCATAAAGCTGTAGGTTGCAAGTTTTGTGATCGGGATTTTCTGCATGAGGATCTTGCAGCGATTGCTTATTGGATGTGAGATCGGGAATCACGTCTTTTACAAACAACTCTTGGAGCTTGGATTCCTTAGAGTAAATGCTGCATTGCTTCTCTCTGGATGCTTGATACTCTGGATAAAGACTTCCGCTTGAAAGCTTTTTTGTAACAGCATTTGCGTTAGTTTGATGCACTTCTTGTGTGGAACTTTGAATTTCTTTGTTGGGTTATAGCCGATAGTGTACCCCCAGGGTGATAGATGTACTGTTATTTTTAAGCATGACCATAAACATTGGTTTCTGTGGATACAGATCATAAAAACTGTAGCTCAAGCTTGCGAGAAATCTACACCGAATGAGCATCTGTGAAATCATATTGGAAAAGAATTGAAAAGAACAGCATTCACTTTCTGTGCAGACTAAACTAAGTTCAGTTCTAAAATGGCTGTATCTCCAGAAAGATGATCAAATTTGTCCAGGACTTCATACTCCGAGCTGCAAAGACTCTTGTACTACAAGTGCCTTATTTACTTGCGAAAGGCGAGATCATCAGTAACTGTGTGACCATTGTGTGTTTCATAAACAAACAAAAACAACCTGTGTGATGACAATCGTCGTGATAACTTCAGGTATCAACCTGGTATTTTCACTCTTGATCAAAATTGCCGAGGAGAAAATCCTGCAGTATTACCTTATGAGGAACTGTATGAAGATGCGACTTTTTCGGCGACTTGTGCCAAAGTTTTCGGAAAAACATTGTGACTTCAGGTTTAAACTACTTAGCTTGGGCGCATCTGAATATTTGTGTTTTTCCAGCCTTGTGTTTTACAGAGGAGAAACTGGCTTTTTGGAGGAAATTTACACCACTGTAAAAATATATTTCCAGTGTAAAAATACCGAACGTTTTGTTGGAGTGCACATAAATGCAGTGTTGGCGGCAAACGCGGAAAAACTTGTTGGCATTGAGATGTGGTGTTAATCTTACGCTTGAGCATGGATAGTATGATAATGTGAACAATGTATGGACTTGGCAAAGAATCAGATCTTGGGATCTTTAGTTCCAGTTTTCTTTGTATGTTTGTTGATTTGTTTCCACATTTTCGGACCAATTGGAACCTCTAAGAGAAAAGGAGAAAAGTAGAAGAGGAATAAAAGTAGAAGAATAGTTTGATTTGGTATAATTATTTTATTTGTCTAAGGGACACAAATATTTCAAGCAGAAAGAAACATTTATGTTTATTTTGATATCAGCTAAACATTCCAGAAGTTGTATCGCAAAAAATGTATTTTTTGTTTTGTTTTGTTTGTTTGTTTGTTTGTTTGTTTTGGTTTTTTGTTATGCTTCTTTTTTTGGGGGGGGGGGGGAGGGGTTATGGAACTTGATATTTAAAATGGTTAGACACAGTATAATATTTAAAAACACATTTTTTTCCTGATGGAAAATGTTAAGTATTCAGCGGAAGTTTTGAAGTACAAATGTATTTTCAAGTTCTGGGAAGCTCCCTTACTCCAAGTATTGTTCACATTCTAGGAAAAGAGTGAATGTTTTTACATCGAAACAAAATGTCGTAAAAGCTAGTGCTACATTGGAACATAAGGGTAGGTGAAATTATCCTGTCAAAAACAGTTTGAATTGGGATCATGTTAATCCAACTATACAAACGTCCAAGATTACCACAAGTCGATTTTCGTCCTTAATTTACTTCAATTTGAGTAAGGTATCAAAATGAACAATTGAATATGCTTGTAAGGACTCAATTTGTTGAAATTTTGGTTATATCCCAGTCTAGAAGTTAAAAAGGTGTTGCTAAGGTTTGATGAATTTTTGTTTAGCTGATTTTGATTTTTTTTGTTTTTGTTTTTTTTGTTTTTGTTTTTTTTGTTTAAACTTGAAAAGTTCTGTACAAAGCTGAATAAAAAAAGCACAATATATTTGATATTAACTTTGAAATAATTATATCCTTTCTGCTTTAAGTAAGAAATATTAAATGGAGCTATTATTTATAATTTGACCTTGGTTAGCTAGTTAAACAGGGATGTGTTTTCTGGAGGTAGACCATTAGATTGTGGGGGAAGAAAAATCATTCAGAAATGGTTTATCATCATGTGCGTCGAAATCTCTGGACTTCAAATCTTTGTTGTTATTTTATTAATATTAATTTGTTTTGCTTGCTTTTTTGAAATTTGAAAAAAGGAGCTAGTTGAGGAGCCATTTACTCTGTATAAAACTGTACATCGCAAACTTTTGCCAACAGACCTTTAAGATAACTTGTGGTTTATGTCTAGATTATAAAGGCTAATGTGATATAAAAGAGAGTGTATTGTATCGAATCATTTGTCAGAAAATTATAAAGGCCTTTTTGCTTTTTAAACTGTTAGGGGTTAACCTTAAATCTGGAGCAAAATTGGGCAAAAGCTGATTTTTCTTTGGCAAAAGTTTTGCTTCAAATGCAAGGTTAACCCCTTACAGTTTTAAATTTTCAGAAAAACCAACTTTTGCCCAATTGTGCTTCAAACGCAAGGTTACCCCCTTACACTGTTTACTTTTTTAGGAAAGTGAACTTTTGCCCAATTTTGTACATTTCTAGAAAAATCAACTTTTGCCCAATTTTGCTTCAAATGCAAGGTTAACCCCTTACAATTATGATTTTCACAAAAACCAACTTTTGCCCAATTTGTAAGAAAAATCTACTTTTGCTCAACTTTGCTTCAAATGCAAGGTTAACCCCTTACAGGTTTAAATTTTTGGAAAAAAACACTTTTTGCCCAATTTTGCTTCAATGCAAGGTTAACCCCTTACAATTTTTATTTTTCAGAAAAACCAACTTTTGCCCAATTTTGATTCAATTCCAAGGTTAACCCCTTACAATTTTTAATTTTAGAAAATTCAAATTTTGCCCAATTTTGATTCAAATGCAAGGTTAACCCCTTCCAATATTTAATTTTCAGAAAAAAAATTTTGCCCAATTTTCATTCAATTGCAAGGTCAACCCCTTACAAGTTTTAATTTGTAAGAAAAATCTACCTTTGCCCAATTTTGCTTCAAATGCAAGGTTAATCCCTTACAATTTCTAATTTTCAGAAAAACCAACTTTTGCCCAATTTTGCTTCAAATGCAAGGTTAACCCCTTACAATCTAAAATTTGTAAGAAAAACCACTTTTTGCCCAATTTTGCTTCAAATGCAAGGTTAACCCCTTACAATTTTAAATTTGTAAGAAAAACCAATTTTTGCCCAATTTTGCTTCAAATGCAAGGTTAACCCCTTACAATCTAAAATTTGTAAGAAAAACCAATTTTTGCCCAATTTTGCTTCAAATGCAAGGTTAACCCCTTACAATTTTAAATTCGTAAGAAAAACCAATTTTTGCCCAATTTTGCTTCAAATGCAAGGTTAACCCCTTACAATTTTAAATTTGTAAGGAAAACCAATTTTCGCCCAATTTTGCTTCAAATGCAAGGTTAACCCCTTACAATTTTAAATTTGTAAGAAAAACCACTTTTTGCCCAATTTTGCTTCCAATGCAAGGTTAACCCCTTACAATCTAAAATTTGTAAGAAAAACCACTTTTTGCCCAATTTTGCTTCAAATGCAAGGTTAACCCCTTACAATTTTAAATTTGTAAGAAAAACCACTTTTTGCCCAATTTTGCTTCAAATGCAAGGTTAACCCCTTATAATCTAAAATTTGTAAGAAAAACCACTTTTTGCCCAATTTTGCTTCAAATGCAAGGTTAACCCCTTACAATTTTAAATTTGTAAGGAAAACCAATTTTTGCCCAATTTTGCTTCAAATGCAAGGTTAACCCCTTACAATTTTAAATTTGTAAGAAAAACCAACTTTCTTACAAATTAAAATTTTGCTTCAAATGTAAGGTTAACCCCTTACAACTTTTAATTTTCAGAAAAACCAACTTTTGCCCAATTTTCAATCAAATGCAAGGTTAACCCCTTACAATTTTTTAATTTTCAGAAAAACCAACCTTTGCCTAATTTTCATTCATTTGCAAGGTTAACCCCTTACAAGTTTTAATTTTGTAAGAAAATCAACTTTTGCCCAATTTTGATTCAATTGCAGTTTACAGTTTTTAAATTTTCAGAAAAAACTTCTGCCCAATTTTGATTCAATTGCAAGGTTAACCCCTTACAATTTTTAATTTGTAAGAAAAATCAACTTTTGCCTAATTTTGCTTTAAATGCAAGGTTAACCCCTTCATACAGTTTCTACATTTCAAAAATCTACTTTTGCCCAATTTTGCTTCAAATGCAAGGTTAACACCTTACAATCTAAAATTTGTAAGAAAAACCACTTTTTGCCCAATTTTGCTTCAAATGCAAGGTTAACCCCTTACAATCTAAAATTTGTAAGAAAAACCACTTTTTGCCCAATTTTGCTTCAAATGCAAGGTTTACCCCTTACAATTTTAAATTTGTAAGAAAAACCAACTTTTTGCCCAATTTTGCTTCAAATGCAAGGTTAACCCCTTACAATTTCTAATTTTCAGAAAAACCAACTTTTGCCCAATTTTTATTCAATTGCAAGGTTAACCCCTTACAATTGTAAATTTGTAAGAAAAACCACTTTTTGCCCAATTTTGCTTCAAATGCAAGGTTAACCCCTTACAATTTCTAATTTTCAGAAAAACCAACTTTTGCCAAATTTTGCTTCAATTGCAAGGTTAACCCCTTACAAGTTTTAATTTGTAAGAAAAATCAACTTTTGCCCAATTTTGCTTCAAATGCAAGGTTAACCCCTTACAATTATTAATTTGTAAGAAAAATCAACTTTTGCCCATTCAATTGCAAGGTTAACCCCTTACAATTTCTAATTTTCAGAAAAACCAACTTTTGCCCAATTTTGCTTCAAATGCAAGGTTAACCCCTTACAATTTTAAATTTGTAAGAAAAAACACTTTTTGCCCAATTTTGCTTCAAATGCAAGGTTAACCCCTTTCAAGTTTTAATTTGTAAGAAAAATCAACTTTTGCCCAATTTTGCTTCAAATGCAAGGTTAACCCCCTACAATTTCTAATTTTCAGAAAAACCAACTTTTGCCTAATTTTCATTCAAATGCAAGGTTAACCCCTTACAAGTTTTAATTTTTAGAAAAACCAACTTTTGCCCAACTTTCATTCAAATGCAAGGTTATCCCCTTACAATTTAAAATTTTCAGAAAAACCAACTTTTGCCCAATAAGGTTAACCCCTTACAAGTTTTAATTTGTAAGAAAAATCAACTTTTGCCCAATTTTGCTTCAAATGCAAGGTTAACCCCTTTCAAGTTTTAATTTGTAAGAAAAATCAACTTTTGCCCAATTTTGCTTCAAATGCAAGGTTAACCCCTTACAATTTTTAATTTTTAGAAAAACCAACTTTTGCCCAATTTTGCTTCAAATGCAAGGTTAACCCCCTTACAATTTGTAATTTGTAAGAAAAATCAAATTTTGCCCAATTTTGCTTCAAATGTAAGGTTAACCCCTTACAACTTTTAATTTTCAGAAAAACCAACTTTTGCCCAATTTTCAATCAAATGCAAGGTTAACCCCTTACAATTTTTTAATTTTCAGAAAAAACAACCTTTGCCTAATTTTCATTCATTTGCAAGGTAACCCCTTACAAGTTTTAATTTTGTAAGAAAATCAACTTTTGCCCAATTTTGATTCAATTGCAGTTTACAGTTTTTAAATTTTCAGAAAAAACTTCTGCCCAATTTTGATTCAATTGCAAGGTTAACCCCTTACAATTTTTAATTTGTAAGAAAAATCAACTTTTGCCTAATTTTGCTTTAAATGCAAGGTTAACCCCTTCATACAGTTTCTACATTTCAAAAATCTACTTTTGCCCAATTTTGCTTCAAATGCAAGGTTAACCCCTTACAAGTTCTTACTTTTTAAGAAAAATCAACTTTTGCTCAGGTATAACTATTTAGAGAAAAACTGAAAATATACAGCATTGTAAAAAATGTGAATGTTTACTTTATATTTACAATGTTTATTACTATTTAAAAGTGCTCCAGAAAAAAATCCAAATTAAAGCAAAGTAGGAGATTTACAAATGGTATACAGTGGTAGACTTTACCATAAAAAGTTTTTGTCAAAGTTTTTGACAGAGTTTTTGACAGAGTTTCAGCAAAAAGTGGGCAGTGGAAGAATCTGCCCCATCCCTTCAAATCTCGGCTGTTGGATGACAGATAGTGACATTTGCAAATAAAGGCGTTCAGCAAAGTTCCAATCCAGTTGGAAAAGGATTTTGTTGTAATCATCATTTTGAAATTACACAACTGTCTGTGAATGGGCACTTTTCATTGTTCGTGGCTTAAGGAAAGAGTTAACATTTTTCCAACGATGAATTTGTAAAAGCATCAAAAGACTGAGTGCAACAACAAAAGGCACTGTAGTGGATCAGCAATTTTCTATCATCTATGTTCTTTAAAGGGGCACTAGGTCCTGAAATCCCCGAAAATGTTATGTTTTGGATTGTTAACTTAGCCTATTTCAAACATCTGGTTGAAAGGAAACCAACCTTATGTCTTACCGTTCCCGAAGAAAAGACGGGAAAAAAACCCGCTTGTTTACATTGGACATGACGGACTACGAATACGTTTTTCGTGTTGTTCTCAGTGTACGATACACGTTGTGTGTCTCGGGAACAGCGCGCGGTGACCAATCACCAATGCAAAAAATTGTGGTTTCTTCAACGTCCGCAGAAGGCGAACACTTTACGCATACGAATGAAATCACAACTAGCATCCAAACAGCTCGCATTTATGGGGTCGCAAAAGTGGACCCCGAAATTCGTTCTCGCACGCATAATACAGGAATAACACAAAAACGCCGAGTTTTGAAAGGATAGTTGTGTGGATGTTTCTATCCTACTTTTAAATGTTATTTCCGATCATCATCATCTCGTTCAAAGCGCGTTTTGTAGCCCAATTGGGCTGTTCCAGGACCTAGTGTCCCTTTAATCCATGGTCCAGTATCTTTTGTTTACCCTCTATGTTCCATGATCGACAGTCCATGAACTATAGTTTATCTTCTGCAGTCCATAATCGATGGGCAATGAGACACTACTAATCCTCAATCATTTATGGATCATCTTCCATGATCCTTCATCTTCTAGCATCAAAGAATAATACGATATGCTGACATCACTGTACAACTGCCAGTCCAAATGTCGGATCGTAGTCCCTGAAATACTGCAGGGTCGATGAGCCAGTGAGAGATGTCCAAGACATCACGTCCGTGTCTCTTCCTTGCTCTTGCCAGTGTTCTTGGGCATCTTCCTGCTGGACATGTCCTCCAGCTCCTTAGCCTTGTAGTAATGGGGAGCCACCTCTAGAAGCCAGGCATTCTCAATCTCAATAACCTGTCAAAAAAAGTTAAACAAAACTAATAAAGTTTCACATTTTGCTTCAGTGGTGTAACTAAAGGGTAAAACTCATGTGTACTCAGAACTTTCTAAAGGCTTGTGAGAAAAAAAAAACCTTCAAGATCTTGAAACCCACGACCTCCTGCTTACTAGTGAACAAGTTTTGATCACGATCACGTGACCACTGAGCTAGCCAGGGTTGGTTCGAGTATGACATCGCAGCAAATACAGCAATCAATATCAACGGATGGGCAAAACCCAATTAAACATGTACTTACTATTTAGTTTACATAGGTTTTAAATTAGAATCTACTGATGCATGACCTAAAGAGGGCAGCACGCAGCCAAAGGCCATTTTTCAAATCTTGGCATCGTTGCTGACTTCAGCTTTTGCCTCCCGCTTAGTGATTATAGGTCCCTGATTTCGGAGATTCTGTCCCAAATACATGTACAAGTTCCTTTAAACTTCAACAATATAAAATCCTCACATTCAAAGACAATATTAGGAGTCTTTTCATTCGTTCCCAACATCAAATGCCACAGATGGTTCCAGGTCAGAAACAAAGCTGACGCTGGAGCAAACCCACGGTTTCAGAAATAGCACCTCACTGATCTCGGAATGACCAATCATACCTGTCGCATAAACTCCTTGGTAGTGAAGACCAGCTCGTGGTAGATGAGCCAGCGCGGCTGCTCCTCAAACAGGCTGCTGTTGGGATGGACCATGACGGTCTGCTGATGCTTGACCGTCTTGTACTGACCGCCTTTGCTGAATTTGGCCGTGTGGTAGAAGAAACCTGCGGTAATGGCCTGATATAGAGACACAGTACAGAAACAAGGTTAATATATCCCTTCACAATCCCCCGAAAAGAAAAACACCTGAACAAGGTGAGACCGAGGGTCAGAGGTCTTGACTCTAGATTTCAATACTTGACATTACCTTCCTGATGATGATGTTGTCATGAGACGCCGAGGTCAGTGGGATCTCCACCCTCTCTACCAAACCCTGGAGCTGGTCCCTCACATCCCTGGCCCGCCTCATGGATCGATGCTGGATGAAATTCTCAAAACACCACTGAGTGGAGAAGTCTGTCTCTACCCACTGAGGAAAAAACGGGAAAGAAGGTAGGGAGAAAATAACAAAAGGTATTAAGTTTGGTTGATGTTAAACCCTAACCCAACATGCACAGATTCTAAATAGCTGAGCACTCTTTGATAGCTTTAACATGATCACATCAAGGTGTCCCGGAGAATTTTCCAACATCACCCCCCCCCCCTTTCTAACCCCTACTGACTCCATCCACCTGATTGTGCACATTTACGAGTGCCAGGTGAACTCAATGGGAGACTTTTGAGATGTTGCAAGCAGCAAACACGCTGGCCCTTTTCAATTGTCTACGTCATGTTTCAGCTAATGTGTGCATGTTCAAAATGACGCAAAAAAAAAAAGAACCAATGTGTTTGCTGCCACCAATCATCTCAAAAGTCTCCCATTCCCCCCCCCCCCTTTTTAACCCTAATTTACTCCGCCCACCTGGTTGTAGACATTCAGCAGTGTCAAGTGATCCCCTCCAGGAGCAAAGAAGTTGACCCTTGCGTTGTCGGCATGAACGATCTTATCCTTGGGTCGATAGAAGATGGCGTTGTTGACAGACAGCATGGCAGTGATGCTCAGGATCTCATCTGTGCACTGATACCTGGACAAATTAAGTGAGTACCGTAAAGTCATACTCAAGATTGAGTAGTGTCAACAAGTTGAGTAGAGTCACAAGTCACTAGCTTCAAGTCTGAGTCACGATGGTCGTGTCTGAGTCCGAGTCTTTTGCCAATGTGACTCGAGTCAAGTCTGAGCCACAAAAATTGCGACTCAAGCTGGACTCGCGTCCGAGTCCTGGACTCGAGTCCCACAACACTGTTATGAGTAACTTCTACTGGTACTCAGCCTAATCAACATGTATTCTACTTCAATTTAATGGGTTTAAGAACCCAAATACATACTCAGTGAAATTGTACTCGTACTCACGAAAAAGTCCTCATGAAACAGAACACTTGCCATAGTCAAGAAAAAATCACAAAAACTGAAAATGGCTCAACTGAAAATATTTGTTTAGCAAAAATGTTGTGGTGAGTACATTTTATTTGAAAATTGTAACTGCATGTATGTACATTTTCACTTATGACTTATTCTCATCTGATTTTGGAGCACAATATTTTTGCCTAGCAATATTTTCTACTGAACAGTGGGACCATGACATTCCTGAAACCAAAATCATCTTGACCAGCATGTGACTGTGTCTTAGTACAAAAACTATTGGTTAACACAAAAACTTAAGCTTATAAACATTTTCAGCCCTGTTGAATTGGGCCCAAGACTTACTTTTCCGAAGCCAGGATCATCTTGGACAGCATGGGGTCCACGGGAAACTCTGCCATCCGACGGCCCAGTTTAGTCAGCTCCCCTTTGTGGTTGAGCGCACCCAGGGCATAGAGCTGCTCTAGAGCCAAGACCAGGGTCTCGTGGGGCGGCGGGTCCATGAAGTCAAAGTGGATCAGGTCGTTGATGCCGAGACTTTTCAAAAGGAGGACCACGTTGCCGAGATTAGTCCTCTGAATCTGGGATCAAATGACGTCAAACCATGCTGTTTAAAATTTTGTTGGCTACAATTTTCAATATTGGTCATGCAACCCAACAAGTGAGCAAATACCTTTTGACAAAGTTAGCATTTTACAAATTATGCAAGAATGGAAAGCGACAGGAACAGTCAACATTTCTACTGCATTTATTAAGATGTCAAACTTGAGAAATGTAAAAAAAGCAATAAGTGAAAAAAATGTTATTCAGACTCATTTTGTGGGGATCCAGCCCAATTTTCAATACATCAAATAAATGACTATGGGAACTGACTGAGTCAACTTTTATGCATCAACGTTTGCTTGAAAATAATAGTACTTGAGTGGGATTCGAACCTGCAACCTATTTTTACACCATACTGGTAGGAATATAACCCAGTACAGTGTATTGGAGGTCTAGGCTGAATATAAAAGAAAGCACAAACGTTTAGCAGAACAGAGGCTGTACTCACTTCAGGAATGGTGTTTTCTTCCAGTTCGTTCTTGTAGGCCCAAGCTGTGTAGAGTCTGAAGCATTTACCAGCAGCAACCCGGCCAGCTCTACCAGCTCTCTGATTGGCTGATGCCTGCAGGAAAACAACCAATGAGAAAGTGACACTAATACTCTGCACATAGACGAGGCTGCACAGTAACGCTGGGCCCAAAGTTCCAGCTTAGGTCTTTATTTGTACTCAGTGACTCAGTCAGTGAGTCTGTCAGTCAGTGACCCAGTCTAACCTTTATACATGACCTTCCAACTGACCTTTGACACAGGGGTCACCACCAAGGACTCCATACCGGTCCTGGCATTGTAACTCTTCTGTTTATTGAAGCCGGGATCAATGACGTAGATGATTCCATCGATAGTCAGGGATGTCTCAGCGATGTTTGTTGCCAGTATCACCTTGCGACTTCCAGGAGGCGTGGGTTCAAAGATCTTGGCTTGGAGTTCCGAGGGCAGGGTGGAGTAGATCGGGAGAACAATGAGCTCTCGGATCTTGGTGCCTAGTTTACGGACTCTCTCCTGCAACAAAGGAAAAGAAAGGTTGATCACATAAAAGAAGATTGCGTGAACGCAGATCTTTTTTATTATTCGGCTTTCGTTTAAAGTTTTGAAAAATTTGTAAACAGATTTACATTTTTTTTTCGTTGAAACGTTTAAACATGTAATCATCACATCCTTTCAATTTAGTTCTCAATCTGTTGGAGATCGGCTGAGTGGATTATAAGCCACTCACAAGAGCAAACCATGTAACACAATGTCCAATTCTCACGAGTAAAGGCAGTTCACATTCGGGTTGTGAAAGCGTATGCAGATGCACCTTTGTGATGTCATGGCAAGTGTTCGCACTGCGAATTCACAGAAGTTAGATACATTTGAATTTAAATTCTTGTGAACTATGACTGGCCATCAACCACAGAGCACTATCATAAGTTTCGTTACAGACTACATATCAAACCAGAATTTTAGTTTGGTTTCAATTTTTTAAGGCTGGTTTCACCTGTAGTATCTCCATGCAGGTCTCAATTTCTTCCTGTCCCGTCAGGAAGACTAGGACGTCTCCCATTGGCTGAGTGACATGGATCTGAAGGACGGAGACGATACAGGCGTCCAGGTAATCAGCTTCAGGAGCCTGCAAGAGAAGAAAATAACAAATGAGCTTTCACACACTGAGGCAGAACATTCCAATACCTGTATGTATTTTCAATGTACTTAAACCCATTTATTCATGTACTGACTCAAAATGCTACAGTTTTCAGGATTCATCAGGCAACTGAAAACATTGTAATACAATGTAATGAAGGTGTTAATTGTACTGGACAAATCTGACTTGCAGGACAATTTTTAGAAGGGACTTTCTTTAACCCTCCAAAGTCCACCGATTTGCAGGAATTCAAATGCTTATTCTCAAATCTCAAAATATTGTTCTTTATTTTATTCAATGGGATTGTCAACCACAAGGCTTAAAAGGCCACTGAAATTCGCAGCTATGCGAAAATGAAAAAGGAAGGAAACAGGCAATTGAAGAAAGAGAAGGTAGCCATTGACACTGCATCTTAAATTCTGAACATTATAAAAAGGAAGAAAGCCAAATTCTGACATGGAGTTTGAGCTGCCAAGTTTTTCCTCTTCTACCTTTGTGTAGAACAAATCCACGGGAAACCGGCGGCCCGGGATGCGGAAGATCGGCGCGTCGTCAAAGAACATGGCAAACTTGTCAGTGTCCAGCGTGGCGCTAGAGATGAGCAGTTTGAGGTCTGGCCTGAATCGGGAAATGTCCTTGACGAGGCCAAAGAGGATGTCGGTGTGGAGGGTTCGCTCGTGGGCTTCATCGATGATCAAAACGCTGACAAAAAAGTATTCAAATTACGGCTGAAAAAAATAAGATCCAGTTTTCTGGTCTCCATGTGCCGACTTCAAATCCTGCATGCCGTTTTTTTTTTTAATACCATGAAACATTGTCCAATTGTGGCCCAAATGCCTGGATAAATTAGAATCTCAATCCTCCCATTCCGTGGTGTAAATCATTTTTTATTAACGGTGAGAACTCTTGCCTCATTGTAAGGGTCCCTCCTAGTCTCTATACATAGTTAATGGCAAAAAGTCTACACTTCTGAAAAAAAATCGTTGTTTATGAAATTCACCTTTATAGTTGACAAAACAACTTAAGAAAAAAAGGAACTTCATTACACCATGCCTCAACCTTACCTCTTGACAAAAATCTTTTAACATAGGGTGCCTTATTCATAAATACTTTGTGATTTCAAATACAAATCTTAAATGCAGCAATGAACAAGTAAAACCAAGCACTGCCGTCAGCATTCTGAAGACGGAGCTATCGATGAATTTCCCGAGTGTTATTACCTGTAGCCTGCCATGTCCGGTTCCCCCAGGAATTCCCGGAGCAGCATGCCGTCTGTCATGTACTTCAGGATGGTTCGGTCCGAGGTACAGTCCTCAAAACGGATGCTGTAGCCAACCTAAGCAAACCATACAGATGATTAGCTATGATGAAATATTGTTGATTCAAATACATACCATAGTTCTGTCCAAACGAGGTTCAAGGAATCCTGAACATCCCCAGCGCCCCCCCCCCCCCCTCCTGCAATTTTTAAAAAGGAGCAATGTCCTGTAATTGCAGGAGTACCTATATCCCAGACAATAGCAATAATAATAGTGGGTGTCTATAAAGCGCACGTATCCACCAGGGCTGGTGCTCAAGGCGCTACATCATTATTACCCTGCTCACTGGGCCAATGAAACATTCCAAATACCATCTCAGCTACCTGGCGAGTATACAGCTCGATGCCGCCTGTTAGGCGCAAGGAAGCTAATTCAATCACAATGACCATCTCTGTGCTCACAGGTACCCATTTACTCCTGGGTGGAGAGAAGCAATGAGTGACAAAGTGCCTTGCCCAAGGGCACACGCACCATGACCCCGGCTGGACTCGAACCCACAACCCGCAGCTTTACCCACAGACCACGAATCCAGTGCCCTTATCCACGAGGCCACAGCACTCCAAAGGAAATAGTGCCCAAGGACACACAGGAAGATGCTTTGCAGTTTGAAGGATGTCTTACCTCGTTGCCAAGTTTGAAGTTCATTTCTTCCGCTACCCTACTAGCCACACTCATGGCTGCCACACGTCTTGGTTGGGTGCAGCCTATCTTCTTGCCGTCTTTGGTGTAGCCCTGCATGCAAGCAACAAGAAACTGATGTTGACAAGGACGGATCGGGGGGGGGGGGGGGGGGGTGCCAATAATTGTTGTCTCAAAAAAGTGAGCCACAGCATACAATACAATTGAAAGTGAAATACAATTGAAGTTCTGACAAACAGATTTTAAAATCTCTGATTTCTCCCACCACTAGGTTAAAACAGTGATACTTTATCAATATTTATCTATTAACCCTAACCGAACTCAACCTATCAAAGTTCAACAGCAGGTTGTGTTTAAATCTGTTGGGATAGGTACAATACCGCTAAACTGATGGTCTTTTACATTGGGTTTGGCATACCTCCAGAAACTCCAGAAAGTCCAACAGTGTGTGTGTACAATTTCCCATGTGGGTGTTGGAATTTGCCTGAATGGGTATAGTTTAGTCGGAAAAGGGGGGTATCGTGCACCCTCGGAAATCAATTTCTAATCAACGTGTCTAGGTCAGAAAAAATGCGTAGAAAACGATTTGCTATGTTAAAAAATTCAAAAAATGTCCCACGCATTGTTTTTATGCAAATTAGTGCCGCCATTACCGAAAAATCTATTTTTAATTATATCTCAGCCAATATTGCAGATAACTGAACGAACTAGGTGTCTAAACCCATGTTTTCAAGGTCAGAGATCACAATAAAACTATTTTGGAAGTCACCACATGTGTCTGTGGCATAGGAATATGCAAATTAGTGCCGCTAATACCGGAACATCATGTTTTTGGCATATCTCGGCCAATATAGAACATAACTACACCAGTAAGGTGTCTAAACCCATGTTTTGATGGTCAAGTATCATTAGAAGACCATTCACGAAGTAACTATGTGTGTCTTTTGCATGAAAATATGTAACATATTAAGTGTCGGTTTATCAGATATTTGATTTTTAGCCAATATCTCGGCCAATATTGCACATAACTACACAAGTAAGGTGTCTAAACCCATGCTTTGAGGATCAGGTATCATTAGAAGACCATTTACGAAGTAACTATGTGTGTCTTTGGCATGAAAATATGTAAATTCTAATTTGCCAGTTTATAAAAAAATTGATTTTTAGCCAATATTATATTCAATTTCAGCCAATAGTACAGTTTATTTTAAATATGATGGCTTAAAATAAACTTTAATCATTATTGCTTATCAAAAACCCTTCTGTCAACATTAGCTGCAATATTGGCCAAGATATTGGCTAAAAATCAAATTTCCGATAAATCGACACTTTTGAATTTACATATTTACCTGCCAAGGACACGCATAGTTACTTCATGAATGGTCTTCTAATGATACCTGACCCTCAAAACATGGGTTTAGACACCTTATTTGTGTAGTTATGTGAAATATTGGCCGAGATATTGGCTAAAAATCAAATATCTGATAAACCGACACTTTATAATTTACATATTTTCATGCCAAAGACACACATAGTTACTTCGTGAATGGTCTTCTAATGATACTTGACCCTCAAAACATGGGTTTAGACACCTTACCGGTGTAGTTATGTGCTATATTGGCCGAGATATGCCAAAAACATGACTTTCCGGTATTAGCGGCACTAATTTGCATATTCCTATGCCACAGACACACGTGGTCACTTCCAGAATAGTTTTATTGTGATCTCTGACCTTGAAAACATGGGTTTAGACACCTAGTTCGTTCAGTTATCAGCAATATTGGCTGAGATATAATTAAAAATAGATTTTTCGGTAATGGCGGCACTAATTTGCATAAAAACAATACGTGGGACATTTTTTGAATTTTTTAACATAGCAAATCGTTTTCTGCGCGTTTTTTCTGACCTAGACACGTTGATTAGAAATTGATTTCCGAGGGTGCACGATACCCCCCTTTTCCGACTGAACTAGTATGGTTCCTAGTAAATTATGCTGGGGAGTTAGGGTTTATGACCAAGAAACAAAAGCAACAGAAAGTGAATTTCCGAATCTTGTTTCTAGAGGACAAATTCAAATGGCCCGCGATTCAGGCAATTTTCAAGAAGCCTCGAGAACCAGTATTTTATATACTAAGTCTAGAATCCTGACTTCTCACCCACTTAGTGGACTCACCGCTTCATAGAGATACTGTGGTATCTGTGTCGTCTTTCCAGATCCCGTCTCCCCCTCGATGATCAGCACCTGGTGATCCTGGATGGCTTGAAGTAGGTCCTCCCGGAATCGGTAGATGGGCAAGCTCTTGCGGGTCTCGGCAATGCTGATGCGCTTCTTCTGGGCTGAAGACAGCTCAGGTTCCTCGGGCTCCGACTGAAAAAAAATGCAAAAGTGTATTTTTGTCCCAGTCAGGAAAGACCCATATGGGAATAAAATACTGCCTGTTTCTTGATAGGAAATGCTTGTCTTTTATAGTGACAACAACAGGTGTTCTCCATAATTGCCCACGTTCGTAAATGGGAAAGTACTTTGTTTGCACTGAAAACAACAGGTGTGCCCAAGTTGGTATGCTTTTTTTTCTGCCCAATTGCTTACTTGGTAACAGGTCATATTCCCTTTGAAAATATGCGGATGAAAAAAGAATCCAACGAGAACGTACACCATTCCCAAAATAAAGGTTTCGAGAACAGGAATCGCAGAGTTTTTAAGTCGTTGGAACGGATGCATGCATTCAAACGATAGCCCTAACAGTCCTGAATCCTCCAATTTTAATGTGATTTTGCATACCCCCTAGGGAGTTAGGGTTAAACTAGTAATGGCAAAAATAGTTAAACCAGCGGAAAAAAGTTTTTCTGCATGAGTTTACTGGATCGTTACCATTGTTTGGAGGTTTCTTTCACTCACCTTGTCTCGAGTTCCCGGCATCTGAATCGCGCTGACAAACTCAATTTCTCCAAGCTCATCCACAACTAGATCATATTCCTTAGTCTGTGATGGGTTGGAAAAAAGAAGGTCAATGTATTGGGTCTTCAAGGGAATATACATCATTTGCTTTTGCTGTAATTTTCAGAAATGGATGGAATTGGGGGGTTGGAAATATAAAGCAAATATAGTTGCACTGACTTTTTGGAGGTTTTGGGTTCGAAAATGCTATAAAAACCAAGAAAAACGATCATTTTCCTGTAGTCTGGTTCCCTGACTCCATATAAGAAGAAACAGAGCAGTTTACATACATTGGGGAATTGTAAGGTCAGGGAACCAGTCTAGCTGGCTCGTACCCGTTCATAGGTTTGTAATCGATTGCAAACAAGTGCAATGGTCAATTGGGGCCAGTATTTGAAAAAAAGCCAGTTGTTTCCAACGCTGATCGGCCGATCAGCGTTGGAAATTGATACAAAAATACCACTTTTCTTGAAAATGACAGTATACCAGGTGCCATAATTTTACAGGATGCTTCAGGCTGTCATTTACCAACATCCTATTAAGGTATTTCGCAAAAACTTGGTAGTTTTTTTTTTCGATGTTTGCAAATGTTGTATATTCCCTTTAAATCAACAAAGAGAAAACACTGGAAATTTGTCGGGGAATTAATGCTTACGACGAAAACATCCTAAGAGTTGTAAACAAGTTGTTCAGAGTCATCTAATACATCATAATTAGTCACAAGTCGTCACAAGTCGTCATAAGTCATCGCAAGAAACCAAAAGTCATCACAACAAACCAACAGTCACTGCAAGCCATCGCAAGTAATCTTAAGTCATCAGAAGGTCATCGCAAGTCATCATAAGCCATCGCAAGCCACCATAATTCATCACAAACATAGTAACGCATCTCAAATCATTACAAGTCATCTCGTCTGAAGTCAAGTGATAAGTTATTATTTACAGTGACAAAAACAGTTCTTAGATGTATTTTATCGTCATGACTTGAGACTTGGCTTTGTGATTGAACTCGTGATTTATCCAATGATAACGCCAACATACCTTGTGTTTCTGTTTGGCGTCTCTGGCCCCAAACTTCATGGAGCCCAGCTTGACGTGTTCCTCCTCCCAGCGTTGCTGCTCAGACCTCGGCCCCAGCTCCTGCTCATCCAGCATGGGTTCAACGTACTTATCTGAGGGTTTCTAGATGACCAGGAAATTAAGGGGGAAAAAATGGCGTTATGGCTCGTGCGCGAACAAGAGAGGGCGCTTTTTAGACCACTTGCAAGGGCCAAGTGGACGGGACACAATGCAAATGGGTACTAGTTCGCGAAGCATGCACCGCTAATTCTAATCTGAATGTGCACAAGGCCATAGCGTCTTCGCGTGTGTGTGAGGCGTCATCGGCAATGCGTTCAAATGTCTATCCCAGTGGTCTTCCCCAACTCTGCCTTTCGCATCGTTGAGGGGGTACTTGTACACGGAGCCCATATACTGGCAGACACTCGCATGAAGTTGAAAGTGAGATTTACCTGGCAAGGTTGTCCGCATGGAATGGGTTCTTACGTAATGTGACCGGCAAGATTTAAATCCGGAACTTATGCTGCCAGGTCCCGTCTGTAAAAAGTTTCTTTGTCAATGTCTTGTATATTTAACATGCGCTAGCGATGCGAAAGTTGTCCAAACATTGCGAGCGCCCTCTTGTATTTTCCACTGAATATAGCATACTGAGTTGCGTAATTGTGGGTGGGCCCACACCCGTCGGCCGACCGCGCAAGATTTGGCAGAGCTCCGTGTCAGATGACATGCGACTGCTTGGAGTCAATGCGAGGGACGCGATGGACAGGGCCAAGTGGAGAGGAGCCATAGGGAGAAAGCAGGCCAACCCAGAACAGACTGGACAACGGCCTTAAAACCGACATGATGATGAGTTGCGCAACTAATTTGCATGCAGTGTAATGGCATGCAGAGTAAAAAACTTTTGACTCCTTGCAATATTTCAGAAGTAGAGGCATTCGGCTGCACATGCCTTGAATTGTTTGTTAATTTTCTTGGAGAGTAAGCAAGTATGGGTAGGTCACTTGACTGCTTGTCATCACTGCAGCCAGCCACATCTTATTTCCATATTAGTATTACTGACACTAAAGAGTCCTTGTTTTGCAAGTGCCACTGGGCTTTCAAAGCAAATATTGAAATTTGTCGCTACTTTAAAAAGATGAACCAACAAATAAAGTTAAAAGGGGCTTCAAATGAAAGGAATTGACCTCATCTTCTTTGGGCATGTAGTATCTTCCTTCTTTCTGCTTCTCCCCAGCTGTCTTGTGGTCCTTTGCTAGCTTCAAGACCGTCCTCTTATACTCCAAATCTCTCTTTTCTTTGGCTGTTAATCTGAAAACATGAAAACATTATTAATAACATTGCTTAACAATTTAGTTTGGCATAGCTTCACAAAAATATTAGAATGCGCATGAAAGAGTAAAGGCTTACATTTGGAGTTGTGTATGTTGTACGGCCACACAGTGACATATGACATATACAATTCCAAAAAGGAGTGTATATGGGCTCCTTGCGCCGATAAAAGAGGGCGCCCTTTTACCTAACAACGACGTCCCATGGGTGGGACAATTCGCTGGTTGACGCGCACCGTTCCTTGTGTGTGACGCACGTACACCAGGGGATTTATACTATGTACACGCAGTGGCCGAGCTTTGCGGCAAATGAATTGTAGTCAGGCAAGATGGCGTCGGTCGGTCACCCCCAACTGTACTTTCTTTGCCGGTGAGGGGGTACTTGTGAACGGAGCGGATACACAAGAAAACCAGTTTAAAAAAAAACAGAAACAGGAGAGAAAAAATTTACTCCGTTGATGAGAAGAGGTATTCCTCATCAACGATGTCCGCCTCCAGCTCTTCCAGTTTGTCCAGCTCTCGTTTCTTGAGGTAGTCTCGGCGCGACCCCTTCCGCAGCTCCGGGATCATTTTCCGCCTGTCCTGCTCTGCCATCTCCAGTCTCTTCCTGGCCTCTTCGTAAGCCTAGAGGCGGCAATTGAGACAATTTATGGTCTAGTTTTTAAAATGGTATTTTAAAAACTAGAAAAAGCCTTATTTCAAGAAAAAATGTCTAGTTTTACACCCTGGAAGCACTTTCTGGGGAGCGAGACAAGAAAATACTTCTTGAAACAAGAATATTTTCTTATATTAAGAAATGTAAGAAAATCAGCCTAGAGAGGGCAATTGAGACAATTTGTACAAGATTGTGAGAAAGAGGTCCACTGTTTAGTGAAGCATGGTCCAGTGGCGCACTGTGGTCCAATGGTTAGGGTGTTCAACCCATGTGCAGACGTACATGGTTCGAACTGTAACAAGCAACACAGTGCTTGTGTTCTGGGGCAGGACACTTTACTCTGATTACCCCTCTGCAACCAAGATGAAATGGGTACACTGCTAAAAATGGTATTTTAAAAACTAAAAAAAACCTTATTTCAAGAAAAAAATTCTAGTTTTACACCCTAGAAACACTTTCTGGGGAGTGAGACAAAAAAAAATACTTCTTGAAACAAGAATCATTTTCTTATAATAGCCCTAACAGTCCTGAATCCTCCAATTTCAATATAATTTTGCACACCCCCTAGGGAGTTAGGGTTAAGAAATGTAAGAAAATCATTTTTAGCAGAGTACCCTTGAGGGTAGAGACCAAAATGTGTTCATCCTAAGCTGCTGCAGGCAAATGATCTCTTGGCCTGATGAACAGGGGTAATAATAATCGAGACGTATGTAAGCCTTACCTTTTTGTTTCCCTTGTCTGCGGTGTTCTTGGTCTTTTCTTTGTCCTTGTTTCGTAGACGCTCAGCAAACGCGTCTCTCTCCTCCAAGTCTTGCCGTCTTTCTTTCTCCTCCCTGTCCCATTCGTCGGACTCCGAGTCTGGAGATGGCTCACGCTTAGCATGTTTACTGGTCCTGTAAAGAAAACACAGGCAACTTTCAGAAGTTTCTGCTTAGTGCAGGTAATGTTTGCTCAGCAAAAACAGGAGCCAACCAAGTACAACATGACAAATGTTGATTGTAACAAATTTCATAAAGCAGCTAAGCATATAAACATGTGTTTTGTGCAAAAACAAATTGGCTTAGGCCTGTGTTTCCGTTTACCCCATCCAACCATCCAACGACAACGTTACGCAAAACCTAACTCTTTTTATTTGAAAAAATGAAGGCAAAAAAAAGTAAAAATAATTACGGTGCTACCTCCACTCTAAATTTGTGCGGACATCGTCCTGCATTTATGGGTGTGCATTTACGGGTAGTACAGGAACTGGGTCCCCTATTGAAAAAAATACGGTTACCCAAGTACCCATTAAAGAAACCCAAACCAAAAATTCAAATCTGGGAAGTTGCTGTTCAGATTGTTCATAAAGGTCCCCATGATAATACTACCACATCGGTGCAGCAATACAGATAGATAGGGCGTATACAGTGAGCTCTTTAGCTATGTGGTGAAAATTGCAACCTTCGCAAGCATCATAAAACGTGACATTGGTTTTGGTTTTCCATGTATCCTGTTTTCCATTTTGAAATTTTCCCACTGACATTTGAAACATTTCTTTTTCATCGACTGAGAATTTACTAAGTAATTTGTCAAGTTGGCTACGGGTACTCGATTCCATAATCTGGAACCGGTTCCTGACATTAACGGTCGGGTACTCGATCCGATGCACAGCTCTACCTGCATTTTTTTAAATATATATTTTATTTTTGTGGAAGTTGGTCAGCAGCGTAGTCTTGCCTCGCTGTGCAGGGAAGCCTATAAACAGCACAGCAAACACGGAATGAACAGCTGATTCACATGTTAGCCGTTTTGAATGAATGCACAAAAAAAAATTACAATAAGGCCAACAAAAAAAATAAGTCGGTCTCTGGTCAGCGCGCGCGTCGATTTTAATCATGCGCATCGATCTTTTTTTTTCCAAAATGTTCCGCGTTAGCTCCTCTATTTCCGCACCTCCTCAATTTTTTTTTACCAAAGAGCACCAAGGAATGGGAAATTGCACCAAGGCAAATGATCAAAAGCACCAAGGCAAATTATGGAGGACACCAATGTACATGAGGACACCAAAAAGGCAAAATAGTACCCCACCTTGTCTGTACAATCCAAGCTTGAAGAAAAAAAAAAAAAAAAAAAAAAAAAACCTGCGTGGCCGCGTCAATTCCGGAACTTTGGTCTGACCAGAGACCGAATATTTTTTTTTTTTGGCCTAACATTAACCAGCACACTACCTCAATTTTTACTGGCTATAAAAGTTTTGAGCAAAAAAACAACAACAAACAAACACCTTTTTACCAATCCATCCACCCAAATTTCATTTTCCAATGTTTAGGAAACTCAACAATTTCTTCTTTGTTTATTTAAGAAATACGATGAATGGCAACCAACCTGACTGGCTGAGGATCACTGTCGCTGTCGCTACTCTCATCTTTCTTCTTTCGGATGTGTTTCCTTTTGCTTCCTTTCTCTCGTTTTTCTCTCTTCTGAATAAGAAATATAAGTCACAATGATAAAATAAACTTGCTCCAAATAGCTCAACCAAAAATAAATACGTAAACGGAACTGGACAGAGATAAAGTGACAGATTAATGTACTTTCTGACCACTTGGGGCCACTTTGAGAAAAAAAGGATTGAACTCAACCTTGATTAACAAATTTCACTGGTATTTAACCCTAAAAGCCATCTCATACTTTGTGGGAAGCCAACCTGAATGCAAATTTATAATGTTGCGGCATGTATTTGCGTTGCAAACTTGCAAAAAGTTGAAGAACATTTCAGCTCTGGCCAATTTCACAAGAAATGCTTTCTGTCGTCAAATCTGAGTTGCAGAACTTTGCATTCGCACTGAGCATAAACCGGCTCAAAGTTTCCCAGATCCTGCAAAAATCTCCCTGAAAATTTGAAGGATTTTGAGGGAATTAAAAAGGGAAACTGCAGCCACTATTATTTTACACAGGGTTTGATGCCCCTTAAGATTTAAAGTACAAAGAATGCATCATGTAGTTCCATCACTGTAATTACTATTGGAAGATGCGGGGAAAGCACCAAAAATCAGAGTAAAAATGCCTGCAAGCTTAGGCTTGATCTTGTAGAGTACAATCCAAGTCAACTCACCGTCGGCGCGACATGTGTGACTGCCAATTCCTCCTCCTCATCAGACAGCAGCTTGTAGCTCTGGCTCTGCTTGGTCCTGGCAATCGCCTCCTGCTCTCGGGCTCGATTTGCTACCTTAGCGGACGCCTTGCGGGGAAGCTAGGTACACGAATAAAACAAAAAGGATGATTACAGACATATACAGACTCAAGAAAGGAACTGTAAGGCACTATAAGACCCACTCATGAGACAAATGAAGTCACGTCAAGTACAATGCAGATCCATGCAAATCAAAGGTCAACACATGTAAATGCTGTGCAATGTGCCCAACCAAAGTTTATTGCATAAATAGAGAAATTTGTTAGTGTTGTTCCCACTGAAAGCATAATTTCTACACAAAGCCTGTATCTGAATGGATTTTACTACGACTTCCCCTCTTTCTCCGCGTGTAAACGAATCAACATTTGATTAATAGTTATATCGTTTTTCTAGTGTGGTGTCATTAGAAGCATCTGGCAAATTCATAATGAGCAAAAATTAAATTCAAAATTGAAAACATTTTTGTTATGATGATTCATGATCTCATATATACAAAAAACTGAAGTTCTAATTCTATTCTCATTGAGAATAGCATGTGTTCCTTCTGGACCAGGGGGTAAACACCTGGGGAAACATTGCCATGAATTCAAACATTTTGAGTTTTGAGAAACTTCCCGTTACTGACCTTCCCCCAAAGTTCATGCGCGAACTTGGTGGTGGCGGCATTGACATCGATCGTTCCGGTATCCTGGATCCTCCGAACAAAGTCCCCAGCGCTGCTGGCCTTGCCAGCAATGCCGATGAGATAGTCTGCTATGTAGCGGTCGCTGATCCCCAGGATGTCATGAAGGCTGTCTTGGACCCACAGGTTCAACTCTTGACTAGCCATCTTGAAAGGTTTTCAGTCATCACTGATGAAGAAAATCACATGTTGGCAAGTAAAAACTGCTCTCTCAAAAAATAAGTTGGCCTGATATCTTGAACACCATTGTTACCAAAAATTTAAGAGACTAAGATCAGTTAGGGTTGCCTTTTGACAAAGTGTTTATATTACTTAAGTTAAATATTACTTATTTATTTTTCGTTCTTGTGCTGGCACTTTCTCTGTGCATGAACACCTATAGTAGTACGCAATGTAATATAATAAATTACCATCCCCACTCGAGTGAACATGAGCCAGTGCAGCTCGATGGCTAAGGCGTTGGACTCACGGGCACGGTGACCCAAGCTTGTGATGCAGTTGTGGCACTCATTTTCAAAACAAAATTCCTTCTTCCAAAAGTATGAGTTTCTTCTTTCATTTTTATAATAAAATCCTCAATTTAATTCCAGAATGTTTCAGCTTTTTTTTCTGATTTGTGGATTCTAGTTTGAAGAAATGTGTTTACAGGGAAATAAAGTCCGCAATTGCAATAAGTCCGATTCCCGTCTCCTGACTACACAGTCACGACATTGTGAGCACAGAACCAAACAACATTTGTCACGGTAAAAATTTCTCTCCCAAAAACGCTCACTATGCATGCACAATCGGTGAGTGTGACCAGTACACGGTCATATCTACCCTGTCTACATTGCCCTTTAACTTTTTTTTAGTCCGAAAGGGAAAGAATGTAGTTTCCAGACACCACTTCTTTGGCTGTGTACAAAGTCTATAGAGAGACAAGTACATTTTCAAAAGTATTTTCTAACAAAATTGGAAATGTTCTTTCAGTCCCAGATTCATGTCTTTTCAACATTTTTGCAATGACTGACCTTCATTGAGATAATACCAGAATATGTGATGAAAAAAACTGGTGTCATGTAGGGTGCAACATTCTTTCCCAAAAAAAGAGGGCAATTGTGGGAAAGATTTCCATATACGAAGTTCACTCAACACCCTGTGTACAAACCCTATGAGATTGGACTGAAAAATTCTAAGTGTTTTCTAAGAAAATGCTTGTATTTTCTCACTGCTCAAATTGACTTTGATGACATGAAATTGCTATCTGGGGGCTTGTTAGTCAATACAGAGGAAACTTAGTGAACTTCGTATATGGAAATCTTTCCCAATTGTGTAGTGTAGGGCCCCTGTTTAGTGTGATCAAATTGGAGACAGAGGGTGTTTTTTATTACTCAAAATGACCTTTTCAACATAAAGCAGACTTCATTAATGACACCTGTTTTGTAATTTTTGAACAATTTCTTGGGGTAGAAATAACGATTTTCCAACGCAGTTTACAATTGGTGCAGTGCGATTCTGCGCGCCTTGCGCTTTACAGTACATCATGCGGTGATCGCCATCTTTATTTTCGTGTTGCGTTTTGTCATTGTCATCGTCATTTAACCCCCAAATTTCCGCAAAACCCTGCCCTGTGTGTTCTTAATGTCGCTTACTAGTTTGGTAGGTCAAAATTAATTAAAAGTGGATTTTGTTCCCTTATAGGAACCGGGCCCGTAGATACATGACCGCCAAAAAGAGCACGGGTGTCATCCAGTTCCAGAAGTATAGCGCCCTCACCTGAATTACAAAACGTCAACAAGCTGCGTGCGAACGTCTGTGTGTCGCGTTTCTGTTGACTAAATTGTTTTCAATTCACAGTTTTCCCGAGCATAGACGACCATATTCATGGTTTATAATCTGAAAATTGCAATAATTGCAACATAAAACACATTTACGCTCTTGACAAAGAAGGAATGAAGGAATATAAACGAATAGCAATAACTTACGGCAAAAGTTGCTGCTTGCATACTGTGCATGGGCGCCGCCATCTTTAATATGACGTCATGAAATTGCAAGCCTGGAAACCAACCCTCAACATATAATCGTCAATATGCAGAGTGAACCGGGTACCTGACTAGTAACAACGCGCGTAGTTACTCCGGCTAGCTGCTGCAGCTCGATCAACAACAACCTCAGTCTTCTACGAGTGACAATTCGCTCTTCAAAAATTACAAAAATGTCTCAACAAGGAGCCGCATTACAATCGTACAATAACGAACTTGTGAAATGTAAGTTATTGAAAAACACGGTGAACGCAGAAAATGTACCGACATAAACGGTGTCATCGAATAAAAGAAGAAAAAAATCCTATTTCGATTTCGGATTTTTTTGACACTTCCGAAGCGCGAAGTGACTTCGTTTTCATTTTTATTGTTTATCATATCACATTTGCCATATAAGGCCCTAATTTAAATAAATAAGGCCGGGTATATAACTTAACTTAAACAATTGATTTCCTCTCTAAATGACTACAAGTACAACATGCCAGTTCTGGACAACCAGTAAGGTTTTCTCATGTGGCACTAAAGTTAACTAGGCCGGCCGGCGTAGCCCTAGTCCGAGTAACTAGGACTCTACAAATCGCCTTTTTTAACATTTGGTCCAAATGTTTGAAACGGCAATTCGTAGAGTCCTAGTTACTCGAACTAGCCTAGTCCTACTAATTGGAGAAAACAGAAGACGTCCTCAGTTCATCCTGTGGGCTATCCTGGCAAATGCCTGGCTGAATGAGGAATAATAAATAATGTTAATAATATTAATAATGTATAAAAAATAAAATGACCTACAATCCCCTGTGGTCCTTAAACTTAGGCCCCTACAGGCTACATGTTAAATGCAACCATCACCATGTTTGTTTCAAGATTACGGAAAGATTTACATATACGAAGTTCACTCAACACTCTGTGTACAAACCCTATGAGAGTGGACTGAAAAATTCTAAGTGTTTTCTAAGAAAATGCTTGTATTTTCTCACTGCTCAAATTGACTTTGATGACATGAAATTGCTATCTGGGGGCTTGTTAGTCAATACAGAGGAAAATAAGTGAACTTCGCATATGGTAATCTTGCCAAGATTACCTATCACTTTGTTTCTGGTGGTTTGGTTGTGAGCAGGTATCGAGGAGCTGTGTACAAAGCGTGACGACGTCCACAAGCAGATTGTGGCAGAGGAGGATGAGAAACAGAAGATCCAAGCCGACCTGCGCATCCTGACGGAGAAGCTGTCCAAAGTCAACGAGGGCCTGGCCAAGAAGATCGCAACAAGGAACGATTACGATAAGACCATCGCCGAGACGGAGGCTGCCTACATGAAGGTAATGCTCCTGTTAACGGCTGTGACACGGGAGGCTGTGACGAGTCACATCTCGGTGTTTCTAACACACGGCCTTTTAGGCTTTTACAGTTTCTAACAACTTTTGCAGATAGACTGCCCGCCCACTCCGCACATGCACCCCTTCAATGCCACTCTGCCTGTCTTTAGCTGAATATTGGACTATTCTGCACGCGTGCATGTCGGACATTAATCACTGCTGATTGGTCAAGACATCTTCGGGGCGTGGCTTAACGGCTGGGTCTTTTGTTTTCAGAAAAGTGTTCATCCATTTCTAGTTGTATCCACTGCATCAAACACTCGATAAAAAAAGGAAACACATATTCATTTTACTCTTTTATTTTGGTAGAACTTTTTTTTTATGATTTCCTAAAATAGTAAAAGGGGAAGTGGATTGTTTGATCACTGGAAAAGAATAATTTATGCCATTGATAATATTCCTTCTCTATATTACTTTCACAGATTATTGAGAGTTCTCACTCGCTACTCAACGTCTTACAAAGAGAAGCCTCCGTGCTGAAGGACAAGGGGGTTCCGGGGTTTGCAAACAGCCCCTCCACGTAACCCTGACAAGCCCCGCCTCCTGAACAATGACAGACATTATAGCACAGTGTATGGTGAGAGGTCAAAGGTCAGCCTTGTGGATGTGCGTCAAGCCTCAATTCTAGAGTGATTCTGAACGTTGCATGTTTCGTCCTGTGGAGTGAAACAACAAGCATCTCAGCATATTGGGTGGCATACTGAACAAGAAAACGTGAAGTGAAGTATGTGGATTCGAACCTGTGACCGCAGAACGGCAAGCATTCTCTAAATGGACTCACGGACTTCGGTATGCTTTCGTAGGAATGTAATCTACATAGGAATGTATAAATTGTGTTTATATTTCTTGTGTACATTCTTCTTTTGCTCAGTCTGTATTTTTTTTCCCATTGAGAAAGGCATCCATGCTCTCATGTGTCAATGTTCCTTTAACGAAAACGTGATTAATCCAGAATTATTAGCTTTGGGCATAAAATTCATCTATGATCCTTTCTTACATGACCGATTCAGAAGGTCATTAACCCTAACCACCCCAACTCCATCAAAATCCATCCCCCCATTTTGGAGGATTTTGGGGGACTTGGTCCAGAAGGCCTGGCGTGACTAAATATTGATGGAGTATGATGGACTTGGGCCTAATGGCCTGAGGCAGTGCTAGGGGTATCCGATTGATTTTGCCTAGCTTCCTGTACTGCTATTGTGATAAAAGCCATGTGTAGCAAGTCCATGAATGTCAACCAGTGCGTCAATGGTGGATTCCATTATGTCATGTACAGCTTTGTATTAGACACACAGTGATTGATGGATTTTGATGGAATTGGTCCAGTTCCTAGTGAAAGACGCTAGTTAAAAACTCAAATTTAAAAGAGATACCATGGTTTTTAAAAAAAGGAACAAGTATGAGAGAAAATATTTCATCACATGTATTTTGACATTTTTTGTTGGCGTTTCTGGTGGCACTGTTAAAGAGAAACAGCGCCCTCTTTTGTCAGTCATCACAGCGTTCTGATCATGTGCCTTTTGTCCATTGTGTTGGTCACGGTTGAAATGTTCCATTCAAAGTTTTGGCATTCCATTCTGTGCCCACTACTGGAATGCCTGGAACCATGGATAGTGCCTTAAAAATGTGGTAAATTTGATATTTTTCTTCAATCACTTTAAAAGGAGGGAAAGGGATTTGGTGGGATGAGTAAGTAGGGATTCGAGAATAAAGATTATTGATAATTAATCCCAGTTGCAGGAAAAATGGTGCATTTTCAGAAAATAAATAACTGTTCTTCCTATTAATAGTAGCAGGGGGTGAGATTTGTCGGGGGTTTTGCCGATTTTAGGATTTTTGTCAGGATTTTTTCCTATTTCAGGATTTTTAAACGAATATCTTTTGAAATTTGGAATTCCTGAGGTGTAAAGGTGTTTTACCGTCTCAAAATTTATATAGAACATAGCTTGAATGGCTGCCTTTAGGCGAACACAAATGTAGTTTGTTCTGAGGTCTCCGAAGCCCCAAAACTCTCTGCCGATTATTTCGTTGATTTTTATTTTCCCCTTACCTCACCCTGCAGTAGATAGAGGTTGGGGAGATATGATATTGCAGAAATTAGGGGTAGCTGTGAATCCTGTGTAAAAGTTTAATTAATTGATATGTAAAAAGACACTATTTCAGCTAACGAAGTCAATAGATTCCTGCTTACGTGTACATAGATGATGCACAATGATGTTCGGCAATTAAGCATTACTTTTATGAGTGTTATTCGAACTTCGAAATAGCCCTGTAACTCAATTGTATAGTTTTTTTTTTTAATTACAAATTTTCACACACAATGAGCAGATTTTTTCAGAGTAATATTTCCAAGATATCTATGAAATGTGGCCCAGATTTTAAACCTTTCTGCATATTAAATACCCCAAAACTTACTCGGACTGGCACAAGTCTAGCTGTAGGCTTACGATTCCAAAAACCACCCACAGACAAATTCTTTTCACGCCTTCCGGTCTTTGTACGATATTGATAAAATGAAGAATGAATTTGAGCTATTTGTATTCGGTATTTTTTCTGGAGTTATGTTGTTTATTGATTAGGCTAGTCAAGACTTTTCATAGAAGAAAACGGGAACAATTGTGGGAAAATTCAAAGGTGACAAAAAATAAAATACCTGGGAACGAATTTAAGGTTCAAGGGTTTTCTGTATAATTGACGTCATTGTCAATCAAACGTCAAGAAGCTTTTTTTCAACAAACATGTTTTTTTACCAAGGCTGCAACACCTGAATAAATAAATAAGGGATTTCAAAAATCTCAAGTGCGCCCACGAACTCTGAGGGTCAAAAACGCGACCTAAAGAAAAAAGAATTGATTGCAGAAAATAAAAACATTGGTATGCAATAAAAATGCCACAGTTGTTGTTTTGGGTAGCCATCGTACTTATTTGTCAAAGAGAACAAAGCGTTTGACAGGACAGATGAAAGGCCTGGTTTATTTTCTCTCAAAAACAGTTTATCTTCGTTTCCCTGAACAAAAGCAAGGCTCTGAGGGCGGGCTAGTGTCAGTATGTGAACAATGCTACCCGCATTCCTACTTTTGTCCGGATTTGTTACCTGGTTAAAAGGTAGTGTGTTTTTCTTTCTTAATCTCAAATTAAGAATAGAAAAATGGAATGAGTCATTGTAAATGAATGTCCGATTGTTGCCACTTAATTTCAACCGGGTGTCGTTTGTTGTGATGTCCTACTGTACAAATATTATAGTGCAGACAGAAACGGGTAAACGATGCGTGGGTGCAAGCGCAAACAATGCAAACCAACGAACTCAGACACAATAAAACACAGAAACTGACTTTTGTTATACAGAAATATTTCGAGTCCACTTGATTTTTTTTCTCTCAAAAACTTATTAGAGCTTTGCGCATTGTGTTGATATGGTTCGGTGGTGTTTTGTGTCTTTGGAACGGCAGACCACTTTCACTTGTAACGGTGGGTTGGGAAAATACAAAACGTCTGTAGATGGCGCCCTTTCATTTTAGAGGCAAGGGGATGTCCCCAATGCTGGGCAACACAACAGAACAGAAACAGGAAGTATCCAGCCGTGTCCAGGACTGTACAAAAGGCGTTTCATTTCTCTATTTATGAAACATTACACACATGATCTGCCGGTTTAATCTCTTCTAAAGCTCCGAAAGCTTTAGAACTTTCTCGAACGATTCAGGTTGTAAATATGAGCTTTGAATGTAAATAAAGCTTGAATTTTGAGCTTTGAAATGAGATTTGAATTTGAAAGTGAATAAAAAGAAATTGCGATGACGGAACATTTTTGAAATGTTTAGACAGTGTCGTTCATCCTTAGATTGGCACTATAAAGAAATTCACTTAGGCAACCAGTTGTAAATTATGGTATTTTATGCTGGAAGAAAGTACGAAATTCTGCCGGGTTCGGGGTTCCATGCCCCCCCCCCCGCAAAAAAACTTCCCAGACCCTTTCCCCAACATACTGAGATAGTTTCTAAGCAACAAGTTTGTGAATAGTTAGCCCGTGTACGGTTTTCCCGATCACTGAATTTCTACCAAACTTGAGGCCAAATAAACTTTAAAAAAAGTTTAGCGTCCTGCCTGTTTGGAAAAAGAAGAAGAAGGAGGCACCTTTTTTATTTTTCCAAAACGACCAGTCGGGCTATTTTGCAAGATGGCTGCCACTTTTTTTTTTAATGGCCGCCATTTGGAATCAGGTAATGACATACCAGTTTTATATGGGCTAGATGCAACAGACAAAGAGGCCAAAATGATGTCACTGTTTAAAATGTATCATTTTTTCGGGTTTTTTTTTTCTCAAAAAGAAAAAAAGGAGGCGGCCTCCAAAAAGGAAGCGGGCGGGGACGCTAAACATTTTTTTTAAATTTTTTTTGGCCTCACCAGCAATTTTTACTCGTGTACTACCAAGCTACATATAATCTCCTGTCATTAATACCCGTTACCATCTTCCACAACATCCTAGTTACCTGTGTTAGGCCTATTCTATGTCAACTTCCTCCGTACTCTTGTTGATGTATGTTCTCCTTTGTGCAAAAATGAATAGTCAGAACGGATACAGTGCGCGCAACAAAGTTGCGATTTTTTTTCCGGTAAAGTTATTTTCCGGGTTCCCGAGTTTAAAAAAAAATAAAAATAAATGAAGGCCTTTTCTATCCGGGCTTGAGAAATTGTGTTTTTTGTTTTGTGGCCGAATTGTGAGGCTCAATTTTTACATTTCCGGCTTTTACCTGAACTGTCATTTTTTTTTAAAGGGAAAGAAACATGGGGGACTTTCCCTGGGATGCTGGCCTAGAGATTGAAACACCAACATCATAGAGCTATTTTGGTGACAAATGTCACCAAATGTAAAAAAAACACCACAATATAAACAAACAAATGTAAACATTACACCCGGTTTTTGGGGGGAGGGGGGGGGGTCTTTAAAAAAGTAACATTAGGACGTATAGTTTTAAACTTGCGAAACCCTTCATCATTTTTTAAAAAGGTCTGCAAAATAAACTGTTCAGACTATTGCTATTGAAATGAATGATCTTAAAGATGTATTCCCCGTTCCATATTCGAGTTTCACCTCAAATTGTTTTTCCTAGCAATAAAAAAGTTATTCACTTTTGAATGAGACATATAATGGAACAAAACAATCCACCAACGTTCAGTTATTGAACTATTTCCTTACAAAATTGGAATGATCGGCTGCCTGACAACAATGCGGCTCTCGCAGGGAATTTGTGCACAAAATGAAAGAGTTGCAGATGCCCAAAAGTGGGCTTCGTAAACCGTTAGGAGAAAAATCTTTTTTTTTTAAGAGCATGGTGTATGCATCTATAACAAGTTGCATTCACGTCACCAGAGCATGCGCATATCGGTGTTTCATTGCATTCCAGAGTGATCAAATACTGTGAGCAAAAGCTGTCAAAGATGTAATAATTTGCATTTTTAGCGCCTAAATTTCCACGAATGAGCATTTTATTTTGGGAAGCCATTCAGTTCGATTTGGAAAGTTCGATTTTGGTGTTTTTCTTTGTAAAAGAGGCCTTTTTGGTTTAAAAAAAAATCCCCGAGCTCAGTCTATGAACAGGATGCATGGGATGCTATTGAAGCAGAGCAGGTCTTTACAAGGATTTATGTAGCGGTATACTCGCTTCCTTTTACCCCGTTCCGCCGAAAAAATATTCAAAACAAACTCCAAAAATACAAAAATACGTCAGATATTTGGGTGTCTTCAGTTCTAGTAAACACAATGGCCAGATAGTCATAGCGCAAACTTTAAGGATCTCCGAGTGGTTCGATTTTCCAAACGGTTACTCGCTTTCTTCTACCCTGTTCCGCCCCGCCCCTCCCCCCCCCCAAAAAAAGTTTTCCAAAAAGCTCCAAAAATAACAAAATACGTAAGATTTTAGGTGCTGTCTTCGGTTTTAGTAAACACAATGGCCAGATTATTTAGTCATATTGCCAACTATAAGGATCTCCGCTGAAAGTGGTCCGATGTTCCAAGCGGTTACTCTCTTATTTGTTCCGCCCCCGCCCCCTAAAAAAGTTCTCCAACAAGCTCCAAAAAT